GTGGGTAGGATAACGTAAATGAAAAAGGTCAGTATTATGAGAAAAGATCATATTAAAAGTCATTACATTTCATGGCAAAAACGCAAAACATTTCCTGTAAGCTGTAATTAATATTTTGAAATGTGACAGGCTAACCCTAACCCTAACCCTAAAGAGGATGTATTACGAAGTATGCCATTGCTTCAACAAATAAATAAAGGCTGATGTTTTCCCCTGATCAGTTTTGAGCTCAGACTCACTTTCCTTTGTTTCATGAAACAGTTGACTCCTCTGGTGGCTCATAAGTTTATTCAGCGAGTGTCTGAGCCATACAGCTCTTCCGTACAGTTTTAGGTTCTAACTGTCCAAATGAATGCTAAACTTCTTAACTCTCTTGCTTACGACAACTAAAGGAGGATCACTGCTCTGAATGATACTAACGTATCAATGTTTGATATATACCTATAGAAAATTACTCTCCGACACAGGAGTTGTTTTATGGTCATTTAAGCCTTATGAGGACAATACTATTCAAAAGTGTTTCTATGGCAACAAAATATTAATTCAAGGGACCAATCGACCAAAGACCCACTGGAGGAAAATTCAATCATCATCCATATTTCCAGCGCCTTGGGACTTCCTCCCGATGTGAAAGGTACTATACAAATGCAATTTTGTTGATGTTGTTGTATATTGTACAAAGAAAAGTTCCTAATATTTCAATTTACAATGTGACAACAAGGAAAAAGTTTCTCACAAAGGCTCACAAAAATGCTTAAGTGAAAATATTACACCACCTCAAAACGCCTGAACAACTGAATGGCAAGAACAAGATACAGGAGCCCTGTAGCTCAGTGGTTAGAGCACTCGCCTCGCAAGCGAGAGACCTGGGTTCGATTCCGGGCCGGGAGAAACCTTGGGCAAGTTTCCTTACTCCACACGCCTGATAATGATCCCTCAAGAAAAAAAAAACAATAATAATTTGGTCACTCAATCCACAACTGTTTGTGGGACACTGCTGTGCGCAATTGGCTGCCGTGTTTCGCCCACAAATACAAGGGGTGGGGGAAAGAGCTGGGGAGTGGGATTGACATTACATTGCTTATTTTCAAAAAGCCGGCACAGACTTGATGGGCCGAATGGTCTCTTTTTGTGCTGTACGATTCTATGATATACAGTCAATTCACTTTACAGTCTATTCTGTGAAACGCTTTGAGACATCTAGAAGACGTGAAAAGCGCAATATCAAATACAAGGATTATTATTATTATCAACAACAATAACACACAGGGTAGTACCAGAGCACTTAACAGGGCAGATATCCCCTGACTATCCGACTGACTCTCAGATTATTGCAAAATGGGCAATATTTTGCTTTTATCAATTGCAATGATTGTGAGGTATGTAAAATCATAAATAAATTGTTTAATACAATGATAACATTTTATAGTGCCCTTCGCAATAGATAGGGTCTCGGAGCGCTTCACAGTGGTGAGGTAGGGCAATTATGCTCAGATGCTCTCTTCCCACAGGCAACGCTCCACTTCCAGGAGGAATCCATTAAACAAGTACATGAATAATTGAATTAGATATGGAACTCAATTATACAAACTATTGTGTTTCCATAATATTTTATTATGATGACTGAATATCATTTCTTCATTTTAGCAGGAGCCCTGACTAACAAGGAATTGGCTTCACAACTGCATTTATTGTCGTCCAAGTTAAAATTTGCATTAGAATTCGTGCAAAATAATGAAGCTCTACCTGTATTCAGTGACTTGAGTAACCATTTTCTTTCCTTCCTATGAAATATTCTCCTTTTCTGTTTCACCCTTTTTCCTTCTACTTGGGTAGGAGAGGACTCAGTGGTCAGCACCAGGACAGATGTGTAAGTTGTACATTATATTATGTGCTAGATTGGTGGTGAGGGGTGGGGGAAGAATTTCGCTCTACAATTTGATGGGTGCTAAAACGTGTTGGGAATCTGAAATCAGTTTGTTGTAGACACAAGCCCATTGCAAAAATCTTCTGTAATTGGCCTCAGTACCCTACATCACAGACGTCTCTACCAAATGGATTCTCTGTAAAAAGCTGAATATTAGCATCTGAATATGAACAGCTAATGGGCCCATAAACAATCTGTGCCAACCCAAGTACTATTCCTTTAGGCACACACACACACACATCTGTCCCAATCAGTAGTACTGTATTCACCAGAACAATTGTGAAATATAATCAATTTGAGGTTAGATTTGCGATTCCAACTGACAGCAATTATTTATACTTCACAACCGTTTACAATACAATTTACGGTTGTATTGTGCCAGTCACATCAGGAGGATGTCTCAAAGTACTTAATGCGCTCTAAAACTCTCAGAGATGCCGTCCAGTATGGAGGGCGCTGTATAAATCCAAGTTGTTGTTGTTATAATGCAGCTGAAATGAGCACCTGAGGCGGGATGGGCAGCTGAAAAGGATGGGTCGGGGAAGAAAGATGACTGAAAGCACAGTAAAAGAGATACGTCTTGAGGGAACTCTGAACGTGGGGAGGGAAACAATCTTGTCTTGAAAACAACTCTAGCTTTCTTTGATGTATGTTTTTTTTTCCTTTTCCGATCAGATTTTGTAACTATTGAACACTTAGAAGTCTCTGGTAATATACCCCGAATCATTATTTTAAGTAACTAAAAAACACACAGGAAGGAATTATAATTGAGTATTTTAAATTATTAAAAATTGCAGAAATTACTTCCAGGATTCTCTCACCGCTAGAGGCAATAGTAAAATAGCAATATATTTGAAAAAATCAGTACAGGACTGTCTAAATTAATTACAAATTGATTTAAAACCCAGTGGAGTAAGTTGCATAGCTCCATCTACTGGACAAGAACAGTGAGTATTTATGTCTTCTAATGGGGATACAAAGCACAAGACTCAAAACATGTTTCAATATTAGCTTCGCTTTTGTTCTACGAGAAATAGTCCTGAAGGGAATATAGATGCCAAAATAAAATTGAATAGCTGGACTTGGTCTCATTGGAGACATTTCTTCTTGGTGAAAGAACAAATTCGTAAAAATGCTGGATCATTCCCATTTCATGATGGAATTCAGCATGGATTTTGTCAGTGAAGTTATTTCTCTGAAATCCTGCGCTTTTACACAAATGAAAAACAGCTCACAAGGTGTCTTTCTTGGAAGATAGTGTTTCTTCAATTGCAACTTCCAGGCTCACAGCTGCAAGAACTTTATGCAAGATTGCAGGAAAATTCACGAGTTAAGCAGTCCACTTAAGCAGTCTATACGTTACTTTTCTCTTTACGTTACAATTCCTTTCCAAAAATAACCAGGGAGGAAAGAATCGTTGAGAATATAGTGGAATTTAAACAAATAGGTTGATTTGGTGGCAAGATTCTAAATTTGAAATTTAGACTGTATGATGACCCAGGAATGGGTATAACAACAATTTACATTTATTTAATGCCCTTCATATTGGTTAACATGAGGTGGAAGGTACCAATTCAAGGGTAAATAATAATAATTAATCAGAATTCTTGCATTTTATCTAGTGCCTTATCACGTCTTCGAGACATCTCAAATTGCTTCACTATATATATTGTAAAGGGAATTGATTGTATATTTTGTGAGCGGAGCAGCCAATTGCAGAGCAGTGTCCCACAAACAGATTTAATGCAATGAACACAAGAACTACTCCAGGATTAATGTCCAAGAACTTAATTTGTGTGTATTGACTTTCCAGAACATAAACTTTCATCTCTGTAGGTTTGAGTTAACTTTGGGGGTTCTTAAGAATGGTGAACAGGACCAAAATGCATTTACCAACGCATGAACTGGAAGCTGTAAAGAGAATTACCCAATTGATCAGATCACTGTTGACACAGGTTATCTCAACTTGTATTTTGGGTAACTGTGTCTCCCTCTTGTTTTGAAATATTTAAACCTTATATCAAAAACACCATATTTTCTGTGCTTGCTAGACATTTTGGCAGCAGATTGAGGACATTTTATTGCTATCATTTAAATTTTCAATTGAGACTAAATGGGATACAAGATATAAGGTTAATTTATTCCTGGCATACTTTATCACATAAAGCATAAACTTAGGATAATCAAATACATCAGAGGAGACTATAGAAACATTTTGATGGGATTCCAAAAGTAAACCCAGAACAATACTTTCAGATTCAACAAGACAGGTTTAGAGGATACAGGTTTCAAATTCAAAGCAGAAACTCAGAACAGGCACCAGGAATTAAAGGCAAAACTGAAATGCTCTTATTCTTAAAATTCTGAGAAAAGGTAAACACTAAAAATGAGCAATGAACATTGTGACCCTTTGACAGAATTGAACATTGTTCCTCAGAATTTCGATTTATGGAGCTCTTTGATTTAATGGGAACAGTTAATGGATTATTTCTGTTCACATTCGTGTATTTTCTTATCGCCTACAATCCAAATGAAAAGCCAGATAGTCATAACCCAATGAAAGAGTTCAATTATTTTCTAGGAAACAGCTAAATCTGGTCAATTAGAAATTCTGATTCATGTGGGTATCATATCATTTAACATTCAGCTGCTGTGCATATATTTTTCTTTTTTGATGAGGCATTCTGTTAGCCCATTTGGAATTGTTTAATGAAGCCTTGTTCACATGCAAATAAGATCACTGAATGTATTGGAACAAGCAGTATGCTTAACGATTCCCGGGCAGGACAGGGCAAAACCTTAGGCAAGTTTCCTTACTCCACACATACGCCTGTTTACCTAGCAGTAAGTAGGAACCTGCTTGGTAGTCGATTGGTGGATTTCTTTCTGGGGATAATAATCCCTCCAAACAAAATAATAATCATAATTTGGTCACTCAATACAACTGTTTGTGGGACACTGCTGTGCGTAATTGGCTGCCGTGTTTCGCCCACAAATATAGTCAATTCACTTTACAGCATATTCTGTGAAGTGCTTTGAGACGTCTAGAATACAGAAGAACGGAACACAAATGTGATTTTTACATTTTATTTTTTACAACCACTGTAAAGGTCCAATACAAGAACAGTCCAAGTCTATCCAGATCTTCTGATGGCAAGTATCTGACATGCCTTCACGAAATGGGTCCAGGCACGAGAAATGAAATGAAGATTCCAGAGTCCATGTGGATTCAACAAAGTCCGTGAAGTACAACACCTTCCGCAGTAGAAAATGAAACATTAGATCATCGGCACCTCTGCCTCATCTTTCGTCTCTTGCGCTTAAGCCTGTAACAGGATTAAGATTATATTTAAAATGTCTACAATCTTCAGGAAAAATCTAACTATATAAAAAAAGGTTGGTTGGCAGCAGAACAGTTCAAATTCTTTATACACTATAAAAACCCCTGAGAATTTGCAATATTTCCTAAGAAGCTTCAGAAAACATGTGCAATTTCAACTATCCGATCAATTTCTTCCTGAACTTTCCTCAAAACATTATGATTTTTGTGATGTTTGTAGCAACTTGAGGCTGCAGAGACATTATTTATATACAATCAGACAAGTATTTAGTATTATTATTAAAATATAGTCAGTAAGTCAAAAACAGGCAACTATGTTGAGTTATGTTTAATATTTAAATATCCCATGTAACTTTTGCCTGGACATTATAGAAGTAAAATAAAACTCTGATATAAATACAGATTTTTTTTATAAATGTTTTTATTTCAATCGGTGTAAAAGGCAAAATAAAATGTCATTGTTCAGGACACTTCTTGAACACCATTTCTATTGCATACACGAGGGAGAAGGGAACAGATGGTTACTGGAGAAGAGAATCAGGAGGGTGAAGGCTCATATGGAATACAAACATTAACATAGACGATTTGGGCTGAACGGTTTTCATGCTGAAAAATTCTATGTAATTCTCTTTCAAATAATGAACAGAGCATTATTGAGTAGAATAATGTGCAGATTAAAGACTGATGTCTTAACTAGCACAAAAGATAAGTGATAACCGTCCAGCACTATCGGCAACAAAAAAAAATAAACCAAGTCCTGCCACACATCTCAAGAATACTTGAATTCAGAGGTGAGTCAGAGGATCACGAACACAGAATTTATTCTACTGCTGGGTTCTTGCATTTGTTCTAACACAAGTTTTGGCTTATTATGTGAAGCACTGAAACAGGAATTCCAGCAGACTTGACAATATACTACATACCTGCGCATACGCTTCTTTCTCCACTGGAAAAAAAACAAAAACATTAATTAAAATTACTACCATTATATATGCAGCGTTCATACAAAATGACTTATCCAGTATCCTTCCACCTGAGCAATCTGATCAAACCTAATTCAGGATTTAAAATCTCTCCTGTACCAGCTATAAGGTACAAATGATATTCTGAGTTCAATCCAATAGTTAATGGGAGTTGGGCCCACAAATTGCTAACCTCATTTAAGAGTGATCATTGGACTAATTAAGTTTAGGGCAGATAATGGAGAGAATCTAGCTTTGCACTTGGTTGTGGAGTTCTGTAGCTCAGTGGTTAGAGCATTCACCTTGCAAGTGAGAAACCTCGGTTCAATTCCAGGGAGGGCAAAACCTTGGGCAAGTTCCCTTACTCCACATGCCTAATAATAATCCCTCCAAAACAAATAATAAATTGGTCATTTTCAATCCACAACTGTTTGTGGGACACTGCTGTGCGCAATTGGCTGCCGCGTTTTGCCCACAAATATACAGTCAATTCACTTTACAGCACATTCTGTGAAACGCTTTGAGATGTCTAGAAGACATGAAAAGCGCTATATCAAATGCAAGGATTATTATTATTATTATACCTAGCAGAATAAAAACCGAAGTCACTGGGAACAATCAGCAGGTCATCTCTCAATAGATGCTGCCTGATTTGCTGCGTATCCCCAGCGACTTGTTTTTATTTCAGATTTCCAGCACTTGCAGTATGTTGCCTTTTGAATACCTAGTGGGTACTGTTCCCAAATCAACACCTTCACTTGGTTCAGGTGGGTACTACAGGCATAAAGCGTCTTGCGGATAAGGGGCAGATAAAGACATGCCTTTTGATTTAAGTTTTGCTCCTTCCACCCCCTTTCAAGCTACATCTCAAAACACAACTCTTGTGCTTTGGGTCATCTTTCCCCTCCTCACCCCACCCTCAGCTCCACTGCCCAGTTAGAACCGTCAAGTGCTTTCAGATGTCCCCCCCACCGATATGATTTTTGTTGGTTAGCAGAGTGTCTGACACACGTGGATATCCACCATCATACTTAAAGAGTATCCAAACCAAGCAGAGATTTCCATGCACCCCACCTACATGTGGAAATCTCAAGAGAAAGATTGCTGGAATGGAATACACACATTCTCCCTGGAGGGACACATCCTGCTTACCTAATTCCAGAAAGCATTTGGTACAGGTTGGCAAGAGCCATGACTTGGGGACCCCAGAGTGCGTGTTGGGGGTATTGCTGGAGTCTAACCAACTAAAACCGAATAGCTTGCCGTTGACATCGCTGTCCGGCAAGCTTTCCCGCTGCTCGTTCAGGTGAGACCACTCTACCCATTAGTGCTTTGACATGAAAGGTGCTACGTAAGTGACAAATGTATTGTAAATTACATCGACAGTGGGGTGTGGGCCAGTGCTTTACAGTATTATTCTTCCACCCCAGTAGTTCCTTTTACATTTAATTATTTTGTACCACACCCTCACATAAAACTGAAACTCGAGAGAAAAGGTTTTATTAGCAGTTTAAAATGAATCCTGATGGCGGGAAGCCGGGTCTGCTTCACCCCAAACATCCACACTGCCAACAGACGAAGGGCTCAAATCGCACTCATTTTTTTAAATTTTAAAACATAGCGCCTTTCACGTCAAAAGCGCTCGGCGGTTCTAACTGGAGCTGCCTGAGCAGAGTGAGATGTGGGCGGGGGGCTGTGGGGATGGGGGGGGGGTGGGGGAGAGAGAGAGGGCAAAGATGACCGAAAGCAGTCAAGAGAGGGTACGATTTGAGACCTCGGAAGAGGAGAGGGGGTGGGGAGCAAAGAATCAAAGAAAAGGCGTGTAAGATAGTGATCCTTGCCGTTGGTGTAGCGCCTGATCACGTCTTCCGAGACGCCTCAAAGCGCCTCGCAGAATATACCGCCAAGCGAAGTGACTGTATATCTTGTGGACCAAAACAAATTCCTTTGCAATCTGCAAAAGGCACCAACTCTGCGCCACCGCCACGGGGCGGGATATCGAACCAGAACGACGTGGGTTTTTGGAGGGAGGGGGGAGGTTGTGAAAACTCTCCCAACACTCCCGTCTCCCCCCCCTCACCCCCCGGGTTTCTTTCTCCATTAATAGAAAGTGCCAGTTGTTTCAGACTGAGGGAGAGAGAGAGAGAGGGAGAGAGGGAGGGAGGGAGAGGGAGAGAGTCAGCGACCGGGAATCAACCCCGAGGCCAAGTCCCTCCGAAAAAGAAAATGGAGCCACTCAGAAACCACGACGACGACGACGACCGCAAAAGAGCCGCGAGCAGCACTCACCTTCGCCCTCATGCCGAGAACAGGCCCTGCGAGAGAGAGAGAGAGACAAGAGAGAGAGATTGAGGGGATCAGTGTGAGCGGATGGCGGAGCGGGAGCGCTGATTCAGGTCGGATTGTGGCCGCCGCCGCCGCTCGGCGACTCGTCCGCCATTACCTGAAGAGAGGTCCCGCGGTCGAGGAGGAGGAGGAGGAGCGCGGATCCGCGCATGCGCACCACGTCGCCCTCGCGGCGCGGGTGGGAGGGGGGAAGGGGGAGGACAACAACAACAACAACAGTACGTTTGTCAACCGCCATTTACGTCGGGAGGACGTCCCAAGGCGCTGAACAGTCGGGGATTAGGCCCCAACCGAGGGAGGGAGGGAGGGGGAAGGCACCGTCGTAAAGAGACGCGCCTCGAAGGAGGGCGAGATGGGGGCCGAGGGGAAGGGACTGTGGGACGGCGTTCCAGAGGGTGGGGGCGGAGGGGCCGAAAGCCCGAGCGGAGGGAGCGGGCGGGTCGGTCGGGTGGGGCGGGGGGGGGGGTCAGCAGGTCAGAGATGCAGGAGGGGCGCGAGGCCGAGGAGGGCCCTGAAGGCGAGGACGTGGATTTTGAATTCCGCCCTCTGAGGGACGGGTTGCCAGTGGAGCCGGGTCAGGGTGGGGTGGGGTGGGGGGCGGCGATGGGGGTCAGGGAGACTGGTGCGGGGGAGGATGTGGGCTGCACAGCTCTGGATGATCCGCACCTCGTGTTGGGGGAAGAGTTGGGGAGGTCGGCGAGGAGGGAGTTTCCGTAGTCGAGCCTTGAGGTGACGAATGAGCATTTCGGGGGCCTGAGGGGCGAGGCGGTGGCGGAGTCGGGCAGTGTTGGGAAGATGGGGGAAGGCAGAGTGGGTCATGGCGTGGATATGGGGGAGAAAGGATAGTTGAGGGTTGTACAGGACGCCCAGGTTCCTGACCGACTTGCTGAGGTTGAGTGTACGGCCGTGGATGCTGATGCTGAGGTGCAGAGGCACTGGTACGAGCCAGAAGGGCCTCGGGTTTTACTGACGTTCAGCTGTATAAAGTTGGCTCTCATCCAGGACCTGATGTTTGTCAGGGAGTCACTTGTCCTAGAATCGAGCGTTGAGCCAGAGATAGTCGGGTGTCATCCGTGTACATGTGAAAGTTGACCCCACGACTGAATGATATCACCAAGGGGGAGCACGTAGAGGTTGAAGAGGAGGGGACCGAGGACAGTGCCCTGAGCAGCACCGCGTGAGACTGTGGGGGCTAGAAGAGAAACTGTTGGTGGAGACAAATTGGCGACGGTGTGAGAGATAAGACCTGAACCATTCAAGGACAACCTTGAAGGTTGAGGTGAGAGCAGAGGCAGTGGAGGAGGATGGAATGGTCTACGGTATCGAAGGCAGCAAAGAGGTTGAGTAGGCAGAGGGAGCCCTGGTCACAGATGGACAGGATCTTGACCAGAGCAGTTTCCACGGAAACCGTGAAAACGAGGGGCTCATGGAGGGAGTGGTAGGAGAGGAATGAGCGAAGCTGGGAAGCAACAATTCTTTCAAGGACCTTGGAAAGTTCAATGTCCTGCCTGGTTCAGTTTGTGAGATCAGGAAAACAAATTGACTGGGATGAGATTTTCCATCACAAGGGTTGTCACACAATGCAAAGAACTTAACAAAACTCTGACACGTTTTGATATTATAAGGCATTGCTGTATATCTAGGGGACCATATTTTGTGAACCAAATCCGGGGCACCTACAAAAAATGTGAACTCACCACAATTCCTGATGCTGGCATACAGTACTGTAGAAGTTTGTTTGATTATTTGGCTGCATAAGCACTCCGGGATGCCATCTGGCGTGAAGGGCGTTGTATAAATACAAGTTGTTGTTCTGTTTCTTTGATGCGTAGATTCAGTCAATCCACTTTACAATATGTTCCATGAAGCACTTTGAGACAGCTCAATGACATGATAAGGGATTATATCAAATGCAAGGACTTATTTATTGGTTTTAGAATTTTACTGTTCTTGCTCAGTTTGTTGAACTCAAAACAGGACAAATTTGGCCAGGGACACAATCTGGGAATGTTCCCGAAAATCGTCGATGTAAAGTTATTCAAACTACATCAAATGCAAAGATTAAAACAACAAGTTACATTTGAATAACACCCTTCATGTGAGGTAGCACCTCATTATTAACAGACTCGGAACTCGGTTGTAAAATATTTTTAGCATGATCGGTCTTAAGTGAAATTCAGAGACCAGCTGTCCAAGTTTACCCATTTTTTGGAAACTAAAGACATGCAATGCTGTCATTCAAAGCAATAATCTTCAAAAGTATTATGATCAGAGGAAGTTTCAGGGTATTGTTAAATTAGAACCAATTACATAAGTAGAAACAGATTTCAGCCAGGACTTGGGAGAAACAACCATCTAATTACAACCAAACACAGAAATGATTGCAATACATGTAAAGGACATTGAACACTTGTGATGTTTGTGCTCAAGCTGCTCCCTCTATACTCAGCCACTCTGCAAGCAGTTAACTCTGGCTTGTTAAGATGCTTGACCAGAGTCCATGACAGTTCTGTACTTCCATCTCCAAATTTCACGAGTCAGTTCAACCTTCAACAATACCAGCTCAGCTTAGTCCCCAAGGCATCACTTGCTTTTTAACCAGATCAAGCAGAGAATAAAGGAGGAAGGGGGCTGGGGAGACTAGGCATGGGAAATTAGGATGGGTATAAACATATAAACAGATATATTAATATAAATACCATCACAGACTAGTTGGGTTGAATGGCCAGTTTTATTGTTGTAGATTGCAATTGTTAATGTGCAAACACCAATCCACTGACGAGTATAATGCTGGGCAATGGGACCTGCCTCCAGCACCCAAATGAGTGAACTCAAGCACAGTGCTTGAAGGATTAATATTTAACCAGCAACGATTCATGGCTTATGGATAAGGGTACGGTTGGACTGTGCAGCTCCTCAGAACATCCTCCATATAAATGTATATATTGTTGTAAAGTGGAATATAAATAAAAGCCTGGTAGGTCTTAAGATGAAATTGAATCTGGCGTAATTATGGTTATCTGGTCAAAAAAATTTGAGGGTGTTCTATATTCATTTGTGGCCTGGTTCCAATGCACATGGTGGCCACACAAGTGCTAACAACTATTGTTGCACATTTGCTGTGCTTATACTTTACAAAGTTACAAAGGAAAAATAGCTCCAATGATTAAAATGTAATCTCCATAAACTGAACATTTCATAAATACCATCACATAAAAGGTAACATCCAGGGCAAAAAAACATAATACAGCCAATGTAAACATTGCATTGTGAAAACTGTTTGGTATAATCTACCATAGTTTTCCTTGATATTTATTGGAATTTCTCTCAATACATAAGTTTTCAAAAGTATCAATTTGGTTTTGCTTTAAATAACTTACATTTAAGCATTATAAAACACCTTGTAGAATTTATTGAAGATTTATTACAAGTGCTCTTGATTCCTGGAGACGATTATATACTTACTTTAATTAAAATAATCTTTCCCACATAAGTGAATTCAAATAGTGCATCAGATGAACATGTGCTCACCATTATATATTTGTTACTAAGCATGATGAAATGTTAAAACAGTTTTTCAAAATTTATTACTAGCAATTGCGAAACAAGTCTGAATTCATTTTTTTTCAAGAAATTAGCTGGATAAATAACTGCTTGCATGAATCTAGAAATGCAAAATGTGAAACATAATTTGACTTTGTTTTAGTACTTTCTATTTACAAATCTTTTTCAGTGTAAGAAAACACATTTACAAGGGGCACCAATGAGGAAAATATTGCAATAAATGTACTGCATTCTTTAATCCATGATAGCAGTTTGGAAAACTTGTTTCCAGCTCTGTTAGCCTTATGAGTAGCAAAGGGAGTATTATGCCATCAACTTTCAAAATATATACAGTAGACCCTCACTATAAATACTGAAATACCACATTTTCTCTTATTAATAGAGAAAGCATACAAAATATCCCATTTGACATTCTTCTCCTTTGACTCCCAAAGGCATAATCATGAAGAGCACTGGGAAGACATCTTCTCAGAGCAGCACTTATTCTGCTTTTATGATATACTTTCATGAATAGCACTCTTTCATCTTACAATGCTAATTTCAAGCATGTCACAGTGGAAATATAGTTTTAAGTTTTGCAGGTCAAATTAAGAATATTTTCAATACTAAGTGTACTCACTCCATCTTTCTAAAACACAGCAATTTTTTTCCACCAAATGTTACACAGTTCCTAAATATGTTCAAAACTAAGGCTGATTTTTTGCCCCACGGAAATTGGCAGATCATTCTTTCAATGTTCGATGATAATCCTGCAATACAACGAACGTGTTTAGTTTGTGGAACCATTTTCTATTGGAAAGGACACTGCCATAGCATAGACACAGTCACAATCTTCAGTCGATTAGTCCAGAGTGCAAGTTTATCTTCTCAGCAGTTCATACCTAGACCTGTCCAGTGTTCCGGGACCATCAAGAAGTACTTGTCCATTGCTTCACAGAAACGTGTTCGATAAAGTTCTGGAGAGACCACAGTGGGCATTTTTCCTGTTCAAAAAGCAGTAATATTCAGTTTAAAAATATGAAACATTGTTTTGTTTTCACAAACATATGTTCACTGCTTAAAGTGCTAAGAACACCAATAGTTGAAAGAAGTTGAGTTGATTTTAAAATCTGCAGTTATGAAATAATTTTCAATCCTGTGACAATAAGTATTTTATTAGCTTGTTTTCTTCCCCTGTCAGTGTCTTCCCTAAATTGATAGGTAAGACCAGCTACCATTTCTGTTAGTGCAGCCTTGCTTATAACACAGGTTGGACCTGCACCAACCTGAACTGAAGTACACCCGACTTTCGGCAATGACTAACCAGCTTCCTGAGCTAAACTATGGTCGAGTACCAGGTTGTCTCCATTAATGTCATATCCTGTGCACTGTGTGCAGGAAATAATGTGAGCTGCACTTCCTGCACACAGCTTGAATGTTAAAAAAAACTCAACTAAACAAAGATCAATATTAAGCATGCACTGTTTAATATTATATAAGTTCAGAGTCTCTCAATGTGAGGCTTGAACCCACGACTTTCATACTTAGAGGCAAGAGTTCTATCAAGCACTCTGGGACGCTACCCATGAAGGATGCTATAAAAATGCAAGTTGTTGTTGTTCGTGGCACAATGTACAAATAAATAAATTAGCAATCAATTTGTTAACAGTGAGACTTGTGAAATTTACTGCTGCATTTACCAAGAACAGGCAATTATTGTAACCCCTCCAAGTAACCAGCATTTCCAATTTCAGTTGGGGATTGTTGTCCAGGACACCATGAGAAATCCCTGCTCTTGTCAAAAAATGCATGTTATCTTTAGCGTCCATCTGCACAGGAACATGGGACCTCAGTTTAACACGTCATCCATAGGATGCACATCCAACAATGCAACACCCCACCCATTTGAGTGTTAGCCTAATTATATAAGTTCAAAGTGGGGCTTGAACCCACGTCTTTCCTACTTGGAGGCAAGAGTTCTATCAATCAAGCCCGAATGACACCAAATCATCTTGTTTGTAAATGGTAGAGGGTATTATTAAATTGAACACAAACATATAAACGCACAATGCACAAGCATGATATCTGCACACTTACCTGTCCTCCCAGGATTCCTGTAGACTTCACAACCATCTCAAGTTTTTTATCCCATGTAAAAGTTCTGATATAATCTAAATTTAACAAAACAAGGTGCTGAGAAGACAATCTGAGAAAAATAACACTTCTTTCTGCAACAATAATTAAATGTCTGAATCTGGTGTGAACTGATGTGTTTTGAAACACATTTTGCTTTTCTTCACCTAGCTTTGGTTCTGCCAGTGCAGGGGATGTTACACTGCTGCTAAAGAATTTTTCACTGCTTCACAATGCTGATAGGGTGGAGGCACGCATATGGTTTCAGCTTCATTTAAAAAACACTTTCTTTCGAATAGAAATTCTCTCCCCCTGGCATATTGCTAAAATGTGAAAAAATATTGTAGCAAGAATCTTGGGTTATTGCAATAAGAATAACAAGTATTTAACTCATCACTTCCATTGAATGTACTATATTAATGGATATAAATTTGAGATTCAATTTAATAATACATTGCCAGTATGACTCACCAATAATTCCAACAACGAGCTCGTCCGAAGTATCATCTCGACCCACAAGTAGGGAATAATCTATAATAAGGTGGCTTGAGAGAAAGTATGCATCACTGTGAATGGATGCTCGCAGTACAGCTTTGCAGTGTGAACGAATGTAGAGAGGATTATCACGAATCATTTTTAATAGGTTTTCGTCCAGTAATACCACATCACATGTCTCCTTTCCTGTTTCTGTCTTAACGTTCCGATTCCGCAAGGAACCCTTTAAATCAAAAACCTGCAAGAGAGAAAAGAAAAGTGAGTGAATAAATAAGCTTTCATAATAACTGCAGAAGTATACATTCATGCACCAAGGAAGAATATTTCAACACTGAAGCACAGTACAGGGTTGTAGCTCTTTGAACATTTTACTGAGATTAGAATGTAACTTGTAACTCAAGGTATGAGACCAGAATATAGCTGCATTCCATTTTTCAGTACTACAGTATTAAGGCACTTTAAACGTAAGCTTGACAATGTTAAAATAGTGACTGGATTTTTGTCAAATGAAACAGTTGATCAATCATCGCAATCTTTGAAGTAAATTGTAGGATTATTTCACTGACCCAAGATTTTAACACTCTACAGATCACATAACACATCAATATAAAATACATTTCAGTTACAAACTGGACTATTACACAAAGAGCGTGAAATGCCACGTACCTGAGCCATTTTTCTCCCATAGAAGAGGTTCTCCATAACCAAAAGATCCAGCTTCTTCTCTGTATTGTTCTGAGAGTTTTTGTAGCCTATTCGATAGACCCCTAGAATTTTGGCTAATGCAGTAGGTCTCTATTATATTTCAGGGTGTGAGAAAGGAATAGATTTGCAGTTTTAATGCATATTCAATTTGAAAATAAGTCATTCACTAAACAAAATTTTACACTATTTTTCAGATCATTTAACTCATAGGTTGCAAACTTGTAAATAGAACATATATAATAGTGCATGTAATAAATCAACCTCTCAGATGCTCCATTTCACAATCTTGCCTTCAGTTGGGAGGCTGCAATGGTCAAGTCCACAGATATGTCTATAGACACCATTTTATCTACAAAGACACAATCGCTGGACTTCAAAGTAAAACCTTGAAGCACAGATTTTACTGTAAAGTGCAGTTACTGTGTACATTAACATCTTGAGACATCTCGATGATATAAACTATATCAACTGCAAAGATTATTACTGTTAAGGTAATTTCTATAATGATCCACCAAGTTGTAACACGTACAAAGGCAGACATAGAGATCTTAAGAGTTTGTTCTCTTTTGATTGTTGACAATTCCAACATTAAGTAAATTTTTTGCAAGTTATTTTATTCCAGGGCCACATACTAAGCCAACCATCAGGCCTCTGTAAATGCCACTGCTGAATTAGCTGTGGCTGCAGGATGCACGCAACGGTTGGTCAGAGACAAACCCTCCAATTTTCTTTCTTGTCAGAAGTATTTGAACCTGCCTCTCCACATTGCCCTGGCTAACATTATAAACACTTAATGTATGGAAAATTGTTGCAAAGAATCAACATCCAACCACTCCATGATTTTTTTAAAAAAATCACTAGTTTACACCTTAAAACTAAAAGCACTTTAACCTGAAAGCATTTCAAACATTACTTTATGTGTAGCATTTAAATGGCTGCAACAGGTTACCTGCTAAAAAAAACAATACCACAAGAGATTTAATTTGTTTTTTTAAAGCATGGAATCTAGATGAATAAGTGCAACAAGTAATTAACACTTCAATAAACTCAAATTGCAATCTTTATGCACCCTATTGCTGAGATAAATCCATTGTATTTTTTTAAGGACTGTTGATTACCTTTTGCTGAACGGCAGTAGTAATGTAGCTAAAATAATGGGGAGCAAAATCCAGGAAAGACTGGACTTCTAGGCGAGGCATCTGCTTCAGAATAAACCGGTCGTCTGGAAAAGTTGAAATGAAATAAATTATAAACCTAGATGCTTTGAAAAGTATCTTTAGCATCAAATCATGTGATAACATGGACATTGTTAGATCCATTATTATGGAACCGGTTACAAATGTTCAACACAATTTGGTGTAATAGACCAGTATCTGGTTTAACAGAACTATACCATTTAATGCTAATGTCTTATTAATCATTTTCTTCCATGACTTACCTTCTGTTGCATAAAAGGCTGCTCCCGATTTGCCTCCACGAGCTTGCCATGGCACACAATGCGACAGAGATCGGATAAAGTCATCCTCATTGCTTCCCAAAATCACATCACGCATTTTGTGGAATTCTTCAGCATAATAAATCCGGCAATAAAATTTAGCATTTGCATCTGAAAATTCTGCACGAAAGTGAAACACTTTGTGGTAAATTGGATGAATTGTAATAAGATCAAATCCCACTTAATATAAAGTCATCTCTCCCAACCAGAGTACTTTGCTATTTGACAAGCATGTAACATTGCACTTGAAGAGCTGCACTTTAGAGATATGTAATTACATTTCACAAATGATAATACCTGGCACAGAGGTAAGCAGTAAGCAAGCAGTTTGGATAACATTTAGAAATAATTCAGAGTTGGCAATAAGCACAAGTTGGTTCCTTCTAATGGTTACTCTATAACCAAACCTTTTAATTTAACATTTGGCTTCATGTTTTTCCATCTTTATGCTTAAATGTCAAATGCAAATCAAACTGCAATGAAGATTTTGTGAAAATTACTTATACTCCCTCCTCCTGTATTACAGTACTTAAGACACTGAATAATGCACACATACAATTCACAAATACGCTAGAATGAATGGACTATGCTCCAAGAAATGTTTCAGAAGTGGTGAGCAATTTGTTTTTGAGTACACAATATAACTTTGTGACAGATCTATCTGGTTTTCTTAAAGTAAACCGTTGTGACAAAAAGGCTAAATGTCTGTCTATGAGCAGACAGAACATAGCGACATAAATGGGTCATTCAGCCTTTCGAGCAATATTATTTGATCTTCATGACACATCTTTTAATCCTATTTCCTCACCTTTTCTCTAAATCCCTGAATACACTTACTTCCTTAAGTATCTCTCTCCCTTTTAAGAAGCTAATTTCAAATAATTTAACAATCCTTGCATTTGATGCTTGAAAGCAACTGACTCAAAGGCTACGGATAAATAAGTTGACACTGAAGGTGAAGGATTTATTCAAGTTACTGATTTTAAAGGTGATCTCAAGTGCTAAGTCACCTTTCCAACTTCTAAATGTCTCTTATTTCCTGGTATCCTCTCGCACTGTTCCACAATTTAGCATCCAGTAAGTGTATTATATGTAGAAATATTTAAGTAAATGGGACTAAATTGCAAGTTACTATACATTTGTCATGTATCACCTTTACAAGCCGGTGTCACACAGAACTTGCTTTATTCATATATCTAGCTGAAAAGACCCTTCACTATACATATAAACTTGTATCTGTTCAAATACGAAGCAATCCACAGGCTACAATCCGCAGAGTACATTAAATAGTCTGTGCTATTTGAGGCCAATCTTACTGGGGAAAAGTAGATGCAATATACTCGAGTAATCAGTGTCTGAACCCAGTCTCACTATTACAGTAACTCTTTTCTCGTGGCCACAATAATACTCTACATCTCCCCTCCCACAACCTGCCACAGACAAATGCTGGTGTTTCATACGTGCTTGTCTATCCTACAGTTCCTCACCCATTATTGAGGGCCAGTGAGTGTTGGATGACTAAAATCACCAGTTTAAATAAATTCATCCATGCAGCCACTGGAGAAAGTGAAGACATTCTATAGTCTGGAACAAAATATTTAAGTGAGTTATCAGAGAGTTCAAACTACTGTCCACAATACTTACGCAGTTCTACATGTGGATTTCCCAGCTGTTTCTTTTGTTTATCTCCACCATCACCATCACCTAAAACAATTCCAACACTGAACTAATTAAAATGCATTCAAAAGCATTTCCGGAAAAACAATGCCAACATTTTTTTAGCCTATACAGTATTATTGTTCCTGCATGAATAACAATAAGATGCTTGTTTGGCAGGATACTGAATGTTAAGAATCAACCAACCAAAAAGATCTCAACTAACATGAATGTTCAGTCAATGTGGAGTATGATTTCAATTTCATCTGTTGTTATATTTCAAATCTGATTTGATTAGTATTGCAAACGGTTATATGCTGCAAGTAGCTATAGCTTGAAAATATATCACCTAATAATAATCCCTCCAAAACCAAAAACAATAATAAATTGGTCATTTTCAATCTACGACTGTTTGTGGGACATTGCTGTGTGCAATTGGCTGCCGTGTTCGCCCACAAATATACAGTCAATTCACTTTAGTGTGTTCTGTGAAGCGCTTTGGGACGTCCTCCCGACGTGAAAAGCGCTATATCAAATGCAAAGATTATTATTATTATTATATTATATTTACAGAAAAAAAAGTTCAGGGTTGTCAAAACAATTAGTATTCACCAGGCAAGTCTAATGTTAAACTCATTCAAGTTAACAAACAGTTTAGCATTATTAGTAAAAGAGCAAAGATCTGACAGGATTAAAGATTTTTTTTCAAGCGTCAAGAAATATTTCCTTTATGAAACAATAGATCTATTTGTTAATGAGTTTTATTTTTTCTCTCGTTAATTTACTTCTCGTGATGGCACTTGTCTACTTTTACTTGGATATAGGATTCCACGTGGCTATTATCTACATGGAAGCCTAAGTGAGTGCCGGCAAAGCCATTCAGTTGTGTGTCTGTACATGATCCTGCAAGGGCCGGAGGCAGAAAAGAAAGGAAATTATTGCAGCTGAAAACAAAGATAATAATAATAATCCTTGCATTTGATATAGTGCTTTATCACGTCTTCTAATCGTCTCAAAGAGCTTCACAGAATATACTGTAAAGTGAATTGACTGTATATTTGTGGGTGAAACACGGCAGCCAATTATGCACAGCAGTGTCCCACAAACAGTCAATTGACCAAATTATTAGGTTTTTTGGGTATTATTATCTCCGGAAAAGCGATCCGCCAATCGACTAACAACCGGGTTCCTACTTACTCCTAGGTAAACAGAGGCGTGTGGAGTAAGGAAACTTGCCCAACATTTCGCCCTGACAGGAATGGAACCCAGGTCTTTTGCTTGCGAGGCAAGTGCTCTAACCACAACCACTGAGCTACAGGACTCTACTGATGTTTTCATCCAGTGATTTAATAGATCAAAATCAGAAGTGGGAACTCACAGTCTTTTCCCTCGCATAAACAATGGCACAATGCAAATTGTAGTGACTTTGTCCGAATCTAACTGATATCAGGTAGACCTGGATCAAAGCAGAAACTCATTCTGATGGCTCACAAACTCAAGAGTAAATTCCCTGAGCCGTCAGAGGAACCAATTCCAGACCAGCTACTTTCATTAAACAAATTCAAACTGATAGTGGTTTGTCTACCTTGCCAGGCTTAGGGGAACCTTTGTTTGGTCAGTCGGTGCCTGATGAATGTAGAAACCCTTCACCATATTAGTGCAATGTTCAAATAAGTTTGAGAGCAAAGTTTGGTCTGTCTAAGGTTCTTCTGACAGCAAAGAAAACCAGCATTATTATCTGTAATTGCTGCATTGTATTAATGCGTTCCTGTTATTAGAGTTCATACACGTCTGCAGTAGTGTAAGAACTGCACAGTCTTTGATGCATGCACCAACGTATTATAGGGACCAATAATAATGTGCTGGGATAGATGCAAATAGTACAATTCTAGATGTCCCAAATTCCCTCATCTTTCTGCATTTTCAAAAATTGAGAAAGATCATGCAATATGTACATGTTACATCAGTCTTCACTTCTACACCTCCACTTGCATTGATGCTCAGGGAATAAAAAAAATCACAGGCTAAAAGCTAAGCAACACCAGCTATTATAAAACTTTTTTTTCCCCAGCTAAGTCTCTGAAAGGTAATAATGTAATGTGTTTGAAATTATAGATATGAAGCCCTCTTATTTTGCATCTGGCCTCTTCCTCACCCACTAAATGCAAAGTTGAGATCAAGATCTTGCCACATGGAGAAGTGTAGTAGTGAAGCACATCCTACTTCTTCTGCATCTAGAACCTTGGGAGTAATAACCCTTATGACAATTAGCATCAAAACATTTTCTTAAGCGAATCGGTGGAGGTGCCTGCTTATATCCAATTTTATTTTGGAATTAGGAGGGAAAAGAAGCAAGGTTATTTTATAAAATAGACTTAATTACACTTGGAATTTGCAAACCTTAGTGAAAGAAATGCCACCTCCTCCTCCTCTCCTAAACATAGTGATTCAAGCTTGGAGCTGGCCCACAATCACTGAGTATGATCTGATACCTTGCACAATTGGATATTCATGTATAAGACGGATAGCAAGCATCAGTAGACTAATGATTAATACATCAAAGTCAAACTTAATCTGTCTAATCAAACATCCATAAACCTTTCAGCAGAGGAACTGGTAGATCTCAATCCGGAGCAGAAACCCTGGTGCTTTTCCCAGCTGTACTGAAGCTAACAGAAGGACCTCCACTACTAACTCAGATAAAATCAGCAAACTCAGCACAGACAAGTGAATCAAACATGGATCCTTCCAGGTCAAATTTCAAAACAGTAAAGAAATGAAGTGAAGTTTGATGAAAGATGGAAATTTGAGAATTGGAAGAATCTCAATTTAAATATTCTGGCAATCAGACCTAGAAAAGAAATATAAGGTATTTTAAAAGTTGTTTCTGGCTGTCACATCAATACTACCGTATTTAAATTCTGAAGTGCACTAGGATTGGTGAGCATTTCATTTCATTGTAAAATAATTGTTAATGCTCGTAAAAAAAAATCCACAAGAAAGATTCAATAACCAGCACCAAAGAGAATGGAAGCTATTTGTGCCAATTTTAAACTAATGACACATCTGGAAGACATAATGTCTGCAACTCATTCCGAGTGACTCCTACAATTCACAGCAAGTAAATGACAGCACTGCTGAGCGAACAAAGCAGCTTCTAGCAAAGAGTTTTAAAATATCTTGAAATGTTAAAACAGAGAAAGGAACAGAGACATCTAAAAGATACACAAATTATAATTCTAAAAGGTTTAGTGCGTCAGAGACTAGCATTTAACTGTACCTTGCAACTCTGCAGCATGATTCTCTGCCCCTTCTTTCCCTGATTGTGTGACCTGGTAAAAAGCACTATCTGCACCTCGTAAAGTCTCTTTTCTCTGTATGGACAGATCAGGGCTTCTACCCCCTGAACCTCGGAAAAATGACAAAACTCCAGATGTCTTTCTTGCTAGAAAAGAGCAAGAACANTTTTTTTATAATTTTTAGAATGAATCCTAATGATATTTGCATAGAAATAAAAGAAGCAAGCCAGCAGCACTAAAAAAAAGCTGTGGTGCTGCTGTACAAGCTTTGTTAAATGTAAAGAGCACTGGAAAGCTAATACCTCAAGTGGTTATCTTAAACACTTTCAAACATTTAAACTTACATTGTTGGTCAGAGTCAGAGCTGCGATTCCCTTGGTTGCTGCTGTTCTCTAGCTGCCTTGCAGGGCTGCTGGTCTTAGTCCTGTCCGCACTATTGAAAAAAAGGGAGCAAAGACATTTAAGCATCTTTACAATAAAAGACATGTTAAGTGTGCACCATACACAGAATTATTCAAAATCAATACAAAAGCAATAAACAGTGTACTGTAATACCATGGAAGACACTGAAAATGAAACTAAATGTGGTGTGAACAGTGGAACACAAATTAAGAGGGGAAACCCACATTGCAAAACTAATTTGATGCTGACCCTGGACAATATTGGTAAAGCTGACTTCAAGGAATTAGCTGAGAATGCAGTTGAAGATCATGAGACCAGTGTATTTTGTAATAGGCAAAGTGGTGACATTCATTAGATAACACCACAATCTGTCTTCAGAGCCTTACAGTCCCACAAAGCATTCCCTTCTTTTCCCCCCCACAATTACTTTGCCTGTTGTGCTCCTTCGTCACTGCCATTCTTCACATATTCTCTTCCAAGGTCTTCTAAAGTATTCTTATATTCTTTGCAGCTACAGAAAATATTATTTAAAACAAAGAAATTAAATTATTGAAATTTACTCTGTATGCGTGCAGGCAAACGAGAAATCATGATTTAAAACTGGAGTACCTGAGTGCAAATGCTATGATTGAGCTTGGCTCCTTCTCACACACTGGAATCGGTACACGTTCATGCTCCCACATAAGGTAGTGCTTATCTGGATCACTGTTTAAAAATAAAAATAGGAATACATGACCGTAAATATTGGCAACATATCACAAGTTGTTGCAATTCAGTGTGCATTGACCTCCTTTTGCATCACAAGGATTGGCAGTTTTCATCACTCAATATAATAATTCTTATCCACTCGTTAACACTTTTTTTGGTCAGCCAGCCCATAAACATGGCAGCCCATTTGTGCAAAGCAACGATGCACAATAGCAACAATGTGAATGTCTAATTTTATTTAGGAGATTATTGGCCAGAACACCAGAAGAAACTCACTTACTCTTCTTGAATAGTGCCATGGGATCTTAAATTAGCATCTGAATAGGCAGACTGGACCTCGGTTTTAACATCTCATCTAACAAAGGTAGGACTTCTAACAATGCATCCCCCAACCCCCCACTTCCCCCAAAGCACTGCTCTGGACTGTCAGAATAGACTATGTGAGTGTGAAGTCCTAACATGGGGTTTGAACCTATATTCTTCTGATTCAGAGTGGGTCTAAGTTAGACTGACTCAGGAATGCTATTACCTGAGTCAGGCTGACATATCTTTTGAATGAAAATGAATTTGCTTTAAGAATATTACCAAATATAAAATGTATTTGAATGTTCAACAAATGAAGAATACAGACAAAATAAGATGGACCTGAATCAGTGTCTGACAGCCTTTATATTTTGCTGCAAATATTATGGAAGCATCAAGGCTAAAATTGGGGGAGGGGGAAGGAGGAGGAGGACATAAAGATAACTAGTTTGCTCTTTAGAGTGGTATGATTTGTGGCTGTTCTGTGGGAGTACTTTTGTGAGAATTCTTTCACTGACAACCTTTGTGCAGATATCTTACAATCTGAAATGAAACACCTCATTGAAGAGGTCAGAATTTTACATTTTTTGGTCAGAAATTAGAATTGAAATGATTATTTTTTAAAAAATATACATTTAAAAGAACTCACAAGGGAAATGGAATAGGATTATAGCTGTTTCCAGGAAGTAAGTTTGCAAAAATAGCCTTCATAGTTGACTTTTCTTTCACTTGACTGTCACTGGAGCCCAGCAAGTGTCCATCATGTGTATCTGTAAAGATTCATTATAACTGCTGTAAACTCATTGCAATGAGAAACTCTAACAAACACGTAACAGGTCAAACAATGTTTAACTTTGAAAATGGGAACCAGACGTACAGTAAAATTTGCAGTAAAAGCTTTATAAATCGTATAATTGTCTAAGTCATACATGCAACCAAGTTCCATTCAATTTCCAATCAAAACCACTTTAGAGTTCTTTGTACAAGTTGTATTAATCATCCTCTAACTAGAAGCGCCACTCCCCTATACTGCATTACTCCCAAACCTACCGGCTGCATTGAATTGAGGAAAATGCTATGGGCACCACCTGGGCTGGTGGGAGTTTGAAAACTCAGGGTGGATTTTTGAATCGCTAATTTTTTTTCAGACACGGTCTGGCAAATTCCGATTTCTGGTTAGATGGCATCCGGAGAGCAGGGGTTTACTGTACTGTGTTTTAACAATTGGTCTTGGATTACAGAAAGTTCCATTAAGCTACAATAATATACCCAAACTTTGACTTACAGCATTGTAACACCAGTCATTTTGGAAATCCTTCCCTCAGCACATTAGAACTATCATTCCACAAACAGAATTTGAAAATGACTTGCCTTCAGTAGTGCTTGTAGCTTCTTGATCACTGGTGATGGTCACAGTGGGTATGGTGGACCCAGTGGACACCTGGTCTGTGGACACATCTGCATTCATACAACCGCAAGAGAGGAGCTGAGAATGGGGATTGTTGGTAGACGCTGACGCTATATTGTTCAACAAACGATCCTCTGCAAAGTAAGAATTCAATTCATTTTCATAAACTAGATTCAACAATTGAACTCTGCTAAATTTCAGATACAGTTTTAGCTAGTTTACAAAATGAATTTAAATAAGATTTGAAGTAAAATTCCAGTGAAGGAAAGAGAAGTGTACACCAGATAAATAGATCTGTATTGTTAAAAAAAAGTGTAGACACACTGGATATTTGGTATATGGAGTGCTGAATTCATTCACTAAAAAGATAAAATACAATTTCAAATTCTGAACTTAATACAGCCATTTTTTGTAGGAAAGCTAATATGAACTGAGTGTAATGTCTTGGGGTTGATCCCTGTATTGCTGAGTTACCCCATCTTCGCTGGGTTGGTGGTGGAAGTGGTACATATTAGTGCACATTTCTTCTGGAAAAAAAATACTGCCAGGGTTAATACTCCTGATTACTATCCAGTGACCTAGTGCTAAAAACTGCAGATGTAGATATTGGGCAAAGACAACATTGTGTCAACTGAGATGCCCTTCTCAGTTCTGCAATTTGCTGAAACCCGCTTCTAGATGCACACATGAAGAATTGTCGTTTGAGAGTGATATCTGGGGCGTTGCCGACACCTGTAGAATTATACCCTAATATACATTGCCTCCTTCAGGAAAGGAGGGGAGAAGAAAATCTGCCATCAGTTATCTCACAACTTTTGTATGGGAGAATAGCAAAAAAAAGTCCAATTTCCAATCTGTGTTCAGATTGTCTGAAAAATTAGTAATGATGATGGTAAGAGAGTACAACTTAATAGCTTGGTTTTGAACAGTTGAAATGTACTAACTATTCTTTGCGGAGTATAGAATAATGTACTACCCATGTTTGTCTTTCATATGCTATGTGGATTCTTCCCTTTGTCCACATGTTTGGTGTTCAAATATAGTGTCCATACAGCATTGAAAAGGGAAATTCAACAGTCGTTTCCTAAGTATGTGTTATTTAATCTGTTCTTATGAGCAGGAGGATGAGGTGAGAATTGGAGTGCAAAGTACCCCAAGTCTCTCTCATATATTTCACCATGTGAGAGAAGCATCTGTATGTGCCTGAAATCAAGCAGCTTGTTTCCTATCCTTGAACAAACTTGTGTGGGACGATGGGTTGAAGGAAAAGGCAGTTTTGCTTCAAATAGATATGAGGAATCACTAAATCAAACCTTTATCTCCATTCTGTAAACCTGGGGAAGAGTTTCGTGGAGATGCATCCAGTACATTGCTCTGTGACAAGGTAGAAAAGAAATGCTTCATTAATAGAGTAAATCTAGACCCAGGAGGAATGTCTTCTTATGTTAGTCAGGATTTGTTCAAGCACAATGTACATTTTACTGAAAGATAATTTAAAAAAGATTTACTGCAATAATACAAAGCACAGATATGGAAAGTCTCTAAAATCTACATTAGGTTGCAAATACACAAGAATGAAAGAGGCACAGAGCAATCATCAAAAACAAATATACAGACATACCATATATACATATATGCTGATTAAGGCAGTCGAACAAAATGCTGATAAGTAACATATTATATGCCAGGAGCAAACTAGTAATATCTAAATCTGCTGGAAGGGGTTGGCTTGATCCCTCCTTCCTCCCTCCCAAAGTCAACCACCATTTTATTTATAATAATTTAATCAGTCAAGAATTTAAATACCTTGGTTTCTTCAGTTGATCTCAATCTACCAGGACTTGCTGGAACAGTTGGCCGTTTCCGTCCCTTTTCTTGTTGAAAAAGATCCTGCAGTCTGCAAGAAAAGTGGTCCTCTAAATAGCTTGTGGTACTTAGCTACAAAATTAAACTATTTCAGGGACAAAGTATGGTGCGCCACTCAAACAGATGTAATCATGTGACAAATTCGGCATTGTATCTCAACTGTTTTGGTTTTGTGTCATATACAATACTTAGGGATTGCATGACTTAAATATTTTTGTCAAATGTTCTATTCAATCAGTTGTCTTGAATATTAAACAGTCAATAACTCCTTCAGCGCCTTGGGACGTCTTCCCGATATAAATGGAATCTTTTGTTGTTGTTGTACTACCACAATTGTTTGGTGTAATTTCCCATACTTTTCATATTCATTTAGCCCACAAAATATACAGTTAATTCACTTTACAGTGTATACTGTGAAGCGCTTTGAGATATCTTAATTACTTGATAAGTAATTAATACGATATTAAATGCAAGGATTATTATTTTATTATATTCAATCTCAATCTCAGCTGGTACATATCGATGCTATAGTCTATATAAGTTAGTTGTCTGTATGTGTCCTCCCGACGTGAAAGGCGCTCTATAAATGCAATCTTGTCGTTGCAGAATAATTCGATCAAGTAAAGAAACTTACATTATTATGAAGAATTTGAAATGTCATCAAAGCAACCAAAGTTACCTGTTATTCCAAGCTTGTAACAACTCGCAGAGGTTTTGTTTTTTGGTAATTAAACAATCGTCCACAAACTGTAGCTGTGGAGGGTTGTCATTTGGAAAGGAAAGTAATCTTGCCTGTGTTTTCTCAAACCAATTTCTGAAATCGGTCTCTTCCATCTACATTTAAAAATAAATACACTTCAGTTTCTAGAGAAAATCGGATCTAAATATAACCAATGTAAGCAATATATTAAACACTATTTTATATCTGCTGTGACAAAAAAAGGTATGAAAAAGACCATTACTTCTTTCTGTGCAAACAAATCTTCAATCTTTTCTTCTCTTGTTTTATTGAAGGTATCAGTTTTCAGAGACACAAGGCGATCATCCACTGCTAAGTAGATCTGTGATACCCTAAATTACGACAAAGTGTTAGCAAAAGCGTTTAGTAAAACTCTATACAAGTGTAAAGAATTATGCTCATTTAGTGTTCCAACTAACTTTTGTGAAAATTCCTTCAAGTCCTGGATTATCGAGAGTTTGGATGGCGTTGCATGTTTAATGCGTATTTCTAGTGGTGGAAGGCAAACTTCAAGCAATCTAATGGGGGCAAAGCTGGTAGATCAAAAATAAAAACAAATTAGCACAAGTTGCAGTCAGCAATAGCAGCAATAGCAAATGTACTGAAAAATTCAACATCTGAGAATTGATGCAGTCATACATATTTAAACTGCTAAAATAAAATAACTATTCTTTTTCACAAGCTAAATGTCCAGACTATATACATCGACATATTATAACTAATAATGGTGGTTATAAGTTAAACAATAAGATGGCAAATTGAAAGAAGCAAAACAGAAAGAGCATGGGAGAGGAGGATGTCAGGAGAAAGAGAAAAAGATAGTACGTATCGTCAAAAATCTAGTGTTTTTTTCAATACCTATAGGGAACTTAAGATAGATTAATGCATCATATGTCCTTTAAAAGCTATGGGAGCAGTGGTGCATGGAATTACTGGATACATAGTCCTATAAACTAGTTTTAAAAATGTCCTCAAGTTAAATTTGAAATAAAGAATATTGAAACACAGCACTCATACAACAGGCTAAGGATAGGCCTCTTTAATATATACCTGAAAGATGCAACCATCTGATTATAAGAAAAATACTGGTGGTAATCATGGTGCATAGAGTGACCACATGGCTCTGCATTTGCTCTGCGTGTATACTGATGACCATAGAACCTCAATTCTAGGTACTTGGCAAAGGACATGGACCAAGAGTCCCTGGAAAGTGGAACCACTGGAGTTACCTAAAATCACACACACGTTAAATACACTGCAAACAGTACGAAACACAAAATAAATCTTTCTAAATCTAGCAGCATTATTCAATTCTGTAGCATTCAGCAAGAACACATTATCAGCTTTATCTAGTAGTACTCTTGTCTGAACACCACCCGTTTGTAACTCATGATTGCTGAGTACCTGTTTGCACATTCTGCACCAGGAATAGGTAAGGATTGTGTGTTGGTAACCAGGTACAGGAGAATCCAGCTCTTTTAGTACAATTTGTACACATCCGTTACCATGGACAAAACGCCGTATATGGTGCACCATAGGAGTTTCACAGAACATACTGGGGCACTGGTAGGAAGGCCTAAAAGAAAGCATCAAACATGCAAAAGTTAGCAGATCAAAAGACATTTAAATTAGTAAGATTATATTGTTCTACATAAATTGCGCTGATGGCAAGCATTTTTGTGAAAGCTTCAATAGCATCTTTATCAAACGTACCTAGAACAAGAAGGCAATTTTTGTCAGGGTAATGTAAAAGAACTATACACACCTAAAACAATACCTCTCCAAAAATACGCCTAAAGTGAGATCATTTTTCCCGTAAAATTCCATTGTGACAATCCTAAAAAGAGAAAAGAGAAATATAAAGAGAAAAAAACAGATAATCAAGAAAAAAACGCCTAGCAAAATAAAACACAGACATTTAAATGCAATGTACATCTACAAAATGCACAATTAAAGGCAGATTAATAACTTTTCAACCAATTTGACAGCAATTTGAAAGTTTAATCTTACAATACAAGGCAGAAGTGTTCATGTCCTTCAACAGATAGTTGAGAGTCAGCTCCTAAAGCTGCTCATTACTCAAAACACCATCTTGTCCTTTGTCATGCAAGTCAAGATAGTGATGCTCTCATTTTAGGCATTTCACAGCAGTGCCAGATATATCACAGTATGAATGATGTCTAATAAATATTATAATCCAACCAGACATTGTGCATTGCAAATATATTTCAATCAGTCCATACATTTAGTTTCGGATATTGGTGTGTCAGAACTTGTCTTGCAGACACAAAAAAAGCATTAGTTGGAACACTTTGATGTTTCTTTGTTGAGGCAGAAATTCACTGATCAGACACAGATAAAAGGAATGAGTTACCTACAGAAATCATCTGCATTTTTAAACACTTCAATACAAGGCACATTCTAAATTTTACAGGTGACAGATCAGCTAGCACTATCAGTATTAACCAATTTGGATATTTGTGATAGTTATTAACTTAGTAACATATTGACATTGTGACAGTTATTAACTTAGAAACATATTGACATTTGAGAAAGTTATACTTATAAAAGGAGGTCACAGAATACAATTTTTTCCAGATTTAATTTGTCTCCTTATTAAGCCTACTAGCCAAACACCACAGTCCAGCAGTCAATCTGTTCGGAAGTCTCCTCCAATACTGCCCTCAAACTAGATACTGGGAACTGCTGACGGACAAAATGTACTACTTTGCTTTTTGACACCAGGTTTATTCAGTTACCTCCCAATTCTCCACTCTTTGTACAGAAAAGGTACTTCTCCACTGAATTTTTCTTGGGTCATACAAACAAGAACGAGTTCTGGCCACGTGGTAATTTTGTGCCAAATCTAGTGAACTTTACTCCATGTTACACTGTGCTTCAGCATCATCCTACTGCGTCAGTGTCAGAGACTTAGTGAGACGTACTACACTGAATTTGTTACCGATAAGTGTGATAGAAATTCTTTCTTTATAAAAGGATACCAGAATAATGAGTTATATATTACCAAATATTATAGTTACATTTGAAGGGCAGCAATCCATCACATTCAAAATAGTCAAACAATGGTAACAATAATTGAGAGCAGTTTATAGATTTCTCAAACATAGAATTTGTAACATGCAACTGTTGCAAAGATTTTAGTTCTTCTGTTATCAAGTGATTTACTATATACAATAGATTCAGTATAATTTTTAATAATACAGAATTTAGAGATAGGACAGACATTGGGATGATATACGCAACAATACCTATAAACTCACCCAAGCCCAACCTCGAGAAGGAGTTGGTGGTGGCTCAGTGGAACTGAAAACCAAATACAAACCCAAACCTTCGTTTTTACTTAAGGAGTGAAGACGTGCAAAATGTAATAGTATAATGTTACTTGCCATGGACTGACGCATGGATTTGGTGCATTGCTTGACTGAACAGAGGAACTACTGAAGAGAACACAAAGCTTCTGGTGGTTTGCAGGGCTCAAACAGTCGACCTTCAAAGCAAATAAACTTAAGTTGACAAACAATAGCCTAAAACTCCACATACAATATGCAACATAAATATAACCTGCAAATACTTAATGTAAACTTATTTTTATTTGGATTTCATAGGGTATCATACATTGATACTTAAATTAAGTTTCTAAGGCATCAATGCAATATGAAAACATACGCTATTCAGCATGGATGGATTCGATTCAGCAGATAGCAATGGAATGAAAACATTCTTTGTGATGGCCTTACCTTTGATGACCACATTAACTCACTCTGTGTCTGACCTCGCTGAATTTCCTCTTCCCCATCTTTCGTGGGTGCTGTATTGCTGTCTTCTTTGCACTGTACAAAGGGGTCTATTTCTTGGTTCTTTAACCGACCACCTCTAGCCCTGTAGTCAGCCAGCACCTTTGATAAGCTTTGATTATTTCCTAAGGACTCAGTTATTCTGGTACTGAGCAGATCATGGGATGGCAGAATCTGAGTTGACTTTGCCTGCACATTCCCGTTCATTCCCTGAAGGCTAGTCAAGTCTTTCAGAAACAGTTTCTTTCTCCTGAACTCAATTTCCTTAATATCTTTGTGTAAAAGAGGAGACCAATAGACTTGTTCTGGAAAGTAGTCTCTTGTCGGACACTTCATGCCCTTTTCAGTAAACAGAAAAGGTTCTTTAAAAATAATGAATGGAGATATGCAGAGGATGACGTCTTTTAATTCCTGTTTGAATGCTACAGAGTGGGTCTTCAGCCTGTCATCTGAAGAAGTAACATGCTCAGTAATGAACAGATCTGTATCGTCTTGAAGGGGATCCCGGAAAGGTTTAAGCCCACTGCCTCGTGGCTGATCACTACCTCCTGTATCAGAGTCACTTAACTTAGGCTGGTCTTTTTGTGGGAATTCTGGACAGACATCTAGAGAAGTCTGTTCTATTTTACTGTCTGATATCTCAGCTATTGCTGTATGGAGGATAGATATTGTATGATGGTCAAGAAATGGGATCACAAAGTCCACAGGTGGTTTATCAAGTGGAGGGACCTCAGGCTTTAGAAACACATTTTCTTGAGAAGCACTTTCCCTCAGTGGTTTTTCGTCTTCTTCATAAAGTACATTTGAACAGTCAAATGTAGGTGCCAGTGCAAATTCAGAGAGTATAGTAATGCCATCCATTGTACTATCAGAGTCTTTAGAAAGGTTGCTCAGCTCTTCATTAAACAAATCCTGCTTATCAGTGTCAGTTGTCTCACAGTCAATGATGGAATGGATTGATCCACTTTTAGATAAACTGGGAGGCATTGCAAATTCATCCATAAGGAAAGAGATCTCCAGTTGAGAATGATAAGCTACACAGACCATGAATATAAGGATTTCTTTTACCCTTGCTAGTTCATATTCTGAAGCACCTCTCAGCTTCACAGTGCAACCCAAATGCTGAGCACATCCTTCAAAAAACATGAGAGTTTTTGCTTGATCTGAATGAGGAAAGAAAAATCAGAGGTAAAATTAAAGTAATTCCAAATTTGACTCCTTTACAACAACAAACAACAACAATCAAAATTACATTTGTAAAGCGCCTTTCATGTCGGGAGGACGTCCTAAGGTACTGATCAGTCATGGATCAGGACCCGAGAGTCGGGGGGTAGGAGGGCAGCTGAAGGCACAGTCAAAAAGGAGAGTCTTGAGCCGTGCCTTGAAAGAGGTATGAGAGGGAGCAAGGCGAAGGGATTGTGGGATGGAGTTCCAAAGAATGGAGGCAGAGAGGCCGAAAGCCCAGCCACCGATGGTAGGGCGAGTCGGGTGGGAGACCTGGAACAGGCCGGAGCCCGCTGAGCAGAGGGAGTGGACAGGTTGATAGTGGGTCAGCAGGTCAGAGATGTAGGAGGGGGCAAGGCCTTAGAGGACCTTGAAAGTGAGGACGAGGATTTTGAATTCTATCCTCTGAGGGATGGGGAGCCAGTGGAACAGGGCGAGGGTGAGGTTGATGGGGTCAATCTTTACATACAAAACTCTCCCTCACCCTACCCCCATTTCTCTTTTTGAAAAGTGCAAACAGTTGTTTCAGTATATCTCGAAGGTGTCCTGAAGAGTGGGTCACAGTCTCTGGGTTTGAAGAGAAGGAAAAACATGCAGTGTTTGACTATTATCCAGCAACATGGAAAGTTGGTGTAAACAAGGAAAGGATGTTTATGTTAACTGTGGATCACATTGGGCTGACAACCCCCAATGCCAAAGTAGCTGGCCGAAAGTCATTTCTTAAGCTTACATGTGAAGAATGACTACCTGGTTGTTAGCACCTTCTTAATCGCACCCCAGTATGACTGACAGTCTTTAATGGAGGATAAGGAAGGAGCAAAAACATTCCAATTTAATAGTTTCTCACCATTAGGTAGCTGGAATGGTTGAAGGTAAAATTTATGGCATGTTCCAAGACGTGGTTTTGTAAGAAGCTGGTCCATTGACATAACCAAATCTCCCTGTGTAACACGGCTCACTCGGTCCAGGACTTGCTATGGGAAAAATGCAGAAACATGAATACACTAAGAAGTTTCAACAGCTACATAAACCAGGTTTCTATCTTAAAAGTATCTGTGTAAAGTGTTTTATTATAGTCATCCCATTGTAGCAGTAGTAGAAATATAACCAAAACAATTAAATTAGATTTTTTTTAAATCAGCAATCAATATTTAAAAGGGTTTTAGATGTTATTTAACACAATATATTTCCTTCCTGTTGATAATTATCAAATCAAAAAATGCATATTGTAAAATTGCATGTCTCACAGAAACAAAATGGTTTAACTACCTGATTTGCCCAATTATAGAAAAACATCTATGAAGCTTTTGAAAGACCTTCCAAGAACATTTCACAAAGAGAATCAATTTTATAGAATTTTCATTTATCTACATCTACCAGCGAACAAAACTAGGAATGCAACAAACGTGCAAAAAAAATTACATGCTACGAGGCAGTTACACAGCAGTGTTTTGTATCATGCTAAGTCTGTGAATATTGTAAATGTTTGTGCTGATGAAAAATAAGCAATATTGGGTGAACAAAACTGGAGTACTCACTGGCTTTACATTTATAACTAAGGTAATGCCATGTTCAAGAAGCATATCCTGAGCAATACGAGAAACTGTCTTCTCCACAAGAACCAAATTTGGTCGAACATCAACTATTCGCTGGACATAATTCTTTAGGAATTCTCTTTCCTAATAATAGAAATATATTCACTGCTGTTAAACATGTTGCACATTGAAACTAAAACACTGAAAAACAACAATGTTGAATGGAACTACTATTGCACTTATTGCAAGCTGTTAGTGTATTGGGAGTTAATTAAATTTCAAATATCTTGCATCCAGTACATACAGGTTAAAATTTCAAAGTGCAGATATATATTATATATATAAAAAATCCTTGCATTTGATATAGTACCTTATCACAGCATTAAACAACAACAAGATTACATTTGTATAGCGCCTTTCACATTGGGAGGATATCCCAAGGTGCTGAAAGTGTCTCAAAACACTTCACAGAATATACTGTATTCTGTATAGTGACTTATATTTTGTGGGCAAAACGTGGCAGCCAATTGTGCACAGCAGCATCGCACAAACAGACAAGGATTAAGTGACCAAATTATTAAAATAATAAGTAAAATAATTTTGATCGTGAAAGCTAATATAATATGAACATATATTACATTACATTCTAAAACAAACAAACCTGTAGAACAATTGGATCTATGCAGGTGAACTTGGTCTCCTCTCTATAGAGATATTCGATGGAACATTTCAACAGCAAAATCTTAGGAGTTTTTATGTAAGAATTCATCTGGAGAATATCAAAACCACAGTTGAAGTAAAACATTGGAATTGAGTAAGAACATCAAATAAAAATGATTGAATATAAGCAACTGTTCATATTAAAGGCAGAACTTAAGCAGAGGGTCAGAAGAAGCTGATCCTCACCTTCTTATGTGCAATGTTTTTAGTGCACACAAACCCATTCACAACAGCAGAATCAAACTTTTTCCCACCAGGTATCTAAAAAGGATTAAAGAATAAAATGTGATGCAAACGTAATATTTGAAAAGCAAAATCTTTTAGATGCTAAACTTTAGCTTCAAACAAGGTCAGGAAATGCAAAATGAATTGATTGCCCAACAAGTAATTGACTCTGACAAGAATGCTCAGCAATTCTGAGCTTTTCTAGCAAGCTGTGCTACATTCTCAGTGATTCAAAGAAAATCTTTGGATTGGATTGTTTCAGGATACATCACACTGATGTTCATATATGTGCAGGCTTATCTTCAGTTGACATTACCTTTTTTATATGAACGAATTGGCGGATATCCATGTCATCATCATTGTTCTTGACATCTGGTCGCACAGTCTGCACTACTTGGCGAACCACGGGAACAATTATGTCTCTCCAGGAAAGTGAAAGAGACTCACTGTACAAGAGTTGTTGCAGCAAGGCCATCATATGATTGTGGTTTGCAGAACTGTATGGAGAGCAAAGATATAAAATATTCAAAAAACACTGAGTATTTTAAGAAAATGAAAGTATTAAATCGGAAATTAAACAAACAATGTCACATCCGTTAAAGATGAAAAAAAACTATGAATTTTCTGTACTTGATTCATGTTGTAAAGGGTTCATCTGAAGCAAAGAAATGATTGTGTCCACATAGAAAATGAAAACTTAAGAAATTTACAATTATTGTTTAATTTCCCACATACAAATAACGACCTAAATTTAAGCATTTGTTTAGCTTTTGAAATCACAAATCAATTGTTGATCATCAGCACCTAACTATCAGTATAAAACTGGCAACAAAAAGGGAGAGCAAATTAATATCAACTTCACACGCGTATTTAAGGATACATCCCATATCAAATACAAATTATATATTTTTATTTGAAACCCATCATGCTTAAGAGTGTCCAAACCAGACAGAGCAAAATTTATGTATGTCACCTACCCATGGATATTTCACAGAATCATAGAATCGTACAGCACAAAAAGAGGCCATTCGGCCCATTGAGTCTGTGCCGGCTCTTTGAAAAGAGCAGTGTAATGTCAATCCCACTCCCCAGCCCTTTCCCCATAACCCTGCAAACTCGTCCTCCTCAAATACTCATCCACCGCGTTTTTAAAAGTTGTTGTCGATTTCTGGGAATGGAATGCACATTCTTTCCCTGGAGGGATGCACCCTGCTTACCTAATTTCAGATAGTATTAGGTGCAAGTTGGCAAGGCTTTGGGACCCTAGTACGTGCGTTGGGATAATGCTGAGGTTTAACCAGCTAAAATCGCAAAGCTTGCCACTGAAAGTACTGCCTAGCAAGCTTCCTACTCCTTGTTCAGCTAGGATCCTATCCATTAGGACTTTGGCATGCAGAGTCAACAGAAGACGAGTGGGAATGAATCCCTGCTCAGTGACTGGTCTGCTATTGATGAGCCCGGTTGGATGGTCTGTCACCAATGGTGCCCTGGAATGCAGGGCAGTACTGGCTCAGGAATCAGCCTATGGAGAATGCCACAGAGGGTTGACTCATTTCTGACATTCCATTGTAAAGCATTTCATCTTGCCAGCCCAGCTCCAAGTAGACCTGCTTACCTCCTCACCTCAAGGAGTGAATTATTAAATGACTTTTTTTTTTTAAGTTTGCTTTCATCTTTTTTTCTTAACATTTTTTGAAGCGTGGCATCTCACATGCAATTTAACAATCAATGTACACAGTAGAGGTGCATTTGTGTGAACTGTTAATACACACATACAGGATTTAATCACACTTTTCCGTAGAAAACATGGAAGTAGAACTATGTTGTAAGTTTCCATCTCTACCATATACTCTTACAGTAATCTCTCCATTGCTTGCTTCTCCCCATTTTCTTCCCTGAGTTGTTCTAAAGAGCTGTGATGCCATCCAAGTGGTGTAAAAAGAAGATCTTTTGATTTTTCTTCAACCCGACGATTAAACAAAGATTCTGAGGGAAAAAACAGCTGTAATTTAGGATATCCATTTTGCATGTTTATAAATGTATGAGCTATAGATATCAAAACCTTGATTTAAAATTTACCTGGAATGCATTTGAAAAAAAATCACGAAATACTCAAATCAATAATTTATGTATATATTAAGCCATCCTGAATTGACTAACTTAATTAAAACTGCAAAGGACAATGTCAAACATTCTAAAAGGATCCAGAATTGTAAATGCAGCTGCTGGAATTAAATAATACAGAAACATTTTCTGCAAACTTGTCTGCAATAGAATCTTCACATATAGAGTGCTGTTGTTTATCTCAACTGATGAATATATGCAACCAGTTGCAGTTTCAACAATTATCTGAGTATTTTTCAACTATGGGTATATCAAACATTCAGGCATGTTTACGGTTCTGCATTCATAAGACGTTCCATTAAGAAGGGAGATCTCAGTTCACACGTTTATGAAATTTCTGTCATATCTTTCACTTACCTTTGATAAAAGCATCACTTATGGCAATGATTTGTTGCACTCCATCTTCAGATACCAGGAACTCTGTCAAACAAATTAAGTAAATTGGTTTAAAAAGCTCTGAATACATAGCTGTATATCCTTTCTTCAGAGGGTAGTCTCCATATCTAAAAAAATATTTTCAGAACAGAGATCAGCAATTTTAGAAACTTTTAAATGCAAAATTGATCCCGTTTACCATCTGAGTGTACCCCATTTCTTAAAGGAACTGTAGAATTCAAACAGTACCATGACATACAAGTTGGTTTAACAATGTTCCACAATGTCCTCTTCTGAATAATGGTTACTGTCAAGAGTTAAACAACAATAAGCATACCATAACAAAGTTTGATGCATGTTACAGGAAAGTCATTTGGTCAAGATCACACAATGCAAATCAAATCATAAATAATTTTACTGGCAAATTATAGTCTTTCAGCAATACCGAAACAAAGTTAGGAAGCTCGAGATGCTGAGGTGCCTGAACAGCAGGAGCATTGTGATGGTTGTTATAAGTAGACTACAGTCCAAAATTAGAGGTCAATAAAGGTGAAAAAAATAAACAAAAGAGTAGAGTTTGCACACATCCAGCATGGCAGAACGACAGATAGCAGCACAATACAGTATCTAGGAAGCAGTTAGTCAATTGCAGTGCAAAAGCTGGTTACAAAGCAGGTTACCGTTTTATCATGCAGAAGTCTAGGGAAATCTATGGCAGTCACGACATGCCCTAAACCAGAACTAATTTATTTGGGGAGAGGAGAGATTTGGGGAAGTGAGAGGGGAAAAAGGGTCAGGATCCTTCAATTCCAGGAAGTCAGCATAAACAATGTATGAAGAGAACCAGGTATTCAGAGGTGATAGGGCATTATACAATCAAAACTACAACTTTTATAAGGAAATTTGGCTCAAAATCAAAACCTAGGTTGGGAAACTCTGGACTAACTATGGATTATCAGCCATCATCTAATTTAATTTTTAAGTGAAACTTTTGTTTTCCTGGGGGTTTTGTTAATCCTAAACAGTGGACTAGACACTACGCCTGTCACTGGGTGCTTCCCTTTCATACCTTTCTGATCTGCTGGATGTGGTGGGACATACGGGTACTTGGAATGTTTCTTGATATGAAAGTTGACATTGTCCAGTTCCACATTTAGGCTGATAGAGGCGGCAGAGTCACTGTCCACGACTGACTGAAAGCTGCTTACTGATGTACGCTTGCTAGGGCTGGAAGAGCCTGTAAAAAATGATTACGTCCGTGTTCGTGGAAATTCAGGCAAAACACTTTCAGCAAAGGGCATGCAAATTTTGTATCTCCAACTGCTTCTTCAGTAAGAACAAGCAACAATAAATATGGTTATAAAATGATCCAGTAAACTGTGACCTGTATTGTACGGGGAAATTGTTAGACTCAAAACACTCAACATTCACTCCTGTATTTATTCATTGTTGTGGCAAACGAGTCTACATTGTACTTTTTTTTCAATATCTCGATTAATATGAAACAATATGGTCCAGGAATGAACACCTTCACTTTTTTCTATTCCACAACCTTCTTTGCTTCGAACTCTCCTTCTGTGTGTTTTTCGTAGTGTTGTAATATATTTGCCTTAAATCATGGTTTTAAATCATGCAAGGCCACAGTCTGCTTAAGGTAAAATTTAAGTTAGCAACATGCAGGAGCTGCAGGTTATGCAGTTTAATTTACTCAACAGTCATGTAAAGGTCTTTCTTGACAAATAAACTAGTTCCCTAGGCAACCTACAACCTGACTTTGCAGAATGTGTTTTTATAAATTGAAGTGCTTGGGAGGAAGCTTATATAAATGCAATAATCCATTGAGGACAGTCGTTATTTATCTGTTATACATGGTCAACATATGTAATGCTTATGAGCTTCTTTCCGTGCCTTCAGCTCCCCTCTCGACTCTCTTCCTCCTCCTCGCTCCCTCCCTTCCCTCCCCTCACCCTGACCATTTCCCCCCTGCTCGGGTCATGACCCAACTGTGCAGCGCCTTGGGACGTCCTCCTGACGTGAAAGGCGCTCTATAAATGGAATCTTGTTGTTGTTGTTGTTGTTGTTCTTCCATTACATGAATAAAACGTTAAAAAGGAACTGTTCAGATTTGAAAATAGTAAAAAAAAATGAAATAGTATAACATATACATGGGTTATATTTGGGCACAGAATTCATCTACAGAAGATAAACTTGTTGTGAGGAACATATTAACCTGAATTCCTAACTGGACGAAAACCAACCCCACTTAAGGTCAAATCAAGGTGGTTTTATGTTTTAAGGCCACATTTTAGTGAGAGATGCACATTAACACACAGAGAAAAATTACCTGAATGATTTAATAAATTTACCAAAGGGGAGAGGGGAAAAAACACAAGAAGGGAAAAAGAAAAGCACCATTCATCCAAGTTTGAGCTGAACAACAGAGAACAAACATACAAAGGTAAATACAGTTTAAATTACTGAAGATACAAAAGGAAAACCAATCTAAAATCAATTGCACCATCTGAAAGATGAGAATATTGTGCACAAAACCTATTTTTCTGAACCAAGTGATAACGCTTATCAAGGCACTGCGGACAAACAGGAAAAACTGCATCAGTTCAGCAATTTATCAGAAATTGTCTGTAAATTCTAAATGGGAAAACTAAACAACTCTCTGCCACTTGAAATAAAACTGTTATAAACATATGCCAAGAGACAAACTTTCAATTATTGTTTATGAAATAGAGTACATAACATGTATATGCATCACATTATCAAAAGAATATCACAATAAATATTACTTTAGGTTGATTCTCAAAAAAACTGTTCAAATAAATTCACGCACATATTTGGACAAAAGGCAGGTCTGGAAGCAATAACATAGCGACATGATGATTTGGAGGGCAAGTGTTCGCCAATTGCCCCTTTCTTCTCTTGTTTTCATGGAATCTCCACTTCCCACAGTTAAAACGGTAGGAATGGAACATATGCTTTTAGATAATTCTTCACCTATGAGAATGCACAATGTGCATTTGCGCTCTCCACTTTTTTTCTCTTCCCTTTAAGTGTCAATTCTAGCAACTCTCCCTAATCGCATACCTTATATGGTGTTGGCAACTCAAGAATCATTACACTTGTGTCTGGCCTCTCCCAAGAATCGCATGCTTGCACTCCAACTTATTGCACAACCTCCCAGTAGTATTTTTTTAAGACGCCATTGCTCACTCAGAATCACTGTTTTTTCAGGATTCTAAGCAGACTGAGATACCTTGCCTTTCTTTTTTCAATCCACTGTCTATTCATTTGACTATAATTCTACAAATTTAGTTTCCTACATCTTTGTTTGAACCTTCACGAAAAAACAAATTCAAAGCAAGTTTTAACTTTTTTAAAAAAAAGCCTGGCTGCCTTATCAATTTTAACCCATATCAGGATGGGATTACAAGTCTGTCCAAACATGTTAAATCAATAAGGCTTTGGGAAGCTGCCTATTTGGCTCACATCATTTTCAATCCATTTCTGTTTAACCTTTCTATTCCCAGCCAATTTTAAATTAACCATTGCGTTTAGAACAAAGTAGCTTGATAATCCTTATTATTTCTCAATTATGTAGAAGTGAAGTTTGTTGCAGTAACCCTAAACTCCTTAGTGCAGTCTCGTCCTTGGCTAGTCAGTGCGTTGGTTTGTTAAGTGTATGATAGGAATCTTCCCTAGTTAGGCTCTGTCCATTGATGAGTGAAACATTAAAAGTTCGTTGAGACACTATTTTTGTTTCATCTTCCACAAATCTTTCACAAACACAAGACCGTCAAAATTCTAACTGAATTTTAGTTCCATACAAAATGTTTCCAATGGAGGTGAAGGGATACCCAATAAAATTTGATTCCACTCTCTCTTGAAAAAAAAGAAGAACTTCAAGACAAATTTGGTTTAAAAAACAACTATGGACAGAAATACTGTACTTGTTGGTTCATGTGGTTTGGTTCTGTATATATGGACAGGTAATACATATCTAAATTTTATTTAAATTAAATACATCTTCTCTCCTTCTCAATACTCTCAGTATCAAGACTTAATTTCCATTGTATGTGGCGAGAAAGATGGGCAACTTACTTTGCAAAATCTCTTCAACTTCATCCTGAATCTGTTCAGTGTCACTGTCGTCAAACTTGATATCCTTAAACCATGATGGTTCAGAATTTCCTTCCACTGAATTCACAGAATCGCTGTCCGGTGAAGGAGTTTCAGAAAACTCTGTGTTCTGCAATAGACAAATTTTTAAAAATCACATTATTTATAAAAGATAATTGTTATGGAAGACATACAAATTTAAGCACCTTAGGATATCCTCCCGACTAAGTTTGTATTGTATTAATAACCCTATATTAATGATAATCCTTGCATTTTATATAACGCCTTACCATGCTATTGAGACGTGAGTCTCTAAATGCTTCACAAGATATACTGAAAAGTGGTTTGACTGTGTATTTTGTGGCTGAAATGCCAGTTGTAATTCAGCATTCTAGATATTTTAAAATTAGAATAATCTTGAAAGACAGGTTAAAAATTTCACTGTAGGTGGCAACCTCCTCTCTTGCCCCCTTACAACCACAAATGGTAAAGTAGAATGTAACTCTTAGTTAAGCTGAAATGAGAAACAAATATGCATTTCAGTGTTGTTTTGCTTAAAATATATGTATTTCAGTGGACTGACTTTTTAAAATGGCAAAATTACCTTTAGAAAAGTGTGCATTATACATGGGAGTTAGAGGTGAATTGAGATTTTCACTGCAAATTACAAATATGCCTACAAAATAAAGTCTAGAGTAAATCTCGTGAAGCTGTCTGAGATGTTTCAGCGATGTGATAACACATGCAAGGACTATTATTTATTACCATTGTAAAGGTGAATCAAAGGCCAGGTTGCAGAATCATTTGAATTTTGTTTGCCATCAGCAAATTTCATCACAGTCTTGCAAAATGGTACCTGGATTATACACAATCAGCTGCGTTAATGCATAGCAACAAACCTCAATGGGATCCCACTCTGCAGCAGTACTTTAGTCCAAGCAGGCACTGGCTAAACTGAACTTTAATTCAACCAGTGCTTTTCACATAAACAAAGATACAAAAACACATGAAATGTTGATCGACAAGAAGTGAATTCCCACCCTCTTTCCTGAACTTGTGATATGGACGCCCGGCTCACAGGATTCAAATATAAATACAGATTTTTAAAACATGCTTGATTTCTGTAGTAGGGCAGAAAAATAATACATTCATTGAAATGTTTACAGTTTTTAATTAACCTTAGTTGCATTTGTGGGTTTTTTGCCCACAAAATACAGTCAATCCACTTTACAGTATATCCTGTGAAGCCCTTTGAGACGTTTCAACAACATGAGGTGCTATATCAAATAATAATACAAGTTGCATTTTTATACCCTGTAACCTTAATGGTGGAGCCTGAGCCCGGGTGCGGGGGTGTGTAGGTGGCCATAAGCATGTCCGAAGAGAAAGGTTTTCAGGCGGGACTTGAAAAGGAGGAGAGGCGGCAACAAACTCAAGATTTCATTAGGGGGGAAAAAAATGAATTATACACGTAGCTTTGCAATGTAAAACCTGAAAGTATTTCTTATTGCGTTGGAACCACAAACAAGCAATTCTGAAGCAGGTGTGTTGCAATTACCTGCAAAGGCCTGTATAAGGCATACTCATCCCTGAATAGCTGATCATGATGGGTTCCACAGTCAAACCATCGACCATCCACTAAGGCCTGTCCAATGGCAATTGCCTGAGCTCTGAAAGCAATGGTGGGAATGCAGGTTATTAAATACTTTAAAACACAATGAATAATTATGAAAGTATAATGCACATCTTTGAGGTACGGGTACATCTTTGAGCCTCCCCTGTGAGAGAACCAAATTCTACAAGTATCTCTACGATAGACTCTCCCAATTCAAACGAAGTACATCATGTTATACATTCTATTTCCCACAAGCTCCTATATAGTCATGCTCATGATATGCATACTGTAGTATTTTGGAATTGGGAGGAGGTAGTCAAATCAGATTATTTTTAATATTTTAATTCCAAATCAGTATTATTTGATCATACATTCAAGACCATAGATTAGATAAAGCTGAATACAACATCACACAAATGTTAATAAACTGATAACATTATCACATTTGGCACTAGCTAGATGCTCTGTAACACCTTCTTTCCTATGTTCTAATGGAACAAACCAAAGAAGATTTAATTAAATAAAAGTGAGGACAAAAAAAGGAAAAAGAAAAAAGGAAGTCCTTCTCTATGCTACTCTTGGGGCCCACCACACATTTAATTATAGTCAAGAGAATAAAATAGAATAAAAACAGAACTTTGGATTGGAGCAAATTGAATAATAAAACTATTAATATTCAAGATGATTTGTCAGAGCAACAATAAGCTACAACAAAGAAAATCGCAACCATTAACCAAATTTATGATGTGGCATGTCTGGAAGAGGTACTTGATTAGATTAGATCACAGGAATATTCATAAAAATCCTGCACAAATAAAACTACAAGAAACACTATCAACAAGAACTTGGATTTATATAGCGCCCTCCACGCCGGACGACGTTTCAGAGCGCTTCACAGTAACGGATCCCAGGGCCGAGCCAGAGGTAGGGGGAGGAAGGTGACCAAAGGCGCGGTCGAAAAAAAAGGTCTTCAGCAGAGCCCTGAAAATAGGAAGCGAGGGGGTGAGGCGAAGGCGAACTAAAATCATAAATACACATATTATGCTTTCACAGCTATTTGCCTCCGATTTGTTACAAAACTGTCCTTTAAATACATTTTGCTCCCATTCTTAATATTTTTGTTAGTTACCGTGTAGATACATGTCCATTTCTTATCAGCCAGTTTACAAGTTCCTTTCCCACTATGCAATTTGGATAAGTTCGCAGCCAGTACCGGTGATCCTGGAACTCCATGCCAGTACTATGGTGACAGATTTTCTTCCATAAGTCCTTCAATTGCACTGAATCCTAAAATACATTTTAGAAATATAAAACCTGCTTTATATAGCACACATCTCTCAGAAAAGCAAACATTAAGTGCCCAGGTGGGATAGTCCACTAATGCACTGTGCCCCTGAGTAAGATGTAAGTTAACACCTGCAACTCCTCATCATGGGTTTTTGGAAGAGAAGCAGAAGAGACTAAGTTTAAAATTGGTATTGAATACATGTATCTCAGGAACTGAAGTAAATGAAAATAACCAGAAAAAGGTACAAATGAATTTCTCTTCTTTATTCATTTCCCTTATCACATAATAATAAAAATCCTTGCATTTGAAATAGTGCCATATCACATTGTCGAGAAGTCTCAAAGAATTTCACAGAATATACTGTAAAGCGTTTTTTGTGGGTGAAACGTAAGAGCAAGTTTTGTGGGTGAAACATAATAGTAATGTCCCACAAATAGCCATGGAGTGAGTGATCGTTGGACAAGACACCGGGAGAAAATCCCTTCTCCCTTTGAATGGGTTCGTTAAAATCCACCTGAACAGGCAAATGGGACCTCAGTTTAACATCTTATCTGAAGGACGGCACCTCCACCAATGCAGCACACCCGCAACTTGCATTGGAGTGTCATCTTAGACTATGTGATTTCAAGTCCCGAGGTGGGACTTGAACCCACAATCTTCTGACACAGAGGCACAGTGCTACCACTGGGCCAAGCTGACACTTTTAGAATATTATTTAGAATTTTTAGAAAATACAAAATTGAGGTTGCATCAGTACCAGAAGAATTTTTCTTTCATCTTCATTTGGATCTGACTTAACGTATGCCCGAGAAGCCTGAGGACTGATGGAGTTGTCATAGGAAGGAACCATGGGTGAAGCCGATCGGTCAAGAGATAGATTGGTAATGCTTGCGGACCTGTGAAAAATCAAGGAACATGTAAAAGTCAACAAAGCAAAATGACCTATAGTATTACCAAGGTAGGACTTATCTACACAACAATATCCTTTATATATCATTAGGATGAGGCCTAACTAACCACAATAGAGTACTGCAAGAGCATTATTCTCTTAAGACACTTGACATCACGTTACTGCACTTTTTAAGCATAGTCACTTTTTTCCCAGGAGGAACAAAAAAATACCTGATTTATGTACAAGACTACATATCAACTGCAAATGACAAATATCAGAACTAGTTAACCAAGCTACAGAGTGAAACCAGATGGTGTTGTTTATGGACAATGTTGCCATATAAGAACCCTAGAAAGTAGATGATGTTATTTTCTTGTTTGCTGCACATATCACCAGGATTCTGAGTGAGCAGAGGCTATTTCAATCAAAACACTGTCCAAAAATCAAATTACCTTTTAGCAGTGAGTTCAAGATAAGTGTAACATAAAATAAAGTAAAATGATTATCCAGATTAGATTCTCTGAGGCAAGGCTAATATGGTCACCTAAATGGCTGACAGACTTTCTACAAATTTCCAAAAGGTTTCCTCAACTGAAGGTGTGCACAAAGCCTAGAAATGGCAAAGAGACCCTTTACTAGGTAGGTAGTACATTTATAGAAAATAAATGCCAAACAACTGCCAGTCAAGTTTATACTGAAAGAATGTTCTATAAACGTCCCTCTTCCTTTAATATTCTTAAAGCAGCAACAGAATAGATTCTGTAATCCAATTCTTAGAGAAGCATTCACAATGATGCTATCATAGCTTTCTCAGCTCAAGAGTAATTTTCAAACATATTTAATATGAATTCGTATATTAAGAGTAGTATATAAAGAGTAATTTTCAAACATATTTAATATGAATTCGTAGTTGTCATCTTGTTATAGCCATGGACCTACCAAATTCCACATTGTCTGAGCCTGTAAGACCATTTTGTCTTAAAATTCAAGATTGTGGAAAAAAAGAACCTTTTCTGGCTACAACCAGGTGGAATTTGAGTCCTCAGAATTTCTTTTGACAGAAAATGCGAGACATGATGGTCTGTGAGCCTAGAACCAATTTTTACACAATGTACTGTTTAATTTTTTTAAAATAAAAGAATCATACAATTTTGTTTTAAAACACAATTGATATGGAAAAGCCAAACGACATTTAGCAAAATAGGATAAGAACTTCATTAAAACATTTCCAACATACCTTTTGCGTGCTGGTGACTTTCCTGTATCCTCCTGCACAGAAGTGAGGCGTTTGGCCAAAGGATTGTTCTGTGGCTCCTGGTGACCCAAGCTAATTGAGGGAAAAAGATTATATAATCAATTCTCAAATATTGACTATAGAATCTTAACTACAATGTTTAAAATTTAACAGCTGGGTTACCCACTTAAAAGCATCGATACTTTTCAACTATTTGGTAAAAAAAACAGGTTCAAGTTAATCTAAGGTAAATTTCATACCACAAAATAAAACATATTCTTTGCATTTCAAAACGCAAGTATTATTATTAATAAATATTTGACCTATCATTAGCCAGAATTGATCAAGTTACTTAAATGGATCTTAAAGTCTTTATATAGTCTCTTACTTCTGATAAGAAAACAATGATTGTTAGGACTAGCAACAAATGATCTAGCAACTTATTTACTTGATCCATTGTGAGAAGATTGGTGGACGAATTCAGTCCACTGAAACTTTACCATAAGCACAATTTTGGATATTAGTAGTAAATTCAAAGTGAAACGGACATCAATATTTTATCGCCTTTAACACAAGACTAATTGTCACTTTCAGTAGCCGTGTTCGCTTCATAAAAAGTCAGCGGTTTTATTTATGGCTTCTTGAGTGGTTTGTTGGATTGTTACTAACTCAATGCCTTCTTTTTTTTAAAAAAAATTGAGAACAAAGGTTGTTATAACTCCACCAGCTTGTTCAATATGATGAAACACAGTGAACTGAAATAATTTTCACTTTGCACAAACTTAACTTAGCCTATCTTTAACTCCACTCAAAGACCAAATGCATTCTTCAGCAGTATTTTTTATGGAATATAAATTTTAGAATGTGTTAAAAAAACATAATGTGCTTCATTTGTAACCCCAGAAGAGTAAATCCAGCATTAACATTAATAACATATTTTTTGCAATTTTAACAAAAACATCCTTAAGGTTTAAGCAAGGTCATCAACCGATTTCTAATTTGTGGGTCAATTTGTGCTGTGGACTAGGTTGATGCAGTCTAAGTTCACAGATAAAAAGAATAGAAGAAGAATCCTTGCATTTGTTATACCGCCTCATGTCTTCGAGATGTCTCAAAGCGCTTCACAGAATACACTGTCAATTGAATTGACTATATATTTGTTAGCAAAACGCAGCAGTCAATTGCACACAGCAGTGTCCCACAAACAGTCGTGGAATGAGTTACCACATTTTTTTATTTATCTTTTTTTTGGAAGGATTATTATCCCTGGAAAGCAATCCACCAATCGACTAACAACCTACTTACTGTTAGGTAAACAGAAGCATGTGGAGTAAGGAAACTTGTCTAACGTTTCGTCCTGCCCAGGAATCAAACCCAGATCCTCTCGCTTTTGTGGCGAGCGCTCTAACCACTGAGCTGCAGGACTTATGCGATGGGGACGCAGAGGTAATTTCAGCAGGTCCTCACAGAGGAAAACTGAACAATTTTTTGGGGAGAATTGAGGTGCAGGATGCAACAGGCTTCCGGGCAATACAATCACAAACAAGGTACAAAAGGAGAACAAAAAACACTTTGCTTGATCCACTTTGCTGTGGATCACTGGCTAAACTTAAAACTACTCTCTCTCTTGCTCATAAGTTTCATCTAAATCCTTAATTTTTTTGTATTAAAAAATCATTGTATAATATAAAAACAAACACTTGTATTTTGATGTTAATGAACTTTACAAGATGTACAGTTTTTTGTGAATGGGACTGGGGGCAGGAGAGAAACTGATGTCCTAAAGATATCAGGAAGTGTCATTTGGATTAGCACTTTTAATGATGCCAGTAATGCTATTGTGGGTCCTAATGTTCTCACTGTATTTTAACACAAAATACTCATAGTGACTAGATATTTTTACTAAAGGTTGCAAAGTTTGTAAGCTGATTTTTGTTTTGTGTGATTGTTTTATAATTAAAATCATGTCAAAGATGAAACCCTGATTACCAGTAGAAAGTTAAAACAATCAACAAACAATTTTCTGGGATCCAAACCTAGGCATCTCAGTAAAAACAAAGTTCTTTGCAAATAATGTTTTTCATACCTCTGCCATGCAAGATTTCCTTCCAAAAATATATTTCTACTGGCTTTCCTTCCACCCACAGGAGTTCTAGGTTCACTAGGCTCCAATAATGATACAGAACATGTAGAGTCCGTCAGAACATTCAGATCTTCGCCAATGGAGCTACTGTCTGTAGAGTGTGCGTAGTTCAGAGCTATTTTGCGACAGTAAGTGCAGGCTCGGAGATCCCCTGGAGAGACAAAACAGAGACCTACAATTACAATGGTTTCTCAGCCTATAGTGCAACATTAACAGCTCAGGGCATCTATGGACATTTAGCATCCTAATAAGCAGTTCTAAGCCTTAAATAAATATATTGTTGTTTAAATAATATGCTTCAAGATATCATTAAGTTTGATGATTAGTCACCACATTCAAACATGTTATATACACAGGATTAATCACCCTGAAAAATATTTTATATACAATTTTCATAAACATTGTTTTGTTCACAAGATATTTGTGAATAATTTAATGAACTATAGTGACAATATTACTTTTATACGTATAGAGATATTACTGAAAGTTGTATTTCCTTATTCTACATACTGGGTATTTTATGTTAAAATACAGTAAGAACATTAGCACCCACAATAGCATCACTGGCACCAGTAAAAGTGCTAAACCAAATGACACTTCCTAATATTTTTAGGACATCATTATGCATTGCATCACCTGTCCTACAAATACTGCAAAATAGACTATATCTAAATGTTTTCTCAAATCATTTCAATAATATCTACTGTCAATATTTACCACACACAGCCTGTGCTGAAGCAGTATGGACATTGAGTTTATTAGATTAAAAAGTTCTAATCTTAATTACAAAGATTCCAGTTTACAAGCACAACACAAACTAAAAACACGATGAGGGCTTGCTGAGGAGATTCAGAGTGGCTACACATAGGACTTGTAATTACACTAGTTGTATTATTCAGCTAGCACTTCTTGCCCAATCAGTAAATCCTTGACATGAATGTAAATAATATCATTTTTTGCATTTGCTTTACTATCTACGTACCAGCATAACCCATGAATTTTCCAGGAATTTCTTGATTGCAACAGCGGCTGCAGAAGATCTGTCCACACAATCGACAGTGGTGCCGGCGTCTGAAGGTAGTAAATTTCTCATTGCAGTCGTAGCACTCTTTACACTGGCTGTCTGGCATCCAGTACTGCTTCAAGTCAGTATCCTGGATTATAAAATACGAGTCAGTGACACTTTAGGATTCAGTAGCTCTTAATTATTTTACTGGAAATCCAACATTTAATCCCAATAATTAGGATCTCTACATGTAAGAAAAATGTTCAGTTCTGGCAGAGTTTCTGCATTCTATACATATTGTTTGTAGAAGGTAGTTACAGTAACAATATATCCCAGAAGTTATATTGGAACATTTTTTTCTGCATGCCCCTTAGATAGACACTGCAATAACAGAAAGTTGATATGTTACAATATCGTGATTAATGCATTTACCATTAGGCAGTGTTAAGACTGCACCACGGACGGACAACACGCAAATTGCATGCTGTTAATTAGCATTACTTGATCTATTTTTCCTTGGTATTTAACAAACTGCATAAGAATATTTTTAAAATGGCTGAATTATCTTTTCTATTTAAACATTGGTTAGCTGTAATAATTGTCATTGACTATAGTAAACCATAGACCTGATAACCAAATTTTATATATTTTCTTTTTAAAAAAGTACCACTCTCATATACTTCAACTGACAAACATGACTGATTCTAACTTGTCCATGGTCTTTCTAAATGTTTAATTTGACATCAGTTAGCATTGCATCAAGAGCATGGAAAAGCAACACAATTGGCCACAGAATTGAAGAGACAGATTCAGAAATTTAAGTTTTTGAACAAAAAGAACAATCAGCAGATTACAGGAAATTTTGGCCAAAAATTAAATGTAACAAAGGCCAGGACTAAAGTTTTCATAAATAAGGTGAACTGTGTGAGAGGGTTTTATAAAATTAACTCGGTGTTTGCTATATATGTACTATACCTGACTTCTTCCCTCCATTATTTCTTTCAGCCGTTTTAGAACTGTGGTAAGACTTCTCAGTTGTACTGCTGTTCGAGGGTCATGACCCCCCATAGACACATCTGGTTTACGATTAACGTCTAATTAAAAGATAATAGTTGCAATGAAAAATGTTATATTTCATTAAACTTAAATTGTGCCACTTTTCATTTTGAAAGATATTACAACACATTTAAGTACCAAAATATATATTTTTTTACTTTAGAAGGACCTGCACATTTGGTGTGACTGAGTGAGTAAACACGCTCAAAAGTGATACATTTCAGTCTCCCTTTGAGTCCCATTTACTATTCCCTGGACATGAGGGTAGACTGGGCGCATGGTCACAAAGCACGTGACAATGTCAGGTAAGCACATTTTCCACATAACTGATGATTAATGCAACCTTTGCTTTTGAAAGGCAATATTGGAAGTAATTCGATCCAGAAGTTGTTGCAGCGCAAAAGACATAACAGGAGAAAAATAAAATACATCATTCTTGTTGGGCTTTTAAATAATCTTATACCAGGATATTTAAACATTGTTGCAGTATTTATTATATAATAAATATTAAAATAATAAAATTCCCAGTTCCCAATTATTTTTATTGTTACCTGTACCTTGAGATTTGGCTATCGATGCACTGGATGCTCTCCGTAGGTTTTCCCCTGTGTGCTGTTTTTTGTAGGTTGGGGATGTTCTTAAGGAATACGCTCTACTATCCTGGTGGGAGCTGGACCAGTTTACACCTGGAACCTGCTGATTGTTCTGCGGGGACTCTGTTCTATAAAGGTTGGATCTACCTTCATCTGGGTGTGGAGAAGGGAGTAGGGTGGGAAAGAAGGAAGAGAAACGCATATATAATAGCCTTAGTCCAAAAAGAGGTTACGTTTCAAAACGGATTCAAATTTAATTTGATCACATAAGCACTCTGCACTCCTGATTCTAGCTTCATGGACTCATATAATTATACCTAACCATTAAGGCTGAATGAAGCATCTTAAGGGATACCCATCAGTGCCAATTCTGGTTCAGTCACTGTAAAGTCTTGAGTAATTCAGTTTCCCAGATTTTTATTCTTGAACAGTCCTCTGCTTTGCTCGGTGCTGCAACAAGGTGGCTGAAATTCATGGCTCACCACTTCAGAGGAAGGGGTAAAACATGGAGGTTTAAACGTACGTCTCTGATACAGCACATTAGCTGACTGACACTGTCATACTGTTCTGATCATATTAGTTCAATTTTGATTTACAGCATAATCCGAGATGTTCTCTCGACATGGAGCTATATCAAATATAAGGATTATAACTGATAACTGTGCTAAATCTCTCAGGACAACTCAGAAAAATATGCATTTCTTTGCACTACTTTCTCACCTTTGCTGAAACGGAAAAGGCTTACAAAGGAGCTATAGGCTGACTTGAAGGGAGGTTCATCCTGGTCTGGAGTTAAAGGTTTAAAATGTGTGAGATGGGAAGGGCTAGAAGGAGAGCGAGGTTGTTCATTCCCAGGATCCAGGGCAGAAGAAGTCTTCTCTTCTGCTGCCATCTCATGTACCTTAATGTAAATAAAAATAGCATCATAAACTGAACAGATCCTCTGCTGAATAATGTTACATCCACAGCACCTATGGGAATGTACTTCCTTGCTCTTGAAAAGTCCTCTTTGCCAACCAGTAAAATGAATAATAGCATATGCTTCTAAGCTTAATGAAATATTCTGAATTCCTGGGTTTAAGCAATAATACAATTCAATCTATTTTTAAAAATGGGAAGTGCCAGGCCACCAACTGCTTATATACCAGGTTCCCGGGCTTAGGTTTTACAATGAGGAAAGAGAGATGTGGAATGGAAGCAAAACATCTCATTGAAAGGAACATGTTCACGATAGAACAGATGCAGTTGTATTGATCTCCTCTACTCCTTCTGAGGATATAATCGTTTGGCACCAGAGAACAATTGAAACCAGAGTTAGATTTAATGAATGTGTTTTAAAATATTTCGGGTCTGTACAAAATACATGGTCACTGACATGCGTCCAGCCTTCGTGCTCCCTTTTGAGACTAAGCTGATCTGAGAAGTAAAGAAAAGCCTTTTGAAATGTTACACAGTATTTAATTTTTGTTACATTTGATGTTCATCATTGCGAACCTTTACCCTTCAGCAAGAATTATCAATAAAAAATACTCTTCCCTATGTTCCTGATAACATGTTTTTTTCCGCACTATGCTGCATCCACACAACATCCTTGATGTAAGTCAGATTGTAATTTTCTCTCCAGCCAGCAAAATTGTTCTACAGTACTACAATTAGGCAGAAGACATAACTTTGTAACACAAATCAGGTTCTATCTACGCCTCCAGCCCCTGAGGAAGATTAGATTTGCTTCAGCTCCCCAGAGTGTGATTCATTGACTGAGCATATGCCAAAAGGTGAATCACAGAAATTAATGCAAAAGTATTTTTTTCAACCTGTGATAGAATCTTTAGCTCCCACCAGATCAATGATCATCAGCTACACTCTCCTAAGAAACCCTGGGGGCAGAATACATTGACATTATTTAATACGTATTTTATATTGGCCAGGAATATTTCCAAACATGTTAATAAACCGAACTACCTGATCTAATCGCTCTCCTGTTTCAAACTACTGTGCCCCATAAAAAGGATAAAAGGGATAAAAATCGCTTCTTTTGAAACTTCAAAAAGTTTTTTTTTTAAGGGGGACTATGGGATAAGGGAACTGAGAGAGGGACAGAGGTGTTTTTTGCCCCTGGGACAGGAACAGGAAACCAAGAAACAGGTTGTATACTGAGGTGCCCCAAACTAGCTTCACTGCCAAAAGGTGAGAAGAAGCAATAAAAGCTTCATATCAATAACTCCACGTGATCCATCTACCTTCCAAAAGTCCAGGCAATGATATTTGTCTCTGTGACCAAATGGAAAAACTGTACTTGTTCTTAGTCGAACTGACAAGCAATTCAGGACAGATATCAGATAATTGGTTTCAAGCTAAAGCTTATAATGACATATTTATAATAGAATAGCAGCCCGTTTTATCACCTGTGGTGCACAGCACATCAAAGTCACTATAGCTCAAAGTAGTGACCCAAAGGTATAGATTATCCATCATTTTCACAAAGTTCAGAAATCAGCAAAACATCCTAACTTGCAGCTGTCGTGATATTCTGTTACACGTGCAATTCAACTTTTGCAATATTGCATCATTTGTTAAGTTATTTTCTTTTCAAAACGCTCGTAGCCAACTACCATCTAAAAATGATCAGTGACCTACTTCAAGATGCATGTTTAAAAGGTGTCTAAATCTCCTGGGATACTGTCTCCTTCTCTGTAAGAATGCACCTGACTTCCATTCTTACCTCCACTCCGAAGCAGCTAAAGCCCAACCAGTGTAGGCGGACACAGGTTACGTGCTACTGCTCAAGAACATGACACGATCAACACTTCTACTTTAGCAACCATTTGTTTTGTTCAAATACAGAACATTAGTTACTAGTTCACCAGCACATGAAACTAAAATCTCTTCCCAATCCATAACGATGCAACTTTGTAAAACAAATGTGTGTTAGCATAGCTCACTGGTAGCACTCCTGCCTCCAAGGCAGAAGGTTTGAGTTCAAGCCTCATGTCAGGACTTGGAACCACATAGGCCAAGCTGACACTCCAATGCAGTACTGGCAGTGCATTGCATTAGGAGATGCCATCCTTTGGATGAGACTTGAAACCAAGCTCCTGGAGGTTAAAGATCCCATGCCTCTTTTCGAAAAGAGAAGGGAGTTTCTCCCGGTGTCCTGGCCAACAATCCCCTAAATAAAATTGGTCACTCACTCCAATGCTGTATGTGGGACATTGCCTAGCGCAAACTGGCTCCCGCATTTCACTCACAAAATACAGTCACTCCACTTTAGAGTATATCCTGTGAAGTGCTTTGCGATGTCTCGACGACGTGATAAGATGATATATCAAATGTTATCATTATTATTAAACTGTACATTGCAATTACTCAGAAAGGTAATTTGAGTGTTTTATATTTTACTGCTGCAGCAAAATTAATTCCTACTGTAAAGACCAGCAGTACAATCCGACTAAAAAATTTAAATAAATATCAGTCACTTAAAGGTCATTCACTTATCATAAACAAATATGTTTAACTTTCCAAATAGCAGGAAATTATCTGTTTTACTTCAAGAATCTCAATATAGCCTCTGTTTTACCATAATTTCAGAGATCATTGGTTAATCTTGCCCAAATATGTGAAATATTTTTACTCAAAGAAAAAGAAAGCTTCATTCAGAGTTGTTACCCAACAAATGGTCATGACAATGGGACATTATGTTAACAACAATTTCTCCCATTATTCTCTAGAATACAGTAACTTGTGTTTGTTCATATATAATTTCACAGTTGTTGGCAGCCCTCCAGTGCCTTGTCCAACTGTCCAGTCTGCATGGATACAAACATTCAAGGACTGTTCCTAGGTGGACCTGCATCACAGGCATCCTTGAACCAGATTCTGTCCTTAACTGATTTTCACACACCTTGAACTGGAATCTTGGCTGTTTGTTTTCCCTCACCAATGTGGGGAAGCTGGGGCATGTTTCAGCATCTCAATCTATAGCTAAGTGGTGGCACTAGTAAGGAAACCAGCCCTCGTTCCCTGCACCTTCAAACTTTCACTCTACCGTAGATGTGCCCATTTCATCTTTTATTTTTCACAAGAATAAACAAGAGGAATGTTCCACTACTTAAACTATACCACCCGTATAAGAACAAATTTCATACCAAGACCTATCAGCTGATGAAGAAAGGCAGTGAACAATATCTGGAAAAATTTTACTTGCCAGGGAAAATATTACTTGAAAGATATAATAAAAGTTATCGTCCCTTCATTTGTTGTCATGCATCACATCATTCAAACGTCTCAAAGCTTTTCACTGTATTTTGCGGTAACGTTTAGTGACTGAGTATTTCTAAGGAAATTTGGCAGACAATTTGCGCACAGAAATGTCCCTCAAAAGCTATGCATTTTAATCACAGATGAGGCTCTGATTAATGAAGATACTACTATATTCACGTCAGGAGGACAACCCAGTGTCTTGGGACATCCTTCCAATGTGAAAGACACTATACCAATGCTATTTTGTATTGTACTGTCAGCCACTGTTTCTGGAAATCTTGTGCACAAGGAGGATGTTATATGAATAAGGTTTATTACATCTACATAAACTTAGGGCTGCATATTACAAAATACACAAGAGAAAATCGTCCATTTTGTTTGTAATAAGGAAGAACAACAAACAAACTCACCATAAATAGTCTTCTCGCATCTCAGCGAACACGCACATCACCCATGACAGCTATGCAAAATTTGTCTTCTTGCAATGCAAGGTTTTTATTAAAAAAGCAAAACACCGAACACGTTTGCACATCATCCTGAACATCTAAATGATACTAATCCCTGCCTTTGAAACAGTGGCTTATCACATCGAGACATCTCAAAGGGCTGCACAGGAGTTGCTGAGTGTAGTGACCGTATTTGTAGGCAAATGTAGCAGCCAATCTGCACGCAGTACACTGTTCATATAATAATAATAATAATTATTATTATTATTACACTGTTCATATGAGCAGATACTGTTCACTTGGCAAACAAGCAAAAAGCCAGAGTTTTAAGCCACCTTAAAAACAAACGTAAGAGGCAAATCAACAGCTGATCATGCGACCAGTTTGCAGTCACATCATTTTCCTTCAGAAGTAGCCCACAAACCGCAGGCAGATCCGCTCCAGTCGGGTTTGAAGTTGGATCACATTCTCATGTCCTCACGTTAACACTGCCCCCTGTCCCCCCCCCCTCACCCCTCACCCCTCAAGGACAGCCTCGTGTGAGGGGCTGCGGATGGCGATACTCTCGAGGTGAAGTGCACAGCACAGCTTCAGCCAGAGCTCAAACCACAAGGGCAGCTTTCCCCCCCACCCCCCGCCCCCCGCCCTGCACCAGCAAACAGGGAACCAGCGGGGCCTGTGGGCAGAGGAACGAGGAGGTTTGTCGTGAGGGGAGAGAACCACAACAAACCGGAGCCGCCGCCGCCGCCGCCGCCGTACACCGTGGTGGGGCCTAACCCAGAGGCGGCCCTCACGGGCGTCTCTTACCTCTCACAGCGCCCACAGTTGGGGGCCGCTGTCACTTTAAGTTAAACATCACGGGTCAGTGCCTCCCGGTCCTGGGCCGAGCGCGTGCACGTGTGTGTGTCTCTCTCTCTCTCCTTCTCACACCATCACCAACTCCCACCGATGTGAAACCGGCAGCTCCGCCCATCCACCAGTCGCTCTCCCACCAGAGAGCTGACGTGCGCGCCGCCGCCGCTCCTGCCATTCAGCGTGCGCGCCGCCGCCGCCGCCGCCGCAGTTCACTGCCACTCAGCGTGCGCGCCGCCGCCGGCGTCACTGCAAAGGCTCTAAACTTAAAGCAATCAACGATAGACTTGACTGGTGCTAATGTTCATTTAATACAGTCTGGAAGGAAAAGCAACATAAAGATGCAAGATTTAGAAACACACACTGGTTGATATTTTTAAATAATAATTAAGAATAATCTTTGCATTTGATATTGCGCCTGATCGCGATGTTGCTGGGACGTCTCAAAGCGCTTCGCGGATACTCTACTGCAAAGTGGAGTATTCCCCACCCCCGACCCGTGCAGGGTTGCGTCACACGGGCGGTTGTTGTATTTTATGGGTGAAGTGCGGCAGCCAGTTTGTGCGCGGATGAAATAAATGTTAACATTTATCCACGTAATCACAAAACTATATTCTGATCGGCTCGGGACACCCGATAAAGAATGTGATCCTGAAACATAAAGCTGAATGCAGTAATATTCCAGTGCTGTCATCTACAATTATTATATATACAACACAATTTATAGACTATAACAACAATCCTTGCATTTGATACAGCGCCTTATCACGTCTTCAAGATGTCTCAAAGCACTTCACAGAATAAACTGTAAAGTGCAGTGACTGTATTTTGTGGGTGAAAGGCGGCAGCCATATAATTTACATTTATATAGTGTCTACATTTTATCACAAACTGCTTTGAAATACAGTTTGAAATCATATAGGAGAATGACCATTTCCAAGCTATGAGGTACCAACAAGTGTTCTCACATTTTAGCCTCATTACGTATCCGGAACACCACTATGTCAAGTTACACAAATAAGAAGTGCAGAAGCTGATAACAGCTGGACTAGAAAAGTAATCACTGATGAGCTAACTTTAACAGGCACACAGGAATTGTCATGAGGAATGTCTTTCAGGATAAGAATTCCAAATTGATATGAGAAAGACAACAGATGCATTAGTGAGAGAAAGGGCATCTGCTTTATCAGTGCTTGAAAAGGGAACATTTCAATGTGGAAGAGAGATAACATCTTGGTAGTTAAGAGACACTATCCATTATTTCCAACCTCTCAAACAGTAGTATGCGTTGAGTTGACTTGTGTGTTAGTTAAAGTATATGTTTTAAAGAATTGCCTCTTGAATAATCTTTGGAGGTGAAAGTTTTTAATATTATGGGATTGGCAAAACAGCAAGAGTAGAAGTAATGATTCCCGACAAAGGGAGAAATTTAACGATCCATTAGTGTATAATTTAGCAAAGACAATCCCTGAACTCAGTAGGATTGGTAGTGGCGAAAACTCAATTGGCCTTAGCATCCTTGGACATCCTGGAGGAGAAAAAGTAAAAACAATAACAAAATTACAGTTATAGAGGGTCTTTCACCTTGGGAGGACGTCCCAAGGTGCTGGATAGTCAGGGGTCAGGACCCGAGCACGGGGGAGGGGTGGGGGAGGGAAGGCAGAGAGATGAGAGGGCAACCGAAGGCACGATCGAAGAGATCAAAACTGTTTTGATAATAATGCCTGCTCATCACCAAATGACCCCTGGTTTGAATGGAAGTAGGTGGGCACTCAATGAGTACATTCAAAGAGTACATCAACCCTCAATATAACATATGAAGAAGGCTCACTGACAAGATACTGAAAAATACAGACACCAAACAACTGTACTTTAACAAGGATTCAGGGAAAAAATACATATATTTGCAAAAGCATGGTTTATTAATATATTTCCATTTTAATAACAATGCAGATATGATCGGGATCGGGGAGGGTGGAGGGTAGGGAGGATAGGAAGCTGGTTGAAGGCTCAGTCAAAGAAGAGGGTTTTGAGACACGCCTTGAAGCAGGCAAGAGAGGGAGCGAGGCGAAGGAAATATTCGATGGAGTTCCATAGGGTGGGGGCAGAAAGGATGGTAGAGCGGGCCAGGCAGGAACTCTCCATTTGGTAGGTTCCCAATACCAGATTTGTCAGGGAAAGTCTCAAATACTTTTAGGGGGAGGGGGAAAAGAGGGCAAAATAACCATCACTTCCTTGTTCAAAAACAGGATTGAAAAAACCCCAAGTGATGGTTGCCACCGGATGCTCTTGACTGATATGTGTGTTGTTGGTGAGAATCTAGAATGGAAGAAAGGGAAGTTATAAATCATAAAAAGTAATATTTATTTTTCATGTGTTCATTCAAAAATACAAGTTGTCATACTAGTTTAAATGGACAATAATGCAGCAAATGTTAATACATTCTAATATAAAACTATGTTGTACAACATGATAGGCCACAGCGGTGAGTATTCAGTTCATATTTATAGTTCTCCAAAGGGGATGTTCCTGGTGTCAGTTAAACCACTGGGGAGATCGACTTTTAGAGCAGTTACCCACAGTAAAAAAAGGGAAATCTAAAAGGAAATCACTCTGAGCTGCTTTCATGCATCTTGCCCGCAATCTGATCAAGCTGTCTACCTCCTGATAAGGGAATGTTGGGGACCTAAATAAGGAAAGAAAAAGGGTTAGGAAAAAGAAAGTAATTCACCAAAATGACTGGTTCAGACCACAAACTTGGTCACTCGAACAGTCGTGGATCGAGTGACCAATTTTTTTTAAAGGGATTATTACCCCTGGAAAAGCGATCCGCCAATCGACCAACACCCGAGTTCCTACTTACTGCCAGGTAAACAGACGTGTGGAGCGCCTTGGGGCGTTACAGCGCCTTGGGACGTCCTCCCGACGTGAAAGGTGCTCTATAAATGGAATCTTGTTGTTGTTGTAAGGAAACTTGTCCAACATTTTGCCTTGCTGGGAATCGAACCCAGTTCTCTCGCTTGCGAGGCGAATGCTCTAATCACTGAGCTATAGGACTCCATTTTGAGAAAGATTTTCAATTTATTGTAATATTTTATATCCAAATGTTTCAAGTCTGTTCCATATGTGTTTTCACAAAGCACGCAGTCAGTGCAGTTCCCTAATTTCATCCATCTGAAAATAAACACATCTACCCTTCCTGCAGGACTACTTAAATAAAGAAACAAAAGCACCTCCCTATCTATGGATTTTTTTCAACAAGCACTTCCTCATTCAGATAGATATCCTCCTTAATCTTATATTTTCAGCCAAAAAAGTGAGGAACAGCCATTTGCCTCTCAGAAATTGGGAAGGGGGAATTAACTGTGTCAGCTTTATTTTTTGAAACTTGGAAGTTCCAGATATCATAAGTAAAGCCACTCCAGGAGACACAGATGTTATCCCAGTAATTGATTACAATATTAATAATTCTTGCATTTGGCATAGAGAACACAAAATGACATTTGTAGAGCACCTTTCATGCCGGGCAAAGGCTCTCCACAAGATATATTGTGAAGTGTATGCTTTGTGGGCAAACAAAGCCTTGAAACAACATTAGTATATAAAATATTACAATGAATCGAAAATCTTTCCCTGAATGCCAATTGTGAGCTTCAACGGCTGCTCAATCAGCAGCAAACTTGGAACGCAGAACCGCCCCCTGAGTGAAGGGTGGGGAGATTACAAACACTGTAGAAAGGTGGATTACTTTTGTCAAGAAGTGGCTTGTGGGCTGAAAGCCTTGACTTTTAAATCAAATATATCAGGGTAAAAACACTTGACGAGGAAGAACGCGAGAGGGGCAGGAGGAAGCGTGGCTCCAGATGAGGAGCTGGCACCCGATCGGGATCAATGACCTCCTTGTGCTGATGTGAGTTCTGGGATTCACCGGTCTTTATGAACAACGGGGCCAGTGTTAGCTTCGCTTAGCTGTTCTACCAAGTCCTTGGAAAACAGTAAGTAATAATAATAATAATAATAATAATAATAATCCTTGTGTTTGACCCAGTGCCTTGTCACGCTCCCCTGACATCTCCCAAGTTCTGCTTCATCGGGTGTTTCACCGTGAAAAGCGGCCCCGCCTGTGGGCGTTGTGTTTTTTCTGCAGACGCCGGAACGATTCGTCATCGCGGCTCCTTCCCCGGGTCCGTCGGTCCTCCCAACTGAGGCGCTCTGGGGCGCTCCGGCAAGTCGCCTCAGGGTACCGCTCCCTGCAGCCGCCCGACTTAACCGCCAGCCTTCCCGCGGGCGCGTGACCAGCGATTCAAATACGCTTTGGAGCCCGAAGGCCACCAGTTACGAGCCCAAAAGTAGCCCGATGTTATGCGTTGCCTCCTGTGCGGCCCATTTAGGTTCGTGCTTTTGGAACTGCGTAATAGAAAGTCTTCAAAGGAGGAAGGAAGGGGTGGGAGGCAACAAAAAAAAAGTTTTGCAGGATTAAATCACGTTTTTTTTTAAAAAAAATAGGCACCCGCCCAAAGCTATTTTGTTTCACGCCCATCTGGGCGTGAAGCCGCCCAAGCTCGCGACGTGGCTCGCAGTGATTGGGTGAGCTCACAGCGGGCGGGGCCATGACGTCGCCAGACGGGGGCGCTCGAGCCGTTACCACGGAAGCGGCTCGAGGCAGAACGGTGGCAACGGTCGAAGGTGGAGGGGCGGCACCTCAGTCAGTCAGTCAGTCAACGGCAGTTCTCCGTGCAATCAGTCAGCTCTTTCCTCTACTCTCGGAACTGACCAGGTAAAGGCACCTGACACCTTTCCTCGCTCCCCCGTGTCGCCCGCAGAGCAGTCACCGAAAAGTAGACTTGGAAGCCGTGAAATGGGCGTCGCGGCGCCTCCCGAAACGAGACGCGCCGAGTGAGTTGCGCGTTACCGGCGCCGCGGCCCAGTGCTGTGCCACTGCCAGTGATGAGGGAAATAAAATAACACTGTTTATTTCTCTCTCTCTCCTCCCACCCCCCCCCCTTCCCCCCTCCCACCCCTTCCCACGTCCCCTCGTGATACACCTCGTCCTTGAAAAATAGTATTTCCCGTATTCTGTCGCACTGAAGCGAATTGAATTTCAGGGGTTTCAGGTCTTGCAATACACGGGAGACCTTTGCGCGCGAAAAAAAAGGGAGTTCGTTTGGCAATACCTGCAAATGGTGTTTGAGGGGAATGCCGTCAGCACCATCCGATCCGCCACGTTAGCGGTCAGGGATCGTTTTGTGTCATGTGAACCCCCCCCCCCCACCACCACCACCAATTGCCCCGAGTCAGATGTGTCCTGGTTCGCGTTTGTAACTGCGGTGAGCGGTGCAATTAAGGCGTTTGAAGGAGAAGACGTCGCAAGAAAGAATCGCGTTGTTCGACCTCCAAAGTGGGTGAGGGTGGGGTGGGGGGGGGGGGGGGGGAGAAGGGATTGAGTGTAAAGTGAACGCTAACAAGTTGGATTCGTGTTGCAATGCGATCTTGCGAGCTCGTCTGATGACCTTATGCGCTCCTCATACGCACGCAGTTCTACGCTGCACCGAGTACTGGTTTTAACAAAAGGCTATTTGTTTTCTCCGCCCTTTTGCTTCCAATGATTTATTTCATTCGCAAAGGGGTTCCCGAAACCTGAAAATGCGGTTTTGCCAGCGATTATGTCACAAAATGTGAATGTCCCCTGGGGAGGCAGGAGGTGAGTGAATTTTGGGGGTCTTCGTGATGTCAGAATTTACAAAGCCTGATTTGCTAAGTACACTATCATCTTACAATTTTTTTTTTTTTGGGGGGGGGGATTAGTCTCCCAAGAAGTAAGTAGATTTGGTGTCTGACCCGCAGTAGTTAGCACAATAAAATGCTTGCAGATAACAATATTAATGGTGGTTTCTTTCCAACAGAAGCAAAAACAGGAGGAAAAAAAAATGTCACTGAAGAAAATCCAGGCTGGTTCTGTGGTGGAGATGAAAGGAGATGAGATGACCAGAGTTATATGGGAACTGATCAAAGACAAACTCATCTTCCCTTATTTGGAACTAGATTTACACAGGTTGTAATTTTTTAACATTTGTAAATTTTTCAGCCAGATTTTTCTTAACAAATTGGTTAAAAAAGCACACATTTTGGAATTAAGGCTTACACGTTTTCATGATTTCTTCCTATCAGCATCGTTGAACTTTGCTACTTTTTTTTATTTTTGTTATTTAATGTTAATAAAATTTCTGATATTTATAATTCCATATTTCTATTGAAACGGTTAGTGGTGAAATTCACTTGCTTGGAGAAGTTAGTTATTTTACACAGTATTGATTTTAAAAAATCCTGGATTATCTTGAGCTGATGATTGCGTTTCATCATGATTCAGCTTTTTTGTGCAGGCCATCTTATCAGCTCCAACCAAAAATAAAATAAGGGGGCACTCAAGAATCCGAAACCTCTGTGGAGTTTTGATGTTTATTTAACCATATTGCTGGAGGTTTCCATAAAGTGCTTTATTCAAAAAAAATTATAGCGCCTTCTTCGACACAATCCCAATAGTTTTAGTAAAAAAACAAATCAAGTCAAAACATTTATGCTGAGCACAAAAAAAATGTGCATTTGAATATAGTATTAAAAAGTGGATGCACATGCAGCCAGGAGAGAACTGTATTTTACAGTGCACCAAATCTTTCTATTAATGCACAATTTTGGGCACTCACAGAACATTGAAAGAATCCATCATGTGCCACCCATTTCAACCGAATCCTCTTCGGAACAAGTCTTATAGTACACAAATTTTAGATGGGCAAAGTAATTTTCATGATATTTGGGATTAGTTTTGAAAAGAATAACTTGTTTTCTGAAGAGCAAGTCATAATAAGATATGATTCCAGACATCGGCTGTCATGTCAAATGTGAGTGCAGTCAGGGAATGTTGGCAGGCAGTTTAACCCTCGGTAACACAGCTGAGCTTGAAGCTGCTGTCCCTGACAGCTACAAATGCACTTCAGTAACAGTCGTCAGAATGCAATTGCAGTGATCTATTTTCCAAGCTTGTGGCCCTTGAAGCCATTTTCTAGGACCAATAGCTGTTCTGGCTGAGATTGGCTAACTCACTCAGGAAAGACAGTTTGAAGTGCCCGACTGACCCTGCCCAGTAACATACCACTGGCGTTCTTAATTAAGTTAATGTGCTAGGTCAGTATACAACATTAATCTGCCCGGTAGGAGGAGGGTTTAGCAAATGTTACTCAGTGATACTTTGTCTCTCCTTGGCTTTTAAATAAATCATTGACAGGTTAGAGACTTTCACTTGAGTTGTGGAAGCATTAACGTGTCTAGAAACCCAGCAAATAAAGATTCTTTTTTTAAAAAATGGTCTCTTTATCCTTTGAATGCAAATTTCAGGTGAAAAACAAATCAATCACATTGAAGAAAAATGTTAACAAAAGTGTTCTGTGATTGTTTGACTTTAATCTGCTTTATGTGAATGGAGTCAATATTGGACTGTGAATCTCCCAATTAAAATAATGGAATCAAAAATGATCTGTCAAACTGAATTCAGAATTCTTATGGCACGTCTGCTTATACTTTCACGTCTTCTTATGAAATATAACATTATAAAAGTGAATTGTTATGAATGTGTAATAAATTCACAATCTTGGAGAATACAAAAAAAGTTTTTTGTTAAAAAGTGGGGTTCAATGTGTTAAGAGTACTTCTACGACAGTATAGTTGAAAATAGATAAGGAAACAAATTAATATTGGTTTTGGAGAAAGGTATTAAGTTGGAATTTGATGAAAGGTAATGAAGGAAACTGAAAAACCCAACACTGCCCTTTTATCCTGCCCAAATTGGTTAGTTCATGCTAGAGATTATGTTCATGACAAAGCAGTTGCAAAGAGCGTGATTTAAATTGAATGTGAATGGAAGTGATACTAACAAGAATTGCATTCATGAGTTTTTACAAAGTTTGCCTCAACTGAACTAGAAGATATTGCCACTCATCCAGCTTTTGTTTCCTGCTTTTTACATGAAAAGGAATTAATGTTTTTCTTTCATCAGCCTGGTTTGTGACATGAGGAATTATGCTTAAGAATATTCAAACCAGATAAGAGTTCCACCTATGTATTTCACCCCCCCCCCCCCCCCCCCGGATGATTATCTGATTGTAGAGTGCTAGATGCAGTTGGCAAGCTTTTGGGGACCCTAGTGTATGATTGGGTACTGCTGGAGTTTAACCAGCTAAAACCTCATAGTTTTCTGTTGAAAGCACCACCTGGCAAATTTCCTGCTGCGTATACAGCGAAGACCATCGGGGCTTTGGGTTGCAAACTGAACTTTGGAAACTGAATGGGAAGAATCCCTGCCTGCATCTGTTCGTCCATGTCCTGCTGACGAGCCAGGCTGACTGGTCTTTCATCAGCAGTTCCCTGGAGTACTGCAAACACATCTGGCCAGACGACTGCCACCACCACAGGAAATTGACAATTCAGACATTGCATTGCCAAGATTGTCATTTAGGAGCCACCTCAGCTCCAAGGAAACTCTCAGGAGGAAAACCCCCTCCCCCAGGATTGTTACTACTTGGTGATTTGACATCTGACCAGTGCAAGTTTGAGCCCTCACTAGATAGCATGATGTGTGATTTTGGGGTCTCTACATTGTCAAGGTTTATTTTAATTATTTAAAGTGAAAAAAAGGGAATATAGTACTACAGAGTTATTTAAACATCTATGAAGCTTTTGTGGATGGCAAGACAATTGCTATTGTGGTGCAGAACAAGGGTGAAGAAAAAAATCATTCATCAAAGTTAAGGTGAGGCCGTGACCAGCAACAGTATACTACCTTTTGGTAGATAACATCATTCTAAATGTTGAGCGACGGTTGGGGACAAGTATAACAGCCAGACCTTCTGTTCTTAATGGGAGAAGCTCATGGACAATTAAATGGAGGAGGGGGAGGAAAAACAGGAATATTGTTCTGCACAGTATTTGATATGCATATCAAACCAGTTTCTTAATCTTTACTGAATACAATTTTAACTACTCTTTTTTAAAAAGTTACGATTTGGGAATTGAGAACCGTGATGCTACTGATGACCAAGTAACCATTGATGCTGCTAAAGCCATTATGAAATATCACGTAGGGATCAAATGTGCTACAATCACACCTGATGAAAATAGAGTGGAAGAATTCAAGCTGAAGAAAATGTGGAAATCACCCAATGGAACCATCCGTAACATCCTTGGGGGCACGGTGTTTCGAGAAGCTATCATCTGTAAGAACATTCCTCGACTGGTAACAAGCTGGACCAAACCAATCATCATTGGCCGTCATGCATATGGTGACCAAGTAAGAGCGTTTAACAATGTTACAATTTTTTTTGGGGGGGGAGTGGGGGATTAAAATTAGCAGAACAAAATTGTAATGTTTTCATAATTGTGAATCCTAAAATCAAATCAAACTGATGAATTTTACTCAAGTTCAAATTTGGGCATGTAGAATAACCACTGCTGTAGACAGTAAGAAAATGTGGTTCGGATGAGAATATCAACATAAAATAGCTTCCCATCGGCATATTGTACTTGTGCATTTAGCTGCCCATCAATGTATTTTTGCCAAGATCTCTTGAGTGGCTGCACATCGTGAACTCAAAATTTGGTGCATAAACAGCTGCACTCGTGGACTACTATGAAAGTGAAAATTAAGTAAAAACTGATCACTCCCCACATACACTAGTTGATTGTACATGCATATGCACACCATTTCGCCACATGTTTGCTGGCTGAGTCCTATTTATTGCGTTAGGAGTTTGTTATAGAAATGAATAGTGCCGATGAACTAGCATGACCATTTTTATTAATACTTCAAAACATTTGGACAATACTGTAATTAAGTGACAAGATGTACACAAACTAGTTTTACTATCATTTATGTCTGGCACCAGGATCTTTGTAATATTAATTATGTGCAATTCTCCAAATTGAATAGGTTTAAGTTCATATATTTTTTCCTAAAATGGAAGATTTTAATTCTTATGTGAAGTCTATTCTAACATCAACTGTGGGCCAATTTTATATAGCAGTTGCAATATTAGCATTGACCTTATCTAACTCCTTTGTGTGCTCGCCTGAAAGTAATGAGAAACATCTGAAACTTTGTCCTAATTTGAAGAACCAGACCAGTGAGTAATGAAATTAATTAATTTGTTTCCCACAGAAGTTTAGTTTTCAACTAACTGTTGAAAACCGCTTGTCCTCCCACCTCAACCTTCAAGGCCCTCTCCTTGAGTAGTTTAGGTCCTACCTCTCTCACCGTCTTCATTTTGTTTCCACAAACGGCTTCTCCTCCAGCCCCCCACTGTCTCGTGCGGCGTCCCTCAGGGCTCTGTCCTCGGTCCCCTCCTCTTCACCCTCTACATGCTCCCCCTGTGGTGACATCATCCGCAGACATGTAAATGGAATGTATGTGAATGACACCCAACTCTAACTTTCCTCCTCTACCCTCAACTCCACGACCACCGATGTCCTGACAGCTGCCTGTCCGACATCGAGTCCTGGACGAGAGACAACTTTCTTCAGCTCAACGTGCGCAAAACTGAGGCCCTCCTGATTGGCTCACGTCAGCGCCTCCGCACCTCAGGCGCTGACAGCATCAGCATCCAAGGCTGCACTCTCCACCTCTCAAAGCCATCAGGAACCTCGGGGTTCTGTTCGACCCTGAGCTGTCCTTTCTTCCTCATATCCGCGCCACAAATGGCACCGCCTTCCATCACCTCCGGAATATCGCCAGACTACGGCACTACCTCACCCCTCACGCTGCTGAAACTCTGGTCCACACCTTTATCACTTCAAGGCTGGACTATGGGAACTCTCTCCTCGCCGGCCTTCCCGGCACCTCCCCCCACAAGCTGCAGGTCATTCAGAACTCTGCAGCTCATGTACTGTCCCGCACCAGGCTTCGGGACCACATCACTCCCACCCTCGCTCGCCTCCACTGGCTCCCCATCCCCCAGAGGATCGAATTCAAGATCCTCACCTACAAGGCCATTCACGGCCTTGCTCCCTCCTACCTCTCCGACCTACTATCCCTCTACTTACTTGCCCGTACCCTCCGTTCCTCTGGCTCCGGTCTAATCCACATCCCCTGCCCTAATCGCCCTACCATCGGTGGCCGGGCCTTCAGCCTCTCAGCCCCCAGGCTCTGGAACTCCATCCCCCAGGGTCTTCACTTTGCCTCCTCCCTTTCCTCCTTCAAGGCCGGTCTCAAAACCTTTCTCTTTGACCGTGCCTTCAGCTCCCCTCTCGACTCTCTACCCCCTCCTTGCTCCCTCCCTTCCCTCCCCTCACCTGACCATTTCCCCCCTGCTCGGGTCATGACCCAACTGTCCAGCGCCTTGGGACGTCCTCCCGACGTGAAAGGCGCTCTATAAATGAAATGTTGTTGTTGTTCTGATCACTACCTTTCAACTTACAGCAGCATTCCTCAGAAAAAGCAATACTACACTTGAAGAAAAAATTAAATCTTTTTCAAAATGTAAATATGAAGTGAATTTTATAAATTTGAGAGATGCTATTTATGGAAACTAAACGATCAGGGACAAGGAATCCTATTACCTGATAGCATTTTCTATACACTATTACTCTGTTTCCTTTGTTAGAAGTGCAGGACACAATTCAGTACATTAGTTACCAGTTCAGTACATTTTGATTGTTGCAGTAAATGCTGAGCTAGGTTGAATGAATCTCCAAATATTGCAGATAGTGAACATATGAAGCAATACAACTATGAACCTGAATGTGAACTTAGCTTTGTGAAGCAATATCTGTAGTTTGTGTAACCACATGGCAGAAGAGGGTGAGGAAATTAAATGATTGATGTCAACCCTTTTTATACACACACTCACACAAAGTGCAAGTGTTAGATTTGAGAAATTTCCAATCTAGCAGATTTTTAAAAAAAAATTGTTGAGTTACTGGTGAACAGTGTTCAATTAGTACAGGTCCTACAGTCATTTAGTCATATATATATATATATATATACACAGGATCTGTACTAATGCATAATGGGTGCACACAATAAATAATGTTTACCTCACTGAATACCACATGTCCATTACATACTTGCATTATTCCATCAAATCCCAGTAATGGTTTCTTGTCTAATGTGGTGCAATATCATTACATCAAATTGTGATATAATGGTCCATTGTCCCATGTTTGCGACAAAACCCATTCAATAAACTATAATGTTTATAATTTATGATGATTATGTGCAGTGTTCATTTATAGTTTTAAAAATTAGTAATTTTTACTTAAGTATAAATTAGTTCTCATTAAACTTTAAGCTATACATTTGTGTATAGAGAAGTTGCCTAGCGAACTTAAGCAGTAACAAATTTGACCAAAATGTTTCTAAGAAATATAGTTGCTGAAATGCTGTACACTGGCCAGCGCCTTGGGACGTCCTCCCGAAGTGAAAGACGCTAAACAAGTGTAATCTTCTTGTTGCTTTGGGGTAAACGCTTCTTTATAGTGAACATAATACCATTTGAATTTACTGTCTTGAACAATCTTTTTTCACATAATATCGTTTTCACAATGTCCTGAAAATAGTTATACAGGTGACCAAAAGTAATTTAGTAACATTCATACTTTTGTTCACAGTACAGAGCTGTAGACTTTGTTGTGCCTGGTCCTGGTCTAGTTGAAATCAAATACACACCCAAAAATGGTGGTGACCCTAGAAGCTATATTATTCATAAATTTGAAGGTAAGGATTTTAAATATAATGTATGCGTTATGAAAAAAAATCTATGCATTGGACAATGGGCAATAGCAATATCTTCAACTGTTTAGGCCAAGTTAGAACTCCAACTTTGCATCTGCTGCTGCATTCTTTACCACTCTATGACAAGTAATGTATATTCAATAAGACTGATATATTTTGCAATGAACAGCTTGTGAATTAAATATGTGCTAAAGTTCATCTGAAGAATTAGAGCAAGCCAGAGTTCTCAGTGCATGCAGCCATTGTAACCTCACTGTGTACTTGTGTATACTGGCATGAGTCAACTCTGCTTGCTGGTATACATTTAGGTTCCCTCTGCGTTTGATTCAGAATAACCTTGCTGTTGTTATTTTCAATGAAGTAATGGAGTGTATCTCTTGGTTTATATTCAAAGTCAAATCAATTGGCTACTCATCGTGTGGTTTATGGGACATTGTTGACGCAGATTTTCTATTGCATTTGTTTATATTTTGAAAAGCAGTTTGAAAGGAACTATATAAATACAAACTGTAATTTCTCCTGCCCACCTTCTTTGGCTACCACATACAGGTCCGGTTATCCACCCTATTGATATGAAAGGTGCTAACCGAATGTAAATTTATTATTAAAGAGGAGAAAAAATTAGTGTATGAATATAATTTAGGTTAATTTTTAATTCTCACATAATGGAGGAAGAAAGGTAATACAAATGTTGGAAGATGTAATAATGGGAGATTTTTGATAGTGGTTTAAAAACATCTGGGTGTGTATAATGACCACCAGAAAATGCTAACTATTCATTTATGTGTCGTTTAAAATGTCTTTAATTGTTTTCTGTTGCAGATGGTGGTGGAATTGCTTTAGGAATGTTTAACACTGACTGCTCAATCAAGAATTTTGCCCATAGTTCCTTCCAACAAGCTCTCGTTAAAAGTTTGCCATTATACTTAAGCACTAAGAATACCATACTGAAGAGCTATGATGGACGATTCAAGGACATATTCCAGGAAATCTATGAAAAGTAACTAACACTAACTTTATACATTCTATTTCTCCTTTAGCTGAAAGGGGATAGACATTCTGGGCAAGGAGCACAATCACTGCTGTCCTTGGAATCAATGAACAAAAATTGCAATCACTGAATCATAAAGAAATGTAGCCAAGCTTGCATAGATTTGTCAGCACAAACATAGTGTCAGAAGACCTTTAAATGAAGAGCAATATAGATTAAAACATTTCAAAACTTCCTATCCTCAAGCTAGTAAAGAAAGGAGCAAAAGTTAATACTGCTTCATTGTTTCCCTTATCACTCTGTTTGAATAATTAAATAATAGTTTTGTTCTTACAGTGAATACCAAGCAAAGTTTGAAGCCAAAGGAATTTGGTATGAACACAGGCTAATTGACGACATGGTAGCTCAAGCACTAAAATCTGAGGGAGGCTTTATTTGGGCCTGTAAGAACTACGACGGTGATGTGCAATCTGACTCAATTGCTCAAGGTAATTTATCAGCATCCACTTTATGTTTATGTATATTATGCATTACATTGAAGCATTTAGGTCTACAAATTGATTTCTGAACTGTTTTCACTTGGCATTCCTTCATCATCATAAAATTAACAAAACAATTCAAGTCTTTAAAAGTATAATATATTTAAATTTTACATTGTTCTTTAATTTGAGAAGCTTTACCTCAACTGTATGTTTCATAGGAAGAAGAGTGGAATGATGTCCATAGGCACATGTTGGAAGTAGATCATACAGATTGCAAAATAAATGTATTATATATCTAACTAAAAAGGTGAAGAGATTTGAGGGGAATACTGTTTGTTCAGTCTTCACTAACTACTTCTGTAACAAAAGTGGCTTTTTAATTTAATATTTTCCCAATTGTGTGCAGGATATGGGTCACTAGGACTGATGACAAGCGTATTGCTTTGTCCTGACGGTAAGACAGTGGAAGCAGAGGCTGCCCATGGCACTGTGACACGTCATTACCGAATGCACCAGCAGGGCAAGGAAACATCGACCAACCCAATTGGTAAAATGCTCTCATTCAATGATGTACAAGAATGTAATTACTTACATGGTCTGCTTGTTGTTTGTAGTTTCTGGACTAGAAAATTATAATGGAACTGTATTGGCCAGAAGGCATTGTTTCATTCGTACATTATTATGCATATTCTATTATGCACTTTGAGACAGCTCAATGGTTTGATAGGGCATTATATCAAATGCAAGGATGCTTATTATGGTTTGTAACAGGAAATANTTTTTTCCTTTCAAGCCTCCATCTATGCATGGACTCGAGGATTAGCACACAGAGCAAAACTGGATAAGAACAATGAACTACAGACATTTTGTACTGTGTTGGAAGAAGTCTGTTTACAAACTATTGAGTCTGGATTCATGACTAAAGACTTGGCTGCATGTATCAAAGGGCTACCAAAGTAAGTATAATTACTTTATAATGGTAAATTCACAGTTGATTTGAGGGATCACAGATTTTGTTCCGTGAAATATTTACCTGTTTTAATACTGAAAAACTTAAGATGACACAGACTACACATCATGCATGAATGCACACACGATCATTCCCCCCAAATTATCAATTTACCAAACAAACAGGAGAAATGTTTCACTATTTATCCTCTTAAAACCTATTAACATTTAGAAAATAGAAATAATGAAACCATTTCCTCATCTTATATAGCATAATTCATTATTTTTCTCTTCACTTCATTATCTACTACTGCCTTCTTGGTCACTCTAACCTCCTCCCATTTCTTGACCTTTTAATTGTTTCATTTCTATGTTGACCTGGACATGGAGATAACATTTAGTGGAAATTTGTCCAATGCTGCATCTCTTTCAAACTATGTCTGTCCATTATTTTGCCTGGGATCCAAACTGCACCGAGTCTGAGTCTTATCCAGTTTAGTTTCTACATGCATTCCAGGCAGGGCGAAACGTTGGGCAAGTTTCCTTACTCCACACGCCTAATAATAATCCCTCCAAAACCAAAAACAATAATAAATTGGTCATTTTCAATCTACGACTGTTTGTGGGACATTGCTATGCGCAATTGGCTGCCGCGTTCTCCCGCAAATATACAGTCAATTCACTTTACAGTGTGTTCTGTGAAGCGCTTTGGGACGTCCTCCCGACGTGAAAAGCGCTATATCAAATGCAAGGATTATTATTATTATTATTCAAACTGGGGCCCGGCAGTCCACTAAGGTTAGAGAGTTGATAGCCAATATTAACAGTATTTACTACGGCCTTCTTTGATTTTTTTGCCTGTGTAACTTGTCTCGTCCCCACCCACGATACTAGAGTTAGAGAGGTTTATAAAGACTTCAAGGAGTGTAAGGAATCATGGGCATTGTAGTAGTATTGGAACACTTCAGATATTTCAATAAGTCGCCTTAAATCTAATTCCTTTATAAGTATCCTCCTTTATCCACTGTAAATTAATGCAATCTCCTGTACAATGTAAAAAATCTTCAAAAGTTTCAAATGTATTTTCAAGTAATATGTGAGTACTAAATTAGCATTGAATATTTTCTTAAGTGGGACCCCCACCCGCCGTCTTGTTTTTAAGTGTAGCTTGTTTCTACTTCATTATTCACACAAATAATGTTTTCTATCCTCAGTGTGCAGCGTTCTGACTATTTGAATACCTTCGAGTTCATCGACAAGCTGGCAGAAATTCTAAAACAGAAGCTGGCTTCACCTCATAAGCTTTAAAAAAATTAAAGAATGTCTTCAACATCAGTAAAATGGGTTTTTCCTCAATATACAGAATTTATTCCGTACTACAGAAGATTAACACTGCCTTTCCAAGCCGTATTACAAACTATGCTACAGTGAGTCTAATTTAGTTTTTGAATCAGTGAAAGTTGTAATCTGATTATTATTATTGTAGTGAAGGTCCACTATATGTAGCAGTTGTTATTTTGTTCAAAAATCTGTTGCATTGGGTAGTTGACAGAATTGCTGCTTGTTTTAGATGTGGCGACTTTGAAAGATTAAATTTTCTGAGATTAATTCCAGTATTGGTTGTTAACATTGTAAAGTTTCTTTACTTTTGAGACCTTGTGTTAGACAATAGTAATTGTATTAAATCTTCATTCTTTACTTGTTAATGAATGGATTATCTTTATTTGCCTTGTGCAGACCTCTGCATATTTTTAATAAATAAATTCTTGCACTTGTAAAACAATGATGAACATTACCTTTCAGCACTATCCAAATGTAATTTTGCTGTTAAAACCCTGAAAGATAATCTACTAATATTGACATCTGAAACTGTGTTGTCATGTTGCTATGTAACTGAGTCTTTCAATACTTGAAAATAAAATTATTGAAGGACCCTGCTCTTCCGGAGCAAATTTGTGTGTTGTCCTTAAATGATCAAAAATACTTCTGATTGCTGTTGTTTTATAGGGTACAGCAGCAACAGGTTTACATTTCAAAACAGTAAATGTATGATAAATCCATTTAAAGTGCATCCTTACTGTAGCACCAATACCAGTTTAGTCCACTATCGAATGACTAGTAATTTTTTTTGTCCAATGTATTTGAATAATGCATTTCTAAGGAGCGGAAGCATTAAGCATTGTTTTGACTTCAAGAGAGGTGAATGGAACCCTTTTTGTCATCTTCTGAATACTTTAAGGCGCTATACAAATGTAATCTTGTTGAACAAAATTGCAGTAATGTAAACTTCTTTCCTTTCTATGATCTTGCTTGTTGTCAATTGGATATATTTGTGCAGTCCATCGAGGATGTTGAATTATGAATGTTTTTATAGCCACCATTCAGAATTAATATTGCTAGGTGGGATTTGATGGGATGAACCAAATGTAATTTTTGTCATTGATTCTTTGAGAGTGATATGGGAGTGGATAGGATGAGAGAACCCACAACTTTGGGACTTGCAGTTTTTAGTCCTATATCTACACCATATTGTTCAGTGTCTTACTTAGAAGGGATGCAGGGTAGTAAAGAAATAATAGTTGGCTGAAGAGCAAAATGGCCCACTATATTCACAAGTTCTCCTTGCTTAGTCTCATACACTGAATTAATACAAATCATTTTTTCTCCCATTAAGTTGGTACTAATATGCTATGCACAAAAACATTCAACTTTACCACTTTCATTTAGCTAGCAAAACCTATATGGAATACTTGGGCCTCAACTTCTCATATCACATAGCTCCACTGTCATCCTAAAAAATGCTACTTCCAAAAATATTCTTTAAGGGATACTGTATTATGAAGTTATGCACCAACAATATTGAAGACAAATCGAAGCACACAATTGAAGAAGGCGTGGATTCCAAGGCAATTATTGACTGAACTTTGGTTTTTGTACTGCATACGAACAGAGAAACTTCTGATTCTGTTCGCTGTGTCATACAACAAAGTACTTAATTTTGAAATAACTAATTTTCTAACTAATGATATTTAAAGGTATCTAAATATTTAAAATTTTCAAATCTTTTGATCATTTTGGGTATAGTTAGTTAAGTTTTCTGCACACTGGCTTTGTGAAATGAAATTTGTGTGAATACAACATTGTTTTGGTGAGTTTTCATCTATAAAGTTTCATCACATTTGTACTTCACTTCGAGTTTTAATAGTTTTAAAAATACTACATTACTTTGCAAAATGAATAGCCGTTACAGAATATGTTAAAATAGTTTTAAGATCATGGGTGGGGCGAAAAGAGGAGGAAATGGAAAGGTTCAGATGGTTGTAGAGTAAATATTAAATTGTTAGCAAATCAATTGGCCTGAAAATAACGTAAACCCATCCAACATAGGCATTTATGCAAATTAAATGCAAACATTTATAATAGACATCTAGGCATGCCATTTAGCACTATTTCTCACCCAAACATGACAAATGAATTGCTTTGTTCAATAATATTTAAGCAAGAAAGAAAACAACTACTTGGAAGAAATGCTCTGTTTGTATCCTGTAGGATGTTCTGTATTCTTGTGTAACTGCATTGTCTACTGACTTGTACAAATCTGCCTTTTCATTTCCACAATTCCTAACCACTAAATGAAAAGATGAAGTCACTTTTGATATTGACATTTGCAGTACACTTAAAATAATATCTGTCTACAAATATGTCAGCCTGTGTTCAAAATATAAAATCAACACCAGTGTCACTTAGCTCTACACAGTATACGCGAATGACTCACATCAAGCATCAGGTTTGATCTTGGACACAATTACTCTTTAGCAGTAAGAAATACAGCTTTAGCCATCGCCAACTTTAATATCCAGAGAAATTGAAAACACATGTGCCAAAACTACACGTGATCGGTGCTGCATTGGAAACAGAACATATTACAGGCTACCTTGTGAAAATTAATATTGTACCTAAAAGTACTTAAGCCAAACCTAATAACCAAACTGATTGAAATATATTCTATTGATAACTAAAAAAACACAATATTAGTGTCAACGCAAATAGAAAAATCAAATCCTTCGTCTATCCCAAACAATTAATCGTGTACTTTTGGTGCACTAGAACATTTACTTTTCTTTCTTCCACGTTTAAACACAGGGGATCTCAGAAAGTCTGAGTCTGTAAACTGATCACCTCGACGTAGTTTACTGCAAAAAAAAGATTTGAATATCGCAGATTATTAAATTGCCATTGTTATAGATATTTTTACACTTTACAAGTTAAAATAATGCTTTTCAAGATCATTTTTTGTTAAATTAGAGCTCAGTTAAATTTTCCCTTTTGGAAATAAAAAAATTCTGTTCTAAACAAAATAATTATCAAATGTACACAAGGATCATGCAATTCATAGAAATACAATCAGCTGAAACTAACATGACAGAAATGCATCAGACAAGGTCACACAAGTGGGATTAATATTAAGGAAAACAAGTTGAAAGAAGTTAGATATATCAAATAATTTTCTCAGGAGCCCAATGTGGGTAACAGCCGAAAACCCTAACTGAGGTTGAAGACCAGTCAAGAATAATTAATGTCTGATCTGTAGTTCCTCGAAGTTTGCTAAATTTGTTTAGACGTTGCTTCTAAATTGTTAAAACACAAGTAACTGCAACATTGCCCAGATTCCAACATCAATAATGTACCTGATGTCTATAACTGTATCCTAACCACTTGTAGATTACTTTTCTATATAAAGAAACCTACATTATCAACTGGTGCTTGTATTGCTATGTGATACAGTTGCCCCATCTGCTGGACAACAAAAAGACAATCAGCATGCTTGACCATAGGTGTGGGTATGCAGTAAGGACTTGTTGTGTACTGACTGAAACAAATGTGCAGCATGAATACAAGCTGGGGAAAACACTAATACTGGTCAAGATTCTGAAACAACAAAAGAAGTCACCTGCTTTGGTAGTGTGAAAAAAAAGAGTGAGCCTGCCTCAGAACAAGGCTGTGAGCAAAGTGCAGTAGGGAGATCATCTGACACCACATCTATTGAAGAGCATTCCACATTTTATGAGAAGCTTGTGAAGATGAGTGAGATATGTTCAATTTTAACAGAGCTTAATAATTCTTGTCTATTGCTAATTTTCACTTTTTAAGTTGGTTACATAACTAATGTGACTAATTTCAAAGATTTGGGGTGTGTGTGGCAGGGGGTGGGGGAGGGAATAGCTGGGAAATGTAACCCTGACTTAAACCTAAAGATGCAGCATCCTCTTCCCCCATTGTGAAGTAAAATGTTATTCTCGTTGAACCCATTTGAACTGGCTTAATAATTCACTTAGGATCAGCTAAAGGCAGAGATCTTAACTAATGTGTATCATCATTCCAATAGAGGTTTTATTCACAGTACCAGTCGCTTCTTGGATTAACTGATGAAATGTCAAAAAAAAGTATGTGCATCATAAGGTTTTAAAGTTATCTGTATGTGATGAAATGAAATGATGACCAATTAATTCAGGTAAAAAGTTGAATTCCCAATACAATTTTTACCTGAATTATTTGGTTGTCAGTCAAATTTTAAACACACAGGCCAAATTTTAGTTTTGGAGAGGAAAGGAGAAGTTGCAAGAACTCGACTTACTTGTTGAGTTTTGGTTCTTTGTAGCTGACAACAGAAGCAGCTTGACGTCTGCTCCGTGAACATGTAAGGAGGGCTGGCTTTGTGTCATTAAGATTCAACTGACAATCGAGTTTGCAAGTAGTTGTATTGGTCACATCTGTTAGGGCTTTACTATTTTTGATGCCTGCAGAAGGAATAGAAGTGAGGATTTCATACAGCTGTAGGTATGAATGCAACAAGTTTAAAACTGTAGTGGCATTTATGATTAACTGCAACATAATACAGATGATGGAAAGATAGAAAACTGGATTTAAAGGAAATATGTCCTTTGCAACTTTTTCTCAAGTCTATGATTAATTTTGCAGAATCTGGAGGATTGTGCAACACAATATTCTTGATGTATTTAACTTCACTGTCCCTTAATAACATCTACTTATAATATAAATGTGCATCAGTCTGGCTCAGGAGTAACAATCTTGCCTCTGAGTTAGAAGCCTCAAGTTCAAGCGGCATGTCAGGGCTTCAAATCACATAGTCTAAGCTGACACTCCAATGCAGTGCTGGGGGTGTGTTGTATTGTTGGAGGTTCAGTCAATATTCTGAACTAAGGTTCAGTCTGGTTCTTCAGATGGGCGTTAAAGATATCATGGCACTTAGAAAAGAGAAGGGAGTTTCTTCCAGTATCCTAGTCAACAAATCTCCCAAATAACATTGGTCATTCATCTCACGGCTGTTTGTGAAACATTGCTGTGCACAAACTGGCTGCCATCTTCACCCACAAAACAGTAAATCCTGTGAAGCGCTTTGAGATGTCCTCCTGACGTGAAAGGCACATTACCAATGCAAGGATTGCCATTATTGTTATTTATTATTAAATTATTTATTTATTAAATATATTTAATATATTTAATAAATACTAAGTTAAATATACGTGCAAAAATATGTAGTTCTTTGGTCATACTGTATTCCTCTCCCCATCCAAATATATCCCTAAATTCAAACAAATAAGCTACTCCATAGGATACTGCTAGTGCAGGCACTTCAAAGCCATTTATTGTTCATGGGAAGTATTAAATATACTCAAGTTATTATTATGGTATGCAAATATACAACACTTACTTGCATCAGAGGTAGTTGGACTCTGGAGGCTTCTCTCAGGAATCCTTGGACACTGTCTCATTGGGAAATCTGGAGTAGGAATTTCTGTCTTTATGACTGATTCAGTGAAAGTGTTTCTCATACAGGTTTTTTCTATAGGTCTGTTCTGTTCAGACAAAGCTGGTTTATTCTTTACCACTTTATTGCGCGCTGATTTTTTCTGTGATTTAACTGAGCGTACAGAACCTTGTGCAGTAGACTCACAGAATGCCATTATCCTTTGGTCAGTTTTTTCGTTTGTATGGTTACTGTTTTCACATGGAACATTAAAAGTTTTATTAAATGCTTTTGGACTATTGAAATGTTCAGCTATCACAAATTCACACTGCTCTTGATCTTTTTCCTGTTTAAATCGTTTAAGTAATATTTCTTCAGTATTCTTGTTTACTATGTGTGTCACAAATATTCTGTGGCCATTTTCTTTGATACCAACAGCCGTTTCTTGTGAAGTTTTTGAAGTCACACGATTATCTTCTAGGTGTTCAGTGTTTACCGTTTCATGTTGTTCTGTACTTTTCACATGTGCAGTTGGGTTAGATGAACCTTCTTTAATATTCACACAGACATTAGGGATCACATTTGTTTTCTGGCCAGTTCTTTTCTTACTACGATTAATGTCTTCTTGGGGTGCATTTGTAGGTCCACTATCTTCTTGTGGACAATCTAGATGTTGAGCTGTTACCATGTCACACTGATCCCAACCTTTCTCCTGGTTAGTTGATTTGGATGAAATTTCTATAGTATTCTTGTTTACCACAAATGTTCTCCGGCCAACGCTTCCCTCAATACCATCATCGGTTTTGTTTATAGGAACTATATGTGTTCTTCGGCTAAACCTCTCCCTCACGTTAGCAGTACCTTGTGAAACATTTGAATTCCTATTGCTCATTTCAGCGATCTGCGTGACATGTTGTTCTTCATCGACTGAAGAACTTTGGGCAACATTGCTTATCAGAATATGTTGACAAGCATTTGAAATACCATTGCCCTCTTCTGGACTATCTAGATGATGATGCAATTCATCTTTCTGCTTCAAAATTGGAATACACAAACTCTTAATATTCTTATACCTTCTAGGCACTGTAACTGTCCGGTCATCTTTTTTCTTCGAGTTTATGTTATGTTGTGAAGCATTGTTCTCTTCTAGGCTTCCTACATGTTCATTCACTGCCACGTTATGCAGTTCTTCACTGGATGAAATTCCGGCAACACCAATATGTCCATCATGCACCACAAAAGTCCTTCGGCTATCTGTTTGCTTCAGATTATTGTGTGAATCAACTAAAATATTGCTCTCTCCTAGACTAACTAGATGAGCTACCTCCATTTCATACTGCTTTTCAGTTTTCTTTGTTAAAATTGGAATACATGAACTATTTTTAATCCTTTTGTGTCCTTTAGACACAATACCATCCTTTTTCTTTGTATTGCTATTATCTTGTGAAGCACTTACAGTTCTATGGTGTTTTTCTAAACCATCTTTATGTTCATCCATTGCCATGTCACACTGTTCTCCACAAGATGAACTTCCTGTAACATCATCTCCATTCAGCACCACAAATGTCCTTCGATCAACCCTTTTCTTCAGATTATCTTTTGAATTATTGGAAACACCATCTAGATGATCAATTATTTCCATTTCACACTGCATTTCAACTTCTTTCTGTGCAATTGGATTCTGCACAACTGTTGTTTGCTCAACTTTTTTCATATCACAAACGTCTTTTTCTGAAGGATTTGAAATCTGACTTTGTTTATGACTGTACTCATTTTCATGCAACCTCCAATCCAGCAGGTCATCCTTTTGAATACCAAAAGGGATCTGTTCACAATCATCCAGAAATCCATTGTCAAACACTGGACAATTAGTTTGGGAACTTATTCTCCCTTTATTCCGCCGAGATTCAGTATGGAATTTCGTCTTAGCACTATCACAATTCTTTTTCTTAGCCTTCTTACATTTTACTTTTCTCAGTGCATCCGCAGTCTCTGAGCATGTTTCTGTCATTTCCACATCAACTCCCTCAGTTTTCCTTTTTGTAGATTTAGTTGCGACGACGACAATATCTACCACTTCATTAGCAGTTAGATCCATGTCTGCATCAAAGACAGTTTCTTCATACTTATTTGGTTGTAATTTCTCAGTCAGCATTTGCGCACCACGTTTCTGTTCTGATTTCAGATCAGAAAGCTGATTGGAATAATGCATTGGAGGTATCTCAGCTTGTGCCTCAGCCAATTGGGTTCTACTAAACTGATCACAAACCTCCTTGGTCACAGAACAATGTGAAAAAGATGCTCTTGTCTGGGATATGCTTTTATTAATTATTTCAATAGAGTTTTTAGATGCTTCCATCCGGGAGAATGAAGATGTTTTTCTTAAGGTAACATTGTCACTTGAAAGCACGGCTCCAATTACTTGTGCCTCTTCCACTTGCTCAGCCATTGATGCTGATGCTATATGCAAACTGCTTCTCGTAGATGTTCTAGCCTCTTGAGCAAGTCTTGGAGGATTTGAAATGGTCTCTGAAATACACATAGAAAACATGTATAAATTAATTCTATGTAAGGGAGAAAATAATTCCATTGCCATCTAGTTGCACATTGAGATGTTAAAATACAAACTTTAAAACATGGGTACAGTGAAGCTTCAAAATTGAAGAGTTGACTTCCAGGCTTCAATTCAGGCAATTTCTATTTATTTCTTATTATCTAAGTTACAGTTTCAATTTGTTTTGCTCCAATCATGCTTTATATTGGAAATAAATGCCACAAAGAGTATAATTCATGTATATGCAACCACGTTAGCATTGGATGCATGAGTGTTCTACACCAGGGTTGAGTAACACTGAAAGAAACTCAAAGGGACTGCACTAAAATGATCTTTGGCATAAGTGTGCATAAGTGTAACATCTTGGGCGGCAGACGACTGAGACCAGACATTAAAACGTGTCAGGTGCTGCTTTACTTTGCTGTTAAATAACGAGACATTTGGACATATTTGGTGCAGTCAACAATGTGATAAGTGGAAAGCTATTGCATCCATAAGATTAATTGGCCCTGATCAGCACAAAGGAAAATGTATTTTTTAGAAAAGAGCAAATAAAATAATGAATTTCTCCTTTACCTAGAAATCCTCAGATAGAATTTACAGAATTTGTAGATATGTGAGAAATGTGGAATTTTCACCACTTTTTGATCAAACAAAAGGAGTGCTTTAACAAAAATAACATTCCATAACATTCTGATTACTTAACAAACTGTCAAATTCAAACTTGCCATCAATAGTTACTTACATTTTATATTTGCATATCAAATATTGTCATTAGAGTGAACTGTTGTTACACTTCACAGTAAATTCTGTAAAGCCATTTGAGACAGTCTCCCAACATGAAAGGGGTTATATCAATGCAACGATTATGATCATATAAATAATGATTAGCAAAAATGAAGTAATGCCAACATCAGACCCAAGAAAAATTGTTTTCTCTTAGCTGCACTTACCTCCAACAGTTTGTCCAAGCTCAGTTTGCTCTATCTCCATGAAATTTAAGTCACTTAAAGAAACACGTTCATGATAATGGACATCAGATTGGCTGGATTGACGTTTCCATATTTCAGATGAAGATACAGTACTCTCTCCTGGAATTTCTACGACTCTTTTCGACGATTCAGTCCCAGTGGCCCAAATTCTTTCTTTATTAGTGAGCTTTAGTGGAACTCTAAGTGGCATATCATCGTCTCTGTAATCAAAACAGTTACCGTCAGATTAATCTCTTTCATCATAGATATTGTGAAGCTCCATACTTGTCCTTAAAGACTTTTATGTGTTATTCTACATGCAGAAAGTTATTTTTAATTTTCTCAGCACTTTTCTTCAGTGTTAACGGGAACATTACCTAATTCAAATGTTTGAAGAAGTCATTCACCACCGGGATAAATAAGGAGGAAGGGAAAAGAAAAATAAACAAAAAGTAATCCATCTGCTCACATACACAGGGGCATTTGAGAAGAAGTTAATTTGAGAAGTTTTTAATGTAGAAAATGTCATCCTGCTCGTAGTATGACTATCCTCTTCCTATATCCTACAAATAAAGGCCAAAATGTTGCTCTGAAAAGATGCTTGGGTCAAGTTCACAATTCTGGAAGATTGCCTACACGCCAGCTGGCAAGAGTGGAAATTCCAATATTGTGCTTGAAACTATTTGCTTATTATTCAAGGTCGGCAAGTTACATAAAACATATTGCAGCTGGATTTAATTCCATTCAAGTATCAAACTACCCACTTCATTTTTGCCTCAGGCAATGTTTGAAATAAAGAATAAAAAAAACTTCTCCAGCAGTGAGTGGACCTGAAAAAAAAATCACATTCTATTCATTTACAGAAATCATTGATGTAGATCTTAAAAAAACTAGCTCCTAATAATTTTCAGAATTTCTAGATAAAAGGAAAGCTATTTGACATTTATTTTCATGTTGTAGTTTTTCAGATCACTGTATAACACATCTATAGTATAATTTAAATAAACTCATAATCTGATAAGGAACAGCATGAAGTTTAAATACTTATGAATTAAAGAAGAAATGTGAATTTTTTATTTTTATTCTTAAATCTTGCATAAATATATCAACTTGATTCAAATCAGACATTAAATAAAAGCATTAATCTTACATTACTTCCAAGTCGTAGCTAATTCGTTGGGATGATGTCGTTGAACAGCAACGTTCTTCAAGCTGCACAAAGTACATGCAAAGAAGAGACACAAACCGATTAAACGTCAAATTCTCCAGTTAAGATCACTTACTCGTAGATTGTACTACGGTAGAGATTGGAAGCCAAATAACAGGAGTGCTTGACATTACACAAGGACAAGATTGTGATGCTCACACAGGCCATTTAGTCTTTGGTGCATTACATTAACGCATTTCAAAACAGAATGGAATTTTATAGACTTCAACTAACACTCTATTACATAGCACTACTGTAGTTAGAAACCTGCATAATTCCAGTTAATGCTAAATATCTCAAAAAGATAAAGTGAAGAAAGTTCCTTACGTCCTCCACGCAGGAATTGATAGCAGTTGTCAGGTGGCTAGCAGCATCCGTAAAAAGGCTATTTGTTTTCATCAAGATTTCTTTCAGAGCACAAATTTTAGCATTCTATTTCTCAGACAACAAAAATAAGAAGAACAGTTAATTTATGAAAGATATTATACTGACAGCATTTAACCACACATTAAATATAAAGTCACTGCTGCTAAAAATCTAGTCTAATTTAGTAAACTACAATTTATTTTCTGAATCTGAATAAACGTGAATAGCCAGTTGAAATTTATAGCAATTACCTGAGAGCTGAGTTTTTGACGGAGGATAGATATGTCATAATTTTGAACATTAATTTCTTTTTGAAGATTCATTTTATCTTGTTCAGCTTTTCTATATTTTGTCTTCTCTTCAGCAAGGGCCAAAGCCAAATCTTTGTTATTATTTTTCAACGAAACCTTCATTATAGAGGAATTGTCTGTAAGGAAAATAATTCAGAATTTGAGTTACAGGAATGAAAAGATCACATTTAAACCTTGAAGCATCTACAAAAGATTATCAAGAATCAAGATTCAGAAAAAAATGATTACTATTCTAAGAAGTCAATAGCTAAGAACGCAACTGTAGAGTACTGTGAGCAGTCATCGGAATTTGCCCCCTCAGCAATTCCAGATTTGAATCATGGGGGGGGTCCATGATTATATATATATATATATCATATATATATATATATAATATCCTCCCTCGCCACCTTCAAGACCCTCCTCTTCGACCGTGCTTTTGATCTCCATGCTTCCCCCCACCCGCCCCAACCCTCAGGTTGGGTCCGTAACTCTGTCTGTCCAGCGCCTTGGGATATCCTCCCAACATGAAAGGCACTACACAAATGTAATTTTGTTGTTATTGTTGTCATTTGCAAAGAAAAGACTGAGTGACAATCAGATCATAATATACTAGAAGTAAAGCCTAATATTAACAAAAGCTCAGCAGGGATAGAAACACACTTACTTAGGATCTTGGTTTTAATCTTGGATACCAGGGAAGCATTGTATTTTGTCTTTTTTAAAATGCCATTCTTTCTTTCCTTCATCTTTACAGAGACCTCATCCAAGTTGGTGCCAGATGTAGTTGTAGGCATCATTGTTCTTTTCGCACTTTGAGCGTTGTCACTTTGCACACCACCTTAAAATAAAGATTTTAATAGCTGGAAATTCTACAGTGAATACTTCTGTCCTACAAAAAAAAAGCAGAATCAAAGGTTTTACCAAGCCTCTTTCAATTATCCCAAACCTTTTGCTCACACCAAAAAATACATTGGAAAATGCAATGTTAATCTTATTTAAGATTTATATTTCAAAAAAGAAACCTCCTCCAGCTTCAGTGTAAGCTCGCAGAGCTGCCTGCGTTGTGCTGGATTCAGCATTTGAAAAACATTTGTACGTCCTCCCAAAGTGGAAGGCGCCCCTAAATGCAATTTTTTTGTTGTTGGGTCCATCAGCGGAGTCCTGTAGCTCAGTTAGAGCACTCGCCCCGCAAGTGAGAGAACCTGGGTTCGATTCCCGGGTGCGGCGAACCGTTGGGCAAGTTTCCTTACTCTGCACGCTTGTTTATCTAACACCAAGTATGAATCCGGTTCTTAATCGATTGGCGGATTGCTTTTCCGGGGGTAACGATCCATCCAGAAAGAAAAAAAAACATGATTTCTCAACCCACGGCTGTTTGTGGGACACTGCTCTGAGCAACTGACTGCCGCGTTTCACCCGCAAAACATACAGTCACTACCACTTAACAATATATTCTGTGAAGCGCTTTGAGAAGTCTCGAAGAAGTGATAAAGTGCTAATAATCAAATATGAGGATTATTATTATTGTCGGAAGTGAAAGCTCACGTCAGTAACAACAATAATAACCTTGCATTTGACACAGCGTCTCATCACGTCGTTGAGACGTCTCAAAGCGCCTCACAGAATAATAACGATAACAAGTTACACTGTGTATGTGTGTGTGGGGGGGGGGGGTGGGGGCTGTTTGAATGTGTGTATGTGGGGGGCTGTGTGTGTGTGTGAATGTGGGGGGGGCTGTGTGTGTGTGTGTGGCGGGGCTGTGTGTGTGTATGTGTAATGGGGGGGGGGCTGTGTGTGTGTGGCGGGGCTGTGTGTGTGTGTGTGTGTGGAGGGGGGGCTGTGTGTGTGTGGGGCGGGGCTGTGTGTGTGTATGTGTAATGGGGGGGCTGTGTGTGTGTGGGGGGGGCTGTGTGTGTGTATGTGTAATGGGGGGGGCTGTGTGTATGTGGGGGGGGGGGGCGTGTGTGTGTGTGTGGAGGGGGGCTGTGTGTGTGTGGTGGGGGGACTGTCTGTGGGGGGAGCTGTGTGTGTGTATGTGTAATGGGGGGGGCTGTGTGTGGGGGGGCTGTGTGTGTGTGTGGTGGGGGCTGTGTGTGTGTGGGGGATGTGTGTGGTGGGGGCTGTGTGTGTGTGTGGTGGGGGCTGTGTGTGTGTGTGTGTGTGTGTGGGGGCTGTGTGTGTGGGGGCTGTGTGTGTGTGGTGGGGGGACTGTCTGTGGGGGAGAGCTGTGTGTGTGTATGTGTAATGGGGGGGGCTGTGTGTGGGGGGGGCTGTGTGTGTGTGTGGTGGGGGCTGTGTGTGTGTGTGGGGGGGACTGTGTGTGTGTGGTGGGGGCTGTGTGTGTGAGTGGTGGGGGCTGTGCGTGTGGGGGGGGCTGTGCGTGTGAGTGGGGGGGCTGTGTGTGTGAGTGGGGGGGCTGTGTGTGTGGGGGGGGCTGTGTGTGTGGGGGGGCTGTGTGTGTGTGTGGGGGGGGCTGTGTGTGTGTGTGTGTGGGGGCTGTGTGTGTGTGTGTGGGGGGGTGTGTGTGTGTGTGGGGGGGGGGGCTGTGTGTGTGTGTGTGTGTGGGGGGGGGGCTGTGTGTGTGTGTGGTGGGGGCTGCGTGTGTGGGGGGGGGAGGGGAGAGCACAGGCAGAGCTGGGTCTTCACGTCGGGTCAGCTCCGGGGATATCGGGGCGGGCTGAAGGCTTCCCTACCGGTGGCCCGGGCCTGTATCAGGCTGTCGGGGAGGGAGGGAGGGAGGGAGGTCGGTCGGTTACCGTTGCTCTGGAGGCTCCGGTGGCGGCAGTTGGACGGCTCGCGCCGCTCGCGCTTCGGAACCCAGAACAAATTTGAATGTCGCGCTTCCGGCGGAAGCTCAGCGGCCGTCTCCCATTGGCCGCGAGACCCCCCCCTCCCACGTGATGGGGGAGCGGTGCCTGATGCCCTGGGCCCCGCGCAGTTGGGAGTGACAGCGGGGTGGGCGGGGCCGGGCAGGGAGGGGGCGGGGCGATCCTGCGCTGGGCGTGGTTTCTCTTCCATCGTTTTTGCTGCTGCGATACTGTGTCTCTGAGAAATAATAATAATAATAATAATCCTCGCATTTGATATAGCGCTTTTCACGTCGGGAGGACGTCCCAAAGCGCTTCACAGAAGACACTGTAAAGTGAATTGACTGTATATTTGTGGGCGAACGCGGCAGCCAATTGCGCACAGCAATGTCCCACAAACAGTCGTAGATTGAAAATGACCAATTTATTATTGTTTTTTTTTGGAGGGATTATTATTAGAAAATGCAACGAATAAACTTATCAGTGATAATAATAATCCTTTGCATTTGACACAGCGCCTTATCGCGTCTTCGGGACGTCTCAAAGCGCTCCAGGGAATATACGGTAAAATGAATTGGCTGTATATTTTGTGGGTGACGCTCGGCAGTGCCCCACAAACAGCCGTGGTATTGAGTGACCAAATTATTATTACTATTTTAACTGTAACAGATTTCTTAGAGTTGTAATATATAGATAGATGTGAAACGTGCAGGTTATATGAAAGCATGCACCTACTTATAATAACCTGTAGTAATAATAATCCTTGCATTTGATATAGTGCCTTATCAACAACAACACCACCACCAACAACAACAAGATTACATTTGTATAGCGCCTTTCGTGTCGGGAGGATGTCCCAAGGAGCTGGACAGCGTACAGCATTTCAGACCCGGGGGGGGGGGGTGGGGAAGGGAGGGGAGGGGAAGGGGGGTGACCAATGGCATTGTCGAAGAGGAGGGTTTTGAGGCAGGACTTGAAGGAGGCTAAGGAGGGGGTGAGGTGGAGTGATTGGGGGATGGAGTTCCAGAGGTTGGGGCAGAGTGGCTGAAGGCTCTCCCACCAATGGTGGGGCGGGTGGGTCGGGGGACGTGGAGTAGCCAGAGCGGCTGAGCGGAAGGAACGGGCGGGTTGATAGGGGGTTAGGAGGTCGCAGAGGTAAGGTGGGGCGAAGCCGTGGAGGGCTTTGTATGTGAGGACCAGGATCGTGAACTGAATCCTCTGAAGGATAGGGAGTCAATGGAGTCGAGCGAGAGTGGGGGAGATGGGGTCACGGAGTTTGGTGCGGGAGAGGACACGGACTGCGAGTCCTGGATTATCTGCAGCCTGTGGAGGGAGGAGTTGGGAAGGCCGACAAGCAGGGCATTTGCATAGTTGAGCCTGGAGGTGATGAAGGCATGAACAAGAGTTTCAGGGGCCTGAGGGGGTGAGGTAGTGGCGGAGTCGGTCGATGTTATGGAGGTGAGGGAAGGCAGAGCGGGTCATGGCTTGAATGTAGGGGAGAAAAGACGTCATTGAAGCAATTCAAAGAGCTTCACAGGATATACTGTAAAGTGGATCGACTGGTGGTTTCTCCCAGTGTCTTGGCCAACCATCCCCCAACTAAAATTGGTCATTCACTTCATGGCAGTTTGTGAAACATTGCTATGCACAAATTGGCTGCCACATTTGCCTACACAGTAAATACACAACTGCATACATAGTAAAATCCTGTGAATTGCTTTGAGACATCTCGATGATGTGATAAGGTACTATATTAAATGATTATTATAATAAAAAGTAAACAATTTGCACTTATATAGGATCTGTCACATAGGAGAATGGCTCAAAGCTTTTTACAATGATATAGTGGGAGACTAATGGGGGAAGAGGTAGTGGGAGATGGCCAAACCCCAGTTGAACAGATTGTTTTAAGATGGGTTTTAACAACAACAACAAATTACATTTGTATAGCCCCTTTCAGGTCAGGAGAACATCCCAGGGCACTGAAAAGCAGAAAGGGATGGGTGGGGTATTTGGGAAGTGTTTCAAAGAACGGGGGCAAAGGTTTGCCCACCGATGGATACATAAAGTAAGCCAGGGTTGGTGGAGCAAAGGCGGTGGGTGGGTATTGGGACTGCACAAGATCACAAAGGTGTGTGTTTGTGTGGGTGGGAGGGAGGTGAACAAGCTTGTAGACATTTTAAAGATTAGGATCTCAAAAGAGATCTGCCGGGAGAATTCTTTTTTAAAAAAACATCATTCTCTGCTGAACTATTTACATATAAATACATGTGTCAAAATGTAAAAGTGCATGTAAAAACACCATTCTGGAGGGATGACAGATATCTGACGGTCCAAAGGGCCTCTATTCGTACGCAAAATATACAGTCAATTCACTTTACGGTATATTCTATGAGACGTCTCAAAGACGCAATAAGGCGCTACATCAAAGACAAGGATTCTTCTTCTTATTTTTACCCAGACCGATCTTGTGATCTCGTCAGATGTCTGGATGCAGGAATGGGAAGGTGGTTTGTGTGGTCAAAGAGTGCCTCCCAGTGGTGTAACTAAAAATGGCAGACAGACTTTGAGACTACCTGCTATTGTTCAGTTCAACCACTGGGTATCACTCTTGGACCACCCAATCCATTTTAGGAATGTTGAAGGAGGATTGTGTGGTCAAAGAGTGGCATCCAATGGTTTAACTAAGAAACATTAGCCTTTGACCACACAGTCCACCTTCCCATTCCAGCAGCCAGCTTGGTGCATGCAGTGAGGCACACACGCTGTGTGAATTTCCTGGTTAAACTCGCTTATTCAACAGCTGAATAAACAGTGTTTTCAAATCAAAACTCTGGCAACATTAACAGTTTTCTATTGCCTGGACTGTGCAATCTGTACAAATTACGCCAGATCCCCACGAAAGACCCAGGTTGACAAGTACAATTGTGAAATGATTTCACGGTGCAGCCTGGCTGTTAACACCACCCCCCAATGTCACCAGTAATTTAGCCTCAATTCATAAACAGCCCCATCGAAGCCTTTGAGTTTACAATATATTCTGAGAAGAAATTTGAGACGTCTCGAAGATGTGATAAGGCGCTATACTAAATACAAGGATTATTATTAAGGGATCAGACGTGAACTTCCTTTAATGTTCTTAAAGTGACAATCTTACCTCTGGCTCTTCAATAATATTAAAATTATAACACTAATTGCCATGCTTTGCAATGGGCTAAAATGTGCACACGTGAGAGTAGAATTTGCCACCCGGGTTGAGATTGATGTAGAAAGCATCTAGAGTTCTACAAATTTACAGAATTCATGGATGTTTTAGTGAATATTTTGCTTAAATGCCCAATGTTAACTGGTCTCTTCTACCAGAAGGCAGAGTTCACTATTTTTTATTGTGCGGCGTGCAAAGTGGTGAGCCAAAAGGAATGGAATGTCAGATTGCTGTGCGACCTATTGTGTGTGCTTTTTTTTTGTTCTACTGGGGCATGTTCAGCTATTCATTCTGCCCTCACATCCCTTGGCAAATGCTGACGGCAGCATGAGCCGTTGAACATGCTAGAATAATAATAATAATAATCCTTGCATTTGATATAGCGCTTTTCACGTCGGGAGGACATCCCAAAGTGCTTAATATAGAGTGAGTGACTGTATCTCCCATCAATAGTTTTGTGCTGGGGTGGGGGGGCGGAGCAGGTGCAGAGAAAAAGGAGGCGCAATAGGAAGAATTCTGTCCAAAAATTGTTCCCAAACAGGCAGGGCAGTCCAAACTGTAACGATTAAAGTGTGGTCACCGCTCCTTTTACACTTGCAGCATCTGCTCTTTATCTGGAAGTGTAATCTTTTACAGATTGCCAGGTAGCTTTGGAATGAACGAGTATTTGTCAGAAGACTAGTGTTTTGTGTCAATCCCAGCAAGTCTGGGATGGCTGAAGCTGTTTCCATCATAAAGCCAAACCATATTCACAGCACGAATATACAACTTGCATAGTAATCTGTAGCTGAGTGTAAAAAAATGGAAGCTATATTGGCACGATGGTTAGAAGTAGTAACATGTTGTTTGGACCAACAAACGGTCAGGACATTTTGTGCCCTTTGAACTCTCTGCTTTGTCTTTTCATTCTTTGGTTACTTATAAATAGCCAGGCTGTTAATGTTATCACTCAAGAGGCGAACTGATTGAGGTCTTTAAAATAATACAGGGCATTGACAAGGAATTACTTCAGGAGGTGAATCCAGAGCAAGAAATTATTATTATAATTTAGTAATAATTATATCGGATTAGGAAACCATCCTTCAGATGAAATGTTTAAGTGAGGTTCTAGTTACTTGATCAGGAGGAAGTGAAAGATCCTTTGGTACTATTTGAAATGAGATGGGAGTTTCTCCTGGTATCCTGGGCAATAATCCCTCAGATAAAATTCACTTCTTGATTGTTCCTGGGACATTGCTGTGCGTTAATTGAAGCACTCTGAGACGCCGTCCAGCGTGGAGGGCACTATATAAATCCAACTTGTTGTTGTAATTGGCTGCCATGTTCACCTGCAAATACGTAGGCACAATATTTTTTAGGAAAGCACTTTGAGACATTTCAACTGCGTAACAAGGTGCTATACCAAAAGCAAGAATTATGATTAGATTAGCATTTAAATTAATCTTGTTACAAGTGAATCCAGAATACAATTCTTCATCCTTGAATATTTGTAAGAATATATTGTCCCAGGCAACCATAGATGGAAAATTATTTAGAAGAAAGATAGATAGATACTGTACTGTATTTGAAAAGAAAGGGTATTAAACAATATGGATATAATTCACATTTATAAAGCGCCTTTCACATTCCAAGGATAACAATAATCAATAATAACAATAATAATAAGGAGTCGGGAAGGCCGACAAGCAGGGCATTTGCGTAGTCGAGCCTGGATGTGATGAAGACATGAACAAGAGTTTCAGCGGCCTGAGGGGTGAGGTAATGACGGAGTCGGGCGATGTTATGGAGGTGAGGGAGGGCAGAGCGGGACATGGCTGGGATGTGGGGAAGAAAAGACAGTTGAGTGTTGAACAAGACACTTAGGTTCCTGACTGGCTGGTGAGTTGAAGTGTGCAGCCATGGAGGTTGATGCTGCCAGATCCTGAGGTGCAGAGGCACTGGTGTGAGCCAATTAGGAGGGCCTCAGTCTTGTTCACATTCAACTGTAGGAAAGTTGCCCTCATCCAGGACTCATCCTCTTTGCCCTCATCCTCATCTATTAATGTAGCACCCTTCATGCAGGATAATGTCTGAGCGTTACACAGGTACAGGGTTGGACCATAAGCAAGAGTGGGGGGAGAGAGAGAGGTTGCCTTGGACATGTTTAAAGAGATAGGATTTGAGGTGGGACTTAAAGACAGAACAAGGGGGCGTGAGATGGATGATTAGAGAAAGTTTAGGGGTGTAAGAACTGAAGGTTCGGGCACCGATAGTGGCACAAAGTGGGTAGAGTTAGTTCTAACTGGACAAACATTAGGAAACTTGCAAGACAGTATTTTCAATGGCAAAATGTGTGATTTTCAATGGTTAAACTGCAGCAGTACCCTCATACCACACTCTAGGGTCATCAAGCCTTCGCTTTTGCTAATCAGCTCCACAAAGCTTTTCAACCTACAACTCAGCTCTACGGGATGAAGTGAGCGAGGTGTGTCCATGAGAGTGTGCCCAATCCATTCCAAACAAACAGAATCAATACTGTTAAGCATGTAGACGGTTTTGCGCATGTGTGAGATACACTCGGCCGACCAAAATAAAGGAAAACAGAACACTAGATTGCATACTCAGACAATTATAGGAACCTTAGAATTGCTAGACATAAAAAGACCAAGATCCATCTATATAATTCGCCTTCTACCATCCTGATAGTCGCATGCTACAATAATGGAGATTTTGATAGCAATTAATTCTGTATGGATTGGTCTACCACAGAGTGGAAAACTTTGGGAACCTCAGATTTAGTCTTCCAAGCCATACTTACTATATGTCATGTCTCAAATTACTCATATCTTGTATCCCAAAATACTATTTTTTAAAAGAAATCTATTTAATTTGCATTTGATTTAATCAACATTTTCTGCTTCCACCATCCCGAAGGAGAGTGTCAGAATAAAAACAATAATAGTTCTTTCACCAATTACATGGGATGTCTCACCTTAAGGGGAAGGATAACAGCAAGAGAGACATGCCTCATAGTCATCTTGATGACATGTCACGGATGTCATATAATAATATATTCCTTGTACTAATCCTGTTATTCACATCACGTCAGGAAGATGTCTCAAAGTGCTTCACAAGAAAGTGAAGTGACTGTGCATTTTGTAATTAAACACGGCAGCCAATTTATGCACATCAATGTCCCACAAATAGCCATGAAGTGAATGACCAATTTGATTTCGCAGATTGGTGGTTAGGACACCGGGAGAAACTCACTTCTCTTTTCAAATAATGCTGTGGGATCTTTAGTATCCTCCTGAATAGGCAGACAGGACCTCAGCTTAATGTCTCATTGGAAGGACGGCACCTCCAACAATGTAACACCATCCCAGCACTGCATTAGAGTGTCAGCCTAAGTTATATGAGTCAAACTCCCAACTTTGGGCTTGAACCCACAACCTTCTGACTCAGAGGTGAGAATACTATTAATCGAGCCAAGCTGACAAATATATTGGTAAGCAATACAATATATATGATGGTATCCCGTACTTGGCTGCAAGTTTTGACAAACGTTTTTACATGTCCACAGTTGCCCTTTACAACAAATTCATGGTTTTATTGTGTGCTCTGATGTAGTTTGGAACTTTCACTCAGACCAGACACAATTAATCCCACTTTTTACCCACTGTCAATTTTGAATTCCTCTTTATTTGAGGGATTACTGAGTTGCTGTTTGCGAGCCAGAATGGCAGTGCTTTGTTTGAAAGAAATCATAAACTACAAAGCAACGCAAATTTATCAGGCTGGACATTTGCCAATGATGAATCAGGATTTTTGTTGCATTTTTAAAGTCGAAATCACACGGTAACAATAAATTAGAGTTATTAGAATAACAATAGCGCATCATCCAGTTTGTATGAATGGAGATGTATAAAAGACCCATGGTATAAAAGACCATGTGTTGTGAGCAAAGTTTTATTGCAAAGACATTTCAAGTGAACTCCAACTGGGCAAAATGGGAAAGGTAAGCCTAACTCATTTTGTATTGTTTATGTCCATGTTTTCGAGTGCCTTCACTCTCAACTAAATTGTACATACTGTTGCAGATCACCTTTTACGAGGACAAGAACTTCCAGGGACGGCACTATGAGTGCAGCACTGACTGCACTGACCTGCAGTCTTACTTCAGTCGCTGCAACTCCATCCGTGTTGACAGTGACTACTGGGTTCTGTACGAGAAACCCAATTACATGGGATACCAGTATGTTCTGACCAAAGGAGAGTATCCTGACTACCAGCGCTGGATGGGCTTCAATGACAATATCAGATCATGCCGTACCTACAACTACGTAAGTGATAGCTTGTGCTATAGCTTATCATTGTTTCTCTATTTCTTGTATTAGATTCATGATTATATCTCGATGTGCGTAGCTGAAACTATGTAGTGCAAGCTCAGAGCAAAGCAACAGGAAATTAAACTACAGTATGCAATCACCAGGCAACAACAACAACAACAACAAGATTCCATTTATAAAGCGCCTTTCACGTCAGGAGGATGTCCCAAGGCGCTGCACAGTTGGGTCATGACCCGAGCAGGGGGGAAATGGTCAGGGTGAGGGGAGGGAAGGGAGGGAGCGAGGAGGGGGGAAATGGTCAGGGTGAGGGGAGGGAAGGGAGGGAGCGAGGAGGGGGTAAGAGTTGAGAGGGGAGCTGAAGGCTCGGTCAAAGAGAAAGGTTTTGAGACCGGCCTTGAAGGAGGAAAGGGAGGAGGCAAGGCGAAGGCACTGGTTGATAGAGTTCCAGAGCCTAGGGGCTGAGAGGCTGAAAGCCCGACCACCGATGGTAGGGCGGTTGGGGTGGGGGACGTGGAGCAGACCAGAGCCAGAGGAACGGAGGGTACGGGCAGGTAGGTAGGGGGATAGTAGGTTGGAGAGGTCGGTGGGAGCGAGGCCGTGAATGGCCTTGTAGGTGAGGATGAGGATCTTGAAATCAATCCTCTGGGGGATGGGGAGCCAGTGGAGGCGAGCGAGGGTGGGAGTGATGTGGTCCCGAAGCCTGGTGCGGGACAGTACACGAGCTGCAGAGTTCTGAATGACCTGCAGCTTGTGGAGGGAGGTGGCGGGAAGGCCGGCGAGGAGAGAGTTCCCATAGTCCAGCCTTGAGGTGACAAAGGCGTGAACCAGGGTTTCAGCAGCGTGAGGGGTGAGGTAATGCCGTAGTCTGGCAATGTTCCGGAGGTGATGGAAGGCGGTGCCAGTTGTGGTGCGGATGTGAGGGAGAAAGGACAGCTCAGGGTCGAACAAAACGCCGAGGTTCCTGACTGGCTTTGAGAGGTGGAGAGTGCAGCCTTGGATGCTGATGGTGTCAGCGCCTGAGGTGCGGAGGCGCTGACGTGAGCCAATCAGGAGGGCCTCGGTTTTTCGCACGTTGAGCTGAAGAAAGTTGTCTCTCGTCCAGGACTCGATGTCGGACAGGCAGCTGTCAGGACATCGGTGGTCGTGGAGTTGAGAGTAGAGGAGGAAAGTTAGAGTTGGGTGTCATCCGCATACATGTGGAAGTTAACTCCATGTCTGCGGATGATGTCACCAAGGGGGAGCATATAGAGGGTGAAGAGGAGGGGACCAAGGACAGAGCCCTGAGGGACACCACATGAGACAGTACGGGGGGTGGAGGAGAAGCCATTTGTCGAGACAAAGCTAATTCATCAACTATTATTTAGTACAGTATAGATACAGAGTACTGTATTTTGGAAAATGTGAGTGTGTGTGTGTTAGCTTCAGTCATACGAATCAAGTTACTTCACTAGGTTTTATACATTACATATAATATAGAACAATCTTATTGTATAAATTAGGTCAGGCACTGATGTACCATTTAACCACAACTACACATAATGGGAAATGAGTAATTAAAAAGTCACTGTAAGAATCTATTAGTGGAGCAATGGGAAATAAGAGATATTTTCACATGATACTGATGTGAAATAGCCTCTTAGGGAACACGATATGGCACTGCGCTCATTTTATTGTCTTATATAAAGTTACATAAAGTGAAACAACATGGAAGATGTAGGTGTAGAGTTGAAATGGCAAAGGACAATTTCAGAACAGATACCAGTATGTTTTTGTTACTCAGAGAGTAATTAACAATTGGAAATGGGTTGCTAGATGGTTTGTTGAGGTCAGGACCCCAGACTCATCTAAGAAAGAGCTTGAATCTATGATGGGAGAAGGATAGGGTGACGTCAGAAGGGTCGAAAAGCTTTGTTCATCCAAACCAATCTTATTATTTTGTGAGGGAAACAGGGCATTTAGCCCAGCTAGTCTGTGCCGGTGCTTATACTCCACACAAGCCCTCACCTCTCCTGTACCCCTTGCAGTACATTCCTCTATTCCCTCGTCTTACAGTTATTTTGCTGGGTGAAAAGCACTGTACAGAGAACTTATAAATTGCTATAAGTTTTTTTATTTGTCTGCAACAAAAGTCAGGAAGTGCAGCACTTCACAAATTGGTCCAAGTTTACAGTAATGAATTATCACATGGCTATTAAGATCTTGTTTCAGGTGTTGTAAAATATGCACTATCAACACAGTATTTGCATCTCAGAGAAGTTTCAGAAGCGATCAGCAGCTTCTTCGAAACTATTTGTTCAGGTACTTTCAAAAACAGCAGAAAAAAAAGAAATTGCAGTTATAGAGTGCATTTCACATCAGGAGGACATCCCAGGGAGGTGGACGGTTGAAGGTTTGCACCCGAGCTGGAAGTTGGATTCGAGTGGTGTGGGAACCAAAAAGGGTGGGGGGAGGGGAAGATGACCGAAAACATGGCTAAAAGCAGAATGTACATAAAACTATGTAAATAGAGCAAACGTGTTAATAAAGTGAGGGAAAATCTAATTATAAAACTACTACCACTGTAGATTTAATATTTATAAGATTTCCTATAATCGCCTCATTATTTCTCTAGGTATTTTCCGACTATGCTAATGGTTATGTTAATTGTTCATTATTGCAGCCCAGCAGTGGTTCCTACAGAATGAAGATTTACGAAAGACCTGAGTTTGGAGGGCAGATGATGGAATTCACTAATGATTGTGAATCAGTCCAGGATCGCTTCCGAAGCCGTGAAGTTCACTCCTGCAATGTAACTGATGGCTACTGGACCATGTACGAACATCCCAATTTCAAAGGCCGACAGTATTTCCTGAGACCCAGCGAATACAAGCGATTCAGCGATTGGGGAGCAACTTGCCCAACTGTTGGATCCTTCCGCCGTGTCACAGAGTTCTAAGTGATTGAAAACCTCAAAGCCACAATGATGGTTTAGAAATAAACTAGGTTTTGAAGTCAACAGTGATGTCTTTGATTCTTTTTTTTAATCCAATAACGCAAGCACTTTTCAATAACAATTAAGAGAATTAAGATATGGCCAGCATGTCATCCATACATCTTCCATTCCATAAGATTCTCCGTGAGGGCAGGGAAGATAAGTTGTGCCTTCTTGGAGCTGAGTTGGCTCCAATGTTACATGCCTGGCGATGGATTGTTGGAATCAAATCAACCCTTTGTGGTCGTCTCTCTCGGCAATCTGGTTCCAGAGCCTGAAGAGTCTATGACTCTAAGACAATAACAACAACAAAAACAAATTAAAGTTATGTAGCACCTTTCATGTCAGGAGGATGCCTCAAGGCAATGCTGATAATAGACAAGCCTGTCTGGCTTGTTGGCAGGGTTTTGAGGGCAGTATAGTACAGGGGTGGGGCTGGGGAAAGGGTTTTGAGGGACAATACAGTCACAGGCATGGGGATGGGGGGAACACTTAAGCATGGTGATGATTTTCTACAGACACCTAACTGAACAAAGAAAAAGATGTCATCATTTTTCAGATAGTTCTTAACTCGTTGTTCACACATGACCGAACTAGGGCCATTGATGGAAAAAGGAACACCAATTCTTAAGAAAAAGGGAATTAAACTCAACAAAATATATTTTGATCTCCAATCCAGTTTTGAAGGACAAACTAGAGGTTATAATATCCATGAAATGTTAAGAAAAGCACTTGCTATCCATCTAGTGAGGACTCAAACCTATGCTTGTCAGATGTCAAATGATGAACCTGTGACTATCTGCTTGGAGATAAACTGGCTCCAAAGTGATATGCTTGACAACGGAATGTCAGAATCGTGAAGCTGGCAATCTTGAGCTATGCGGGTCCACAGTAATCCAGGGCACCAGCCAATCCTGCAAGTCAAAACCCTGAATGGGTTGGGTTGACCGAGCTGGACAAATTTGGCAAACTGTTGAATTCAGTCTTAACATTGAAGCTGGTTTTAAAAGAACGTTATAAAGCCATATTACTCTGAAGAAAGACATCTTATAACATTGAAGACATCTTATAACACCAATCTAATATTTGTTATGGACAGACTTTATGTAATAGAATTTGTGTTTTGTTTGTTATGTTAACATAATTCATTCAGAACTTGATCATTCTCTATTCAGTCATTCCTCTTTAAATGAACAGGTGGCATATTCATCCAATGACTACTCTAACAAGCTATTGAGGCATAGCGATGAGAGTAAATGATTTTGAATTGAAAAAAAAGATGAATTTACCCCATTATTAGTTCTTGATTTATCTCCCACTCTTTTTGAGCATCATGTTGTCCTGTACTATGAGCCATAACCTTTCGCCTATGTTTCTCATTATTAAAATAGTGCAGCCATATTTCAAATATAAATATTCAACCACACTGTACACAGTTTTACATCATTAACACATTTTCCAGTATTTTTCTAAGTTCCTTTAAATCTTTTCATGGACTCAGCTTCAACAGACACTTGTGGTAAGACATTCCATATTGTATTGACACTCTGTCTAAAACACTGAAACTGTCTAAAACTTCTGATACAGGAGATGAACTTCACTCAAATTAGGCGACTACCTTGCTAACTGAATCATAATAAATCAATAAATGATCCTTGCATTTGATATAGCTCCTTATCGTGTTATTCAGATGTCTCAAAGCGCTTCACAGGATATACTGTAAAGTGGATTGACTGTATATTTTGTAGGCGAAACAGAAAAAACATTTGAATTGCAACCTAAATGCTCTCTGTTAAAGTCCTGCAGCTTCTGATCACTTAACTCACCTGCTTTAGTGGGTTAAATCCCATCATCTGTTTGTTGCAAAATGGAATATTGTAAAACATCTGAGATGCTGTTTCTGAGAGGAGGGAAAAGCATGCACAGGGTGATGGGATAACTAGTGTTAGAAGAGTTAACTTAGACAGGATGGGGCTCTTCAATCTTGAAAGGAAACATCTCAGTGGGGACTTTACAGAGTTATCTTAAGATTCTAAATGGGATTGAGCAAGTAAACCCAGAACAATGATTTCAGATACATTGCAGAGCAAGATTCAGAGCAATTTTAGTTCAGACACCGGGAAATGTTTCTTTTCCCATAGGATAATTGATGACTGGAAAGGGTTATCAGGAAGGATGGTTGAGGCCAGGACACTGGAGTCATTTAAGAAACAGCTTTATGCTGTAACGAGAGGTTGGTAGGGTGGGAGAATGAGATCAAATGGGCTGAAGGGCATCTTCATTTAAACTTCTGTTGTGATCTTGTGCATCGTGTATCCTGCTGGCTGATCTGAGAGCACCATTGCCTTTGGCCATAAACAGTCCCTGGCACAAACCACCCTATGCTTCTACATACGAAGGAACTGCGTGGTTAGAAAAGCAGAAATGCTGTGCAAAAACAGAGTAAAATGGGTGGAAATGCATACTGTTTTGTTTGTTTCTTCTTCAACAGGTGATTCAAGGAGGAAGATTGGTACAACAGTTTGAACCAGTTGGACAGATTATCACCGACACCAACATTGAATAGATTCATAAGCAAGCAATGAAAGTGTATTGGACATGTCTGGCACAGCACAAAGCAAATGATCGTGGGAAGTGTGAGTAATGTTATCAGAGGCCAACATTTCTATAGTTGGCACACTCGCATCTTTAAGCAATACAGGCATGATTAGCACTATTGAGTCACTCAGTTCACTGTGTGGCAGAGGGGGAGAAATTTCACCTGGGTCTTGATTTACTCTATTTACTTCACTTTTCAAACTATGGAGAATTTGGCCACCGAAGCATTTCTGTGAAGTGGTTGGGATGCCTCCCAGACGTGAAAGATGCTGCATCAAATGTAAGGATTAGTATATTATAATTTCAAAGAGATTTCTTTAATAAGGAAACTGGAAATGCACACTCTGCTTCAACACAATGTACTCTTGGAGTGGATTTCTTATCATAGCGGGCACACAACAACAACTTGCATTTACATAGCACTCTTCATGGGGTGCAGGATCCCAGAGCATCCCAATCAGTTGAGAGAAGAAATCTACACTTAGATTCCTTACTAAAGAATCCCATTAGAAGGCACAACCTATCAGATTGTAATATATTCAGGATTTGTTTCCACATTATCAATACCTTCACCGCAGATACACATTAAATCAGATCAGCCCAGTGAACACCCGCAATGTGCCCAAGTTTAGTGACCATTCTGTACGATAATCCAGAAAATGCAGCAAATAAAGTGGTCGTCAAGTAAAAGGTATTTTATTTATGTTGAAAAAATCGCAACATGACAACATCAGACTTTTCAATAAAGTTTTAGAAATCCCTTATACATCTAAAAGATCCAACAGTTGAGCTGGAAGCGCCCCAGTCGCTGAATCGTCTGTACTCTCCGGGTCTCATGAAGTACTGGCGGCCTCTGTAGTTGGGCTGCTCATACATGGTCCAGTAGCCGTCCATCACGTTGCAGGAGTGGATGTCACGGTAGCGGAAACGGTCATAGACGGATGGGCAGTCATCCATGAATTCCATCACCTGTCCTCCAAAGTCAGGTCTCTCGTAAATCTTCATCTTATATATATCACTTCTAGGCTGCAGTAAGAAAAATTAAATGTTGGGTCCAAATTATAATTTGTCATTCGTTCCAACAGTAGTAAACGTAACATCTGTGTTCTCAAATACTTACATTTCTAAATACACGGCATGATCTGATGTTGTCATTGAATCCCATCCATCGCTGATATTCGGGATACTCTCCCCTGGTCAGAATATACTGGTATCCCATGTAACTGGGTTTCTCATACAGCACCCAGCATCCACTCTCGACCCGGATGGAATTACAGCGGCTGAAGTAAGCCTGCAGGTCTGTGCAGTTACTACTGCACTCATAGTGCCGACCCTGAAAGTTTCTGTCCTCGTAGAAGATGATCTAAAGAAAAAGTAATTTCCACATTATCCAGTATTCAAGGGTTTCTCTAACTAGAAATACATAAATCACATGGACTTGTGCATGTCCAAGCCATTCTTACCTTCCCCATTTTGTGATTCGTAATGCAACACAAGTATTACAGTCAAACTCACAAACAGTTTTACAGTCAGTGCCACCTCATTCAAAACCTGTCCCTTTATATATTGGGCTGAAAACACTTCAATAATAAATGTTTTGTTATTGTAATGACTTGTTAATTTATGAGCCAAATCATTCCTGACCAATGCAATGTTGTTTCCAGAAAACACCCCAATTGACTATCAGAGAAGGGCCTTTGTTTGATTTTCCATAACTGTACCTGCTTTGTGTATAAATCAAAGGGCTGTATGAACGTATTTTAGATAGTGGTTCAGGAATGATCGACTTGTGAACTGTATTGTGTTCAGAATCATTTGGAATGGATTTAAAACAGTCTCTGTTTATTTTGATTGAGAGCGAGATATCCTTTCTAAATCGTTTTCCTCTCTTTCTTGGGCTCTGCTGTAGAGAGTTGAGTGAGAGGTCTCCTCATTTAAAAAGCAACTTGATGCTGTAATAGGAGGACAGTGGGGTGCGGGTGCTGGAGGGATGAGATCAGATGGACTGAAGGGGCATCTTTATCGAAGCCAATCTTGCGATCTTGTGATCATGAGGTTCGTGTACTGAATTCACCTACAAAAAACACAGCCTTTACACTTGATAGTATATCCTGTGAATCACTTTGAGAATCCCAGCGTGACGTGCTAAATCAAATGAAAGGTTCGTTATTGCTATTATTGTTATAATTTGTCTCTCCTCTTCTGGTGATATATTGGATTGCAGTTTCGTGTTTCTCTGTAGTTGCGTGATGCACAGATTCTGTAACTCACAGTAGAATACTATAGAGAGTGTTCCACAAACTATTTCAGTCCAGCCTTTCCAGACAGATACAGTAGTTTCTTACTCCCATCTCACCTCCCAAGGTTCATCACCATAGAGCTGAGAAGTGGGTTGGTAGGAGCACCACTGGATTTCATTTCTAAAATATTTTAAAGGCATCACCTTTTTTTTCTATCAAGTCTATTTCTATCAGATTAGTCATTTGGAGCAGGAGCTCACAAGATAAACTGCTAGTGAACAATATTTAACTTACTGCAGCTGTGGGTCTGAAATTTGTGGTGATGTCAGAGAATGTTTGGTGCTGTGATCTCATAGGCAAAGCTGGTGCTCCAATGCAATGCTGGGGGAAATTGTTAGAGGTGACTCCTCTGGATATGTTTGGCAAAGATCCTGTCTGCCTCTTTATGTGGATGTAGCTTAGTGGTTAGAGTACTTAGAGCTCAGTGCTTAGAGCCTTGCGAGCGAGAGACCTGGGTTCAATTCCTGGCAGACCGAAGTGTTGGGCAAGTTTCCTTATTCCACACGCCTCTGTTTACCTAGCAGTAAGTAGGGACCTGGTTGTTAGTCGATTACGACATGATAATAATAATCCTTGCATTTGATATAGCGCTTTTCACGTCGGGAGGACATCCCAAAGCGCTTCACAGAACACACTGTAAAGTGAATTGACTGTATATATTTGTGGGCAAACGCGGCAGCCAATTGCGCACAGCAATGTCCCACAAACAGTCGTAGATTGAAAATGACCAATTTATTATTGTTTTTGGTTTTGGAAGGATGATAAGGTGTTATATCAAATGCAAGTATTATATTATTATCATGTTAAAGATCGCGTGGCACTGTTTAAATAGAGAAGGAAATTTCTCCCTGATCAACAATCCTCCAGATAAAAATAGTCATTCGCTTCATGACTATTTGTGGGATATGGCTGTGTGCCAACTGTCTACCATGTTTAGCCTACAACTGCAACGCCACAGTCACTAAACTTTACAGTAAATTCCACCACTATGAAGCACTTTGGGATGTCCCGAAGACACTATATCAAATGCAAGGATTATTATCATTATTATTAAATCCTGTGAGGTGCTTTTAGTCATCTAAGTGCTATGAGACACTACCCCCATGAAGGGCACAATACAAATGCAAGTTGTTGTTTCGACAAAATGATAAGGTGTCATATCAAATTCAAGGATTATTATTATGTGAATGACCTTAATTTGAAGCAAGGTATGTAAACAGGTTGCCTGTTACGTGATGCATCTTATATTGAGTCAACATTACTGGCAGAGTTGCAAAAGGTGTTTACCCTCTTACAAGGAAGAACATTTTAACTGAAAAATATCAGATTCCATTTACCTGGTCACTGGTACCAAAATTATTGCACATTTTATCTCTGCGCTTGAGGTATGATGAGAAACCTCAATTTCAATTTGTTCTGTGTACAGAGTTAATAGACTACACAACAGCATGTAATAGTATATCCAGATTATTCGAGAAGCAACTAATTGTATTGCTTTGTACAGTTGAATTGACATAATGTAACAAGAGAACATAAATAATCATTCATGTATTGGTGAAACACAGCACTGTTTGGCAGGGAATGCAATACACATCACACAATCCTTTTGTTGATATCTAACCCTCAGTACTCAAATGAAACAAAAGTTGTATTCAGAAGTGCTGGCTCAGATAAGTCTATAAATAAAGAGCAAACTATCCCACATCCAGTCAACTGCTTTTTAGGTGGGGAGTTCAAAATGGTAAAGGTAAGTTTTTACAGGCGAAATTTTATTATAATGATAACATGATCCTTGAAATGCTCCAGGACGCTACCCCACGTGAAGGGCGCTATATAAATGTCAGTTGTTGTTGCTATTGTTGAATTTCGTAGAGTTGGGAGGATGTCTCAAAGTGCTTCATAGGATTTACTATAAAATGGAATAACTGAGTATTTGTAGGTAAATGCTGTAGTCAATTTGCACACTGCACGCTGCACACTGCAATGTCCGCTGAGTTATGAGCAGCAATTAGGCAAACAAGGCTTGAGAGAAGGCACCTTAGAGAGGACCTTATAGCAGTGATTAAAAGTTTGAGAAAGTATACTCAGAAAATATTTTAGAATGTAACAAGACAATAAATGAGAAGATAGGTCTAGAATTGCAAAGAGCAAAATCAGGACAGACACCGGAAAGTTTTTCTTAACAACTGAAACAGGCTATCAGGGAGGGTGGTTGAGGCCAGGACACTGGACTCATTTAAGAAACAGTTCGATGGTGTGATGGTAAAACAGTAGGGTGAGTATTCTGGAAGGATGAGATCAAATGGGCTGAGGAGTCATTCTTGAACAGCCATGAAATGAATGAACAATTCTATTTGTAACACTTTCCAATTTCACCTATTTTGTTCAGAGCAGTTTAATTATTCAATATGCTGTTTTTCCTCCACCAGATATTTTTTTACGAGGAGAGAAGCTTTCAGGGTCATCACTACGAATGTAGTAGTGACTGTGATGACCTACAATCTTTCTTCAAGAGCTGCAACTCCAACCACATTGAGAGTGGATTCTGGGTCATATACGAGAAACCCAGTTACTTGGGGTACCAGTACATTCTGACCAAGGGAGAATATTCCAAATATCAGCGCTAGATGGGATTCAATGACACAATCAGTTCTTGTCGTACATATAGAACTGTAAGTTGAATCCAGTGTACCATCAGTTTATCCTGAACCTTCATAGTCCAAATGGAATTGTTAATTAATTAAAATTAAATTTTATTTGAATTAATTAAACAGAGCGAAAGCCACTCTAGACAATAATCCAATCATGTATACATTATGATGAATAATAATCTTTGCATTTGATATGGTGCCTTATCATCTTGTGGAGATAAACTGTAAAGTTTTTTTTGTGGGCAAACACGGCAGCCAATGTCCCATAAACAACCGTGAAGTGTGTGACCAGTTCCACCAATTGCACCACATTGACATCAGTTTGTGAATAATCTTATCTCTTGCTTCACTGGGTCAATTACATGGGCACATTATCATTGAGTGTCCCTATTTCAGGTTTATATCTGTTGGTTTAACAAGTTCTTATCACCTTACTACGTATTATGTTGCCTACTGTGTTACTGAGAAACCAATTATACTTTGAGCTTGGCCCAGGGAATTTATCATATCACTCAGTAAGGACTCCGCAGGTAATAATAATACCTCCAAAAAACAAAAACAATAATAAATTGGTTATTTTCAATCCACAACAGTTTGTGGGACACTGCTGTGTGCAATTGGCTGCCGCGTTTCGCCCACAAATATACAATCAATTCACTTTACAGTATATTCTGTGAAGCACCTTGAGACGTCTAGAAATGTGAAAAGCGCAAATGCAAGGATTATTATTATTTATAGACAAAATATTCTGTGGGCACTTTAAAACTGCAACTAGGTACACAGCATGGATTATAAAATGCTCACAACACTGTTTTATATGATCAATAACAATGACGTCAACAATGGGTACGAGATTTGTGCTCTGAAATACTCTTACGTAAGCTGCAATATTTCAGACTCGAGGTGACTCCTACAGAATGAAGGTGTACGAGACCTGACTTTGGAGGACAGATGATGGAATTCAAGGATGACTGCCCATCCGTCTGTGACCATTTCCACTTCCGTGACATCCACTCCTGCAACGTGATGGAAGAAAACTGGGCCTTCTATGAACAGCCCAACTACAGAGGTCAACAGTATTTCCTGAGACCTGGAGAGTACAAACGATTCAGTGACTGGGGTGCTTTCAATGCAACTGTTGGTGCTTTCAAGCGTATCACAGAGTTTTAAATCTTTGTGAAAATCAGGGGAAAATTGTAATAATTCCAAATAGCTAATAAACGTAAACAGCACTGGAATGCAGTTGTCTTCAGTCTCTAACTCTTCTGTCTAAACAGATCCTATATAATAATCACAGTTAAACTCATCACAACACTTTTCAAAGTTTCATCGGAAACTACAGTCTGCCAGTAATTCCTAGCCTATAATTTTACTGAACAAGGGATTGAGATATTTTAAAAATACCATGGCAAATAATGATAATAATAATATTTCTAATTGCATTTATTATAGCGTCTTATCACAGGGTCAAAATATCTCAAAGTACTTCACAGAAATTACTGTGAAATATATTTGTAGGTG